TTCGTACGTCTCAACTGTTTCGCCAGGCTGCCATAGGAACCGGTGGTATCTTCGGTCTTCTGGGGAAAGGGACACCTGGAGAAACATCTCCGAAACATCGCCCATCAGTGCGATAGGCTCAAGGCAGAAGCGAATCAGGAGCTTCACGAGGTCGGCCTGCAGTTTCGGTCCAGCCAACATCAAGTCGTTCACAGCAACATTATTTGCTCTGGCGGCAGCATCAAAAACAACGCGGACTTTAGTCGTTGCCTTATCCTCCCGTATAACAGCGAAATGCGGCAGATAACACTGTGATGAGCCGCATTGTTCAACTTCCTCAGTTGTCAGTTTCCGGATGTAGGACTTCTGCAGGTAGTCTTCCAGGACCTTCGCATACCTTGGCAGCATACCTGGCCGTCGCTGCAGCGATCGCATGAGTGCGCGGAGTCGGTTCTCAGCCAGCACCTTGTTGCTCGTGACATCAGGCTGCTTGGCGCCGTCCTTCCAGGGGATTCCGACTTCAAACCGACCGTCCTTGTAGTTCAGGGTTCGCTGAGTTGAAGTCACCGCTTGCTGCTCGTCCGGAGTCAAGTACTGGTCTGACTTTGGTAACATTCCAACCGCTTCAAGATCCCAGAAACGACTCACCAGGTGGTCCAAATTGGTACCAGCAGTGGTCACCGCATGGAACGTCGAATGCGTCGGTGTGGATGGACATAGTACTGGCCCAAAACAGACCCATCCGAGAGGAGTCTTCCGAGCAATAGGGTCACCATCGCCTCCATGACGTTCCTCATCCGCACGGTGAAGCACTGGTGAGTTCAAGCCAATCAGCAAGTCGAGGTGATTGTCTCCTGCTGTCTTGAACGATACGTCACGAAGATGGGCCCAGTTGTCCTGAATCTCCTTCCAGTTCACCAATCGCAGATCCGTCGTTACTCTGGGCAGGACATATGCCTCAAGCTCCGTAGCCTTGTCACCACCATCATGCTGGACCGCTAGCGTCACCACTTGGAGAGTGTCGTTAATTGCGCCACCACCGATAACGCCGACCGACACTTTCTTCCTGCTCCCCCCTAGACGGAGACGCCTAGCCAGACGCTCTGAGACATAGCTGCACGAGGATCCTGAGTCCAGGAGGACGTTGGCTGTAGCCTTCGCTGTACCACCTCTGACTTCTGCCTGCGTGACCATAAAGGATGTTAGCCCAGCATTGGAGTCGTCTGTAGCTGCTGTTGCATGCGCCGTGTTTTCACTCGCAGCCGGACTGGTGGACGCAGCTGCCTTACTGGAGGGCAGTGATGGCTTTGACTCGTGCAGAAGCGAGTGGTGCTTGCCACGGCAGTGAGGGCAACCGGAAGCAGCATTGCAGTCACGCGCCCAGTGACCTTCTCTTAGGCAACAGAGACACAAATTCAGTAGACGAACCAGCTCGTTACGTCTCGACGTTGAGAGTGCCTTGAACTCATTGCAGTTAGCGAGCTGATGCGGACCATTACACTTGCGGCACTTCTGTCGTGCTTGCTGCTGTGTCTTTGAGTGGCCAGACGTCTTGATCGGAGCTTCTTGAGGCCTTTTTGGCGCCGTAGCTTCAGTGCCTATGAAAGACCGTTGCTGCACGGGGCGCTGAACAGCTTCATGATGCCTTTTTCCATGGGCGGGTTGACGGTCTGGCTGCTCGGTACGGTCATTGGCATACTTTGCCGTCTTCACCTTTTCTAGTAGCCAGGTGGCAAACACCTTGATGTCGGTGTTACCGTCTCCGTGCCTCTCAAAATACCTGATGAGCGTTGTCCTCGGCACCTTTTCGGTAGCAATGATGCACAGCTCAGGGCCCGGTTCAGAGCCGCACAGCTTCATGTTGGCGATTAGGCTGCGTAGCTTGACCGCATACTGCTGCAGACCCTCCACGTCCCTTTCGTTAGTGACTCGGGGATGGTTGAGCAGATCTCGGATTTGTTGCTCCAAGTGTCGATCTGTGCCACCAAACCAAGACTCCAGCTCCGCCCACGCGGCGTCATATGCTCCGGGGCCGTCCAGAAGGTCTTCAATGAGGATAGCGGCTTCCCCGCCAGCAACGGCCTCGCGAAGGCGAGCCAGTTGGTACTCCTCAGGCAAAGATGAGTCGGCTACTTGCAAGAACCTCTGCCGCCATTGGATGTAATCGCGCCCTTTTCCACTGAACTTCGGCACTTCTATTGGCTTCAACCAAGAATGCCCATATGGACTGATGTGTGGAGCAGCAGGCTGTGCATACTGAGTCTGATATTGACTGTGAGCACTAGGCGCGGCTGCCTGTGCAGAAGGCCGGTAAGCTCTTGGTGCAACACTGCGTCTTGGAGATGGAAATGCAGTCTTAGCTGCGTGAGCTGAGGGTAGTGGTGGAAGAACTGAAGATGAAAATGCAGTAACAGGCTTGGCGTGAGGACGTTGCTGTACAGAAGGCATTGCTCTCGCTCTGAATGCTCCACCACCCTGCCCTTGAGTTTGACTGGGTGCTCCACTCACAACTCTGTTCACTGCGACTCCAGGTGTACCAGTACCACTACCTGCACTAGCAACGTAGGCAGCACTAGACACTTGAGTAGCAGAGTGTTGATGATGTTGAGGCTGTCCCACAAGCACACTACTCTGAGTAACACTAGCAGTTGTGAATGTAGCTGCATGCACAGCGTGACCTGGAGGTTGCAACGAGGATCGAGTTCCAGAGCTAGTATCAGCGCTGCTGCCCCTGCCTTGCATTCCTGGACTGCCTCTAAGTGCTAGTGCACCTCTGGCCCTAAGCCTGCTATCAGGGTAATCACCCACTGTCCCATCATCTTGAGCAGCTCCATGAATGGCATGATCCCTTTGATCAGCAGCAGCGGCAGCAGGCGTTTGCCAGGGAACAGCAGTGCTGCATCCGTCAGTGACGCCACTGTGATACATACCAGTACTATACATAGTCACTACTGATGCATCATCATCACTACAAGCTCTCAGGCTGGAACTGACACCAGGGTCTCCAGAAAACTCCGTTCCTCCGTCATCAGCACTACGTGGCGCGCTGTGGGCAAAATCTTCGCCCTCTAGCTCTTCCTCTAGAGGCTGCGCTGACAAGTCACCATCGCCACTGGGCTGACTGGCTGACTCCAAAACTCCTGACTCAAGGAGCGAACTAACTTCTGCCAGCGGAGAACAATCCTCGTTCAACTTCTCAAACCACTTTTCCAACTTCTCCAATCCTTCAAAATCTGCATCGTCTCGCAATTGATTCCTGTGGTCCTCGACCACTTCTTCGATTTGTTTTACTATTCCTTCGGCGTCAGCCAGGTACTTTTTGAGGTACCTCGCACTCGGCGACGACTTCCCATACTCCGTGTTCAATACCTTCAGCAGGTTGGTCAGTCTTCTCCGCAGGGAGGCACGAAACTTTACATAGTCGTAAGTCACACTTTGGGCTGGAGGTGCCTGCGAGCTGGTCTCCGGAGCGTCAGCTTCGGTGTCCTGCCCATGCTCGCCAGACAGCTCTCCACTCCCCGCGACAGTAGTGGTTTCTTCGTCGTCCATGTCTTCAAAATGCACGCATCCCGTCGGAGGTGCCAGTAATGTTTCGAATTGCGTGCTTGGCCCAAAATGACCCAACTCTCACAAGATCAAAGGAGCGCACAAATATTCAACATAGACAAAAACTTCTTCTTGTTCCAACAAAAACCCAACACAAGAGCTTCCCTGTCCTACAAAAAGTCACAGCAAAAATGTAAATCAGCTGTTACGCATGCGCTGCCTACAACGGCGGGAAACTGAAAAGAGCAGGCACGTGCATGATATTACAATCACCAATAAAACCGCACAGCAAAGGGGTAGCTACACTTGAGATGAGAACAGGCCAAACATCATGAATGAGAAGCGGGAGTCACTCGGCCACACAGACCAATGAAACACAACAGATAGTCTATACACAACATACTTACTTTTGTCATGGTGTCCACTTCGAATCTGTTTTCAAACTTTCCCGCTCACATATATGCTGTTTCCATCGAAACGACTGCAAAGATTTCACAAGTTTTCAGTACGTGTGACTAAACAGCACTTTGCAACGTGGGGGGCCTTCATCCACTTTACGTGTATCACCCACGTACGCGTTTCCGTTACGTGGGAACTAAACCTTCCTAATGCCTGTGCAAACATGTTTGTAGATGTTGTGCACGGCATGATGTGATTTCTTTGCCATCTGAGACCCTGATGTGTAGAGGTGCGCACTCTTGGAGAATGTGGTCTTCTGTACCACTACCTGTATCTGAACACACCCTACAATCTACGACTTTGAAAGTCTTTTATCTGATGATGATTTACAAGTCTTCACTATGCCTGGATACTGTGAGCTTGGAGCGTCATTCAAGAGTCAAGACCATGGCCTTTTTCTTGCCTACATCCATGTGTGTGTGTGTGTGTGTATGTGTGCTTGTGTGTGTGTGTGTGTGTGTGTGTGTGTGTGTGTGTGTGTGTGTGTGTATACGTGCGTGTGTGTGTGTGTGTGTATACGTGTGTGTGTGTGTGTGTGTGTATAGGTGTGTGTGTGTGTGTACGTGTGTGTGTGTATACGTGTGTGTGTGTGTGTGTATACGTGTGTGTGTGTGTGTGTATACGTGTGTGTGTGTGTGTGTGTATACGTGTGTGTGTGTGTGTATACGTGTGTGTGTGTATACGTGCGTGTGTGTGTGTGTGTGTATACGTGCGTGTGTGTGTGTGTGTGTGTATACGTGTGTGTGTGTATACGTGCGTGTGTGTGTGTGTGTGTATACGTGCGTGTGTGTGTGTGTGTGTATACGTGCGTGTGTGTGTGTGTGTGTATACGTGCGTGTGTGTGTGTGTGTGTGTATACGTGCGTGTGTGTGTGTGTGTGTATACGTGCGTGTGTGTGTGTGTGTATATACGTGCGTGTGTGTGTGTGTGTATACGTGCGTGCGTGTGTGTGTGTATATGTGTGTGTGTGTGTGTGTGTGTACAATGTACATAACGTACAACCACTATCCATCCAGATGAGAGTGATGCCGCGGCAAGTGGTGGTACAGCTCCACCGGCCGCAGCATCAACGTCGGCCTCAGCATCAGCAGCTGCGGATAGCGATGACGAAGATGGGTGCAATGATGATGAAGATGATGAAGATGAAGATGCAGGTGATGAGCCCACATAAAGTCGAGTGGCTCTTTATGAGCTCCTGCGTCATGCACGAGTTAACGCTTTGCTCCTGTGTCTAGCTCTGTCTTTGTTTGCCGGGGCTAGGGACTGTGCCATGCCCAGCACTGACTGACTTGTAAGGCTGGATAGAGCTTGGCTTGCGCTGCAATTGCAGAACGAAGAAGCTGCTAATGTTGGCTGCTTGCGCTGACATGTGTGTTGCCCATTGTCCCATCGGTGTGTACATTGACCCAGCTCCAGTTTCCCACCCGTACACAGACAGCCTGTACTTGACCAGATAGCTGCTGCTGGTGGGCCTGAGCAGCATACATGTACCAGCTCATGTCGTTATCCCCTGTGTGGAGCCCTCTCTAAGCCGAGAGGGGAATGGAGGAGCGATGGAGAATAGCGCCAATTCTCCGCTGGTAATTTGTGTATCACGCCACATAGCAGATTTTTCTTCTTCTTGCCGTGCTGCGTTATACAGTTAGTCCAGGAAAGATTTGAATTACTTGATTAACATTTAGGTTTTTTTAAAGAAAAGAATTATGTTGCCTGAGTGAAGACGTGCACTGCGCCGTTCTCAGCTGTTATTTTTCTGTTTCCTAGCTAAGGCCACCCTTTGTTAATTCATTGTTTAACGTCCTTTTTTTCGCGAAAAGGTACGCGGGAGGGCGGAAAAAAAACAAAAGCCCATTCCAAAAACTGGAAACCCCAATCAAACATTTTGACCAGTGAAGCATGTGATATAAACAATATTTCTGGGTCTAACGGCACTTGCAGGCATAGAACAACACTCTTTGATGGTACATTGGAGCACATGCCTGATGAATCCAACAAAACAGGTACATAGCATGGAGTTAGCATGTCATGAATTCATTACATCTGGATTTTTACTAGGACACACACCGTACGATATTTAAAAGCCAACAAAAAAAAGAAAAAGAACACAAGACAAAGGCATGCCCGGGAGGCAAGATTATAAGTTTAAGGTCATGATCGGCACACTGTGAAACTACACAATCATGTACTACACAACTTCGCATATTATTGGTACTACTACTTTCTTGTTTTTTTTTCCGGTCGGAGGCAAAAAGGTACTCGGGCGCGGACGTTAAACAACGAAAAAAGAAAGGGTGGCCTAATGAAGAAAACAATGCGACACTTCATTCACGTCCCCAGTTCTCTGATTCTGAAGACGGAAGCGGATCAGTTTGAGGTGGGGAGCTCGTCTTGTGTTTGTTCGTGTGCATCTGCGTGAATGAGCACCCGCAAAGCCTATCTCATTTCTACATACAGTATCACATTACTTTACTAAGGACCTGTGCAGGTTGTTCAAGGTGTAGCATTAGAAAACAGAAACACAAAAATAAGAAGAATAAGTGCAGAGCGCAAAGAAGGAGGACAGAGGCATGTCAGTGAGGAGTGGCATTGTGTGTGGTGTCGGAGAAGTGCATGCAAATGTGACTGCGAAACAGGGACTGTGAGGCTGTGGCTCTCAGGTCTGCCGGCAAGGCATTCCAGACCGTAGCGGTGCGGAAGAGAAATGACCTGAGTCCTTGCGTGTTTCCCCACCCTTGGCAGAGTGAATGCGAGTTGCTGGCGGCGACTACGCGTGGGGCAGTCAGTATCCTGCTGATTCAAGAAGTTTTGGTTGGGTGGTTGCAGAGCGGAGCTGGAGTGGGCCCACACAGATTCTGCTCCGCTCGCCTCGATATTTTGCCGAGCCTGGCACTAGACCATAGAAACCTGATATTGTGCTCCATATTGCTCCGGAAAAACGTGTTTTATCCACTTCCCGCACAGCGTTTCATGAAACTCGGATAGCCGGTTTCTCAGCGCAGGTTTTCGCGCATGTGTCCCGGGGTTCTTCCAAAATCATGTCGATCCACAGTGAATGAATCCCAGTGATATCTCGGGGACATGATCTCGTCCTGGGCATTGTATCACGCTGAACGGGTAAGAAACAGGGGAATCCAAGTACAGTATCGATCAGGCATCGGTTTTACCCAACATTTCGATATAATAATATTAAAGGGGAAGTTAAGGCAAAAATTAAAATTTCACCAGTTGTAGTATTCGGGGTGCTGAGTCGAATGGTCTTGGTCCGAGGAAGCTGAGACGCTCCCTTCCTACTTGAATCCCAATCGAACTCGCGCACTTCCACCGAAACTGGGTGACTGCGCCCTACGAGATGGGGATTTGTATGCAAAATGTCACTAAAAGCGCCATTTCGTTCTTATAAAAGCACGGATGACCGCGATTGGCCCATATGTTGTAGTCTTTTGGACGCTGAGTCGACTGGTTTTGGTCCGAAAAGGCTGCGATGTAGCGTTCCTCCTTTATTCCCAATCGAACATGGTTGAACAAGCGGTCACGTGCTCCTGCGTACACCAGTCACCTGGTCACCGTGCCTGCAGGGTACAACTTACTAGCCTGTTTGACCTTTTTTGGATGCACTCCTGTCACTCGAGTTGAACCTTGGTGTGAAATTTGTCGCCTGCTGGCGTGGTGACCAGGTGATTTGGGCACCCAGGAGCACGTGACCGCTTGTTCAGCCATGTTCGATTGGGAATAAAGGAGGAACGCTGCATCGCAGCCTTTTCGGACCAAAACCAGTCGACTCAGCGTCCAAAAGACTACAACATATGGGCCAATCGCGGTCATCCGTGCTTTTATAAGAACGAAATGGCGCTTTTAGTGACATTTTGCATACAAATCCCCATCTCGTAGGGCGCAGTCACCCAGTTTCGGTGGAAGTGCGCGAGTTCGATTGGGATTCAAGTAGGAAGGGAGCGTCTCAGCTTCCTCGGACCAAGACCATTCGACTCAGCACCCCGAAGACTACAACTGGTGAAATTTTAATTTTTGCCTTAACTTCCCCTTTAAATATATTTTATGGTTTTGAACAGTCAGACTTGTACAAGATAGCAGCACCAGACTAACTAGGAGTACTGAGACATTCCACGGCAAGGAAGTGAGCTTGAGCACTAGTGCACTGCTCGATAGCGCTAACCAACGGCCTTCCAACTTGGAAGGTTCATGGATATTAGTGATAATTCCAAAGAGGGGAAGGTAAGCGCCATCAAGCCGAACACAAGCTACATTCCAAGGCAAGTTGGAATGCTGGCTGGGTACGATAACGTGACGGTAAGACCATTGCCATTGGATAATACTGTCTAACCACAATTCGACAATGCAAAGCAACAACCACCCAACTAACTTGGGAGGCTCAATGTTATTGAGGATAAAAGTAATGAAAGGGACGCTTCGCGAGGACGAATTGTAGAAACGATCGTCGTGTGATACTATACATGACGTTACTATAGTTAGTTTGTCCATCATACTTCATAGTCGTTAAGCAATTACAGTATTGTAGGATATTGGCATTCGGTTTGTTACACTGGATTCGTCCTCGCGATCCTTCCCTTTCATTACTTTAATCCTCAATAACATTGAGCCTCCCAAGTTGGGTGGTTGTTGCTTTGCATTGTCGAATTGTGGTTAGACCGTATTGTCCAATGGCAATGGTCTTACCGTCCCGTTATCGTACCCAGCCAGCATTCCACCTTGCCTTGGAATGTAGCTTGTGTTCGGCTTGATGGTGCTTACCTTCCCCTCTGTGGAATTATCAGGTTTTTTTATCATTAATACTCCATGAACCTTCCAACTACTTGGAAGTCCATCGAACCGTCCACTCGGCAAACCTGCAAGAAAGCACCACTCCCTGCTCAATACACAGTGTTTCGGGGAATTCACCCCTCCTCAGTTGAGTTTGAGTAGGCTGAGGAAGATTGTGCCTGAAGAGCACCACTTGCATGTATATGAGCCGTCAGATGAGAAAACAGACCTTATCACAAAAAAGTCATATTTTTGTTTGTGGTGCTATCTGATTGCCAGGAGCACCAGGAATCGTATGCAGAAAACTAGAGTTGATTTGGACCAGGGAAAGTTAAGTTATAGCCTCGACAGTAGGAGACCATTACAAATTGCACCTCAATTTTGGGTGCAATACCAACAATTGTTTCACCTACTTTGGATAATATTTTCTGTTTCCTTTGACCGATTTCCACAAACTTGGGCTTTCTGGAAAGCTCTGGCGACAAGCCACCCGTTGGGCCCAAATCCGATAGCAAATAAAGCACAGCTCCAGCGCAACAAGCGGCAGACATCGCTTCAGCGCTAGACTTGCGCCGTCACACGAAAATCGCTCGCCATTTCCATCTCCATTATCCCAGGACGCCCAATTTTTTTCGTGAAGATGCAGTGAGAGCTTCCAAGACGTCTGGGCCTGTTGCCGAGATCGTAGATCGCTTGAAAAGGGGGAAATCCCGGGTCTGGAGCGTTTGACTCGCGTGCAGAAATGCAAAGTGCCGTGACGTATCTTGCAGGCTTCGCATCTCGGGAACGCAGCATCGTGCCGCGATCGCGCTTGCTGCATTGGATTCCTTGGAGTTTTCTATTCGATTTACATACTTGGATTGTCCCAAAAGACCGATATTTGACTGAAATACGACGGTTTGTAGCTTGGCTGTCCAGACGCACTAGTGGGTAAACTCGCCAACTTTCAAGTGCACTTTTCTGCACTGTACAGTTTTTGCGATAAGGTCTGTTTTCTCATCTGACGGCTCATATTATAGTGCTCTCCAGGCACAAACATCACCAGGGATACAAACTAACTTACAGAGACGCTCCGTTTCCAGCGCGAAAAACACCTCGTGAACACCAGATAGCAGCGTGAGTCAGTGTCGCTCATGGAGGTGCTGAACAAGCGCTGAGGACCGTTGGCCATTCACAACGTTGTGGCCTCCAAACCATTCTAATTCGCAAGCCCGCGCTGGGGACAACAATGTGAAGAAGAGGTTGGTGCGACTTCGGCGATACTTGGGGCCGGGGAATTGTGTGTTGCTCCCTACATCAGTAGATCTCCATGGCGATATTTTGCCGGAAGCCGGCATGGCCATATCTAGCCTGGGCCTTGGCTGGAGGCCGTGGCGATCGCGCGCGAGCGCTGCCTCGACGGCTCGAGTCTTGACTTGGGGTCATCAAGGTCATGTCTTCTCCTTTGACCCCGCCATCGAAATCTGGATCAATCTGAAATGAGATTATGAGTGCCTAATGTAGTGATGAATGCCGCACAGTCGCGATGTCAAATGATCACTCTTTTTATCTGCTTTGCGTTTCTTTTCTGTCATCACACAGTCACTTCCATCACAGTTCATTTTCGCCCATGAAACCGACGCAAAGGCATGGTATGTAGCCTAGCTACTGGATCATCATTTTCACCCTTCGCATTCTTGTTGAGCGGAAAGAAAATTCGAGAAGATCTTGCTTGCAGTTCTTCACTATTGAGTATTGTGTAATCACTTTAGTTGAGCAGTTTGGGTATTTCTGACCATCTCATCCGAGCGTCTTGGACAACAAGTACTCGTACTTTGTATTTGTGAGCTGTGTGTGATCCTGAGGTCGGTTGGGCTGGCCATGATTGTAGGCTCTAAAAGCGCACCGAGCAAAGTTTGCAACATAATGTAGAGAAATCTTCCACTGGATTTGTATCGAAGATTTCACCGAGGCCCAGGAGCATGGAGGCTCTCCTCATTTGACTGATGGAATTGTAGCGATTCATACCCGACTGCTGCGGAATGCAAGCCCAACAAGTGCCACAGAGCGTCGAGGAGTCGTGTGCAAGAAGTAGCATGGAGCGAAGTTCTGGAGCTGCGTCCAGTCCAGAAGTCGACGCTTCCGCAAAGAATAGGCTTCCGGATGTGCGTCTCCTGGCGGAGTGCCTTCGCTTCGCGGACGATGACTGTCCCGCAGTGATCGATACTCTACAAGCGATAGCGACGTTGTGTTCTACATCAGGTAAGCCTATCTCATGGAAACTGGCTTCCAGAAATTAATAATAATATTAAACACCAGTTTTCTGAGGTGACGAGTCTTTGTGGACACTGATCTCCGCTGCTTCAACTCTCCCGCACAACAACAACATGAGTGTATCCTTATACTATTATAATTTATTAACTGGTTTTATTATAATTATGTACACTCCTACTAGTGTAGACATTGAAATCCGTTGAAGAAGTCAAGCGGCCACGAGGCGCTGGCCTTGCAGCCGTGAGCACTGCCATCTGCTGGTCCATTTTGCAGTGTGTACGTGAACTGCGTACACGCTAAGGCAGTAAGACCGCCGGTCACGGTCATTCCATCGGATTTCAATATCCACAACGGTATTTCTTATTACTGACGATGATACAAAATCCCACACTTCCTCAGAAATACAAGCTCTTGCAAGAATGCTAGCTACAAAACACTACACCTTGATTACGAGCAATATGCGCGCAGACACACTCACACACACACACACACACACACACACACACACACACACACACACACACACACACACACACACACACACACACACACACTCACACACACACACACACACACACGCACACACACACACACACATACACACACACACACACACACACACCTCTCTCTCTCTCTCTCTCAGACCTGCCCATCACGGAAGCGATGATAGCGAACAGCTATGTTAGACATAGCAACTTGTGCTGGGATTGCACCATTCAACAGCTTGCAAGGCTGATGAATTGACCGCCACTATTTTTAGCCTGGTATCCACCACACAGTTGATTGAAGTGACTTTTCTGGCCAGTGATTCCCTACACACACACACACACACACACACACACACACACACACACACACACACACACACACACACACACACACACACACACACACACACACACACACACACACACACACACACACACACGTACATGCACGTACATGCACACATGCGCATCTTAATATTGCCAGTATTCCTGAGCGAATCATTTCTGAAGATCTATAGAGGGTATGCGATGCCATCATCCGTTGAGATACTTTGGCGAAGTCGCTGCACAGCGCTGCACTTGCACTACTGCTAGCGACTCACGCTGCATACTTAGCGGCCATAAGCGAATCCGCTGATCAATCGTCCATTGTTATTAAAGGGGAAGTTAAGGCAAAAATCAAAATTTCACCAGTTGTAGTCTTCGGGGTACTGAGTCAAATGGTCTTGGTCCGAGAAAGCTGAGACGCTCCCTTCCTACTTGAATCCCAATCGAACTCGCGCATTTCCACCGAAACTGGGTGACTGTGCCCTACTAGATGGGGATTTGTATGCAAAATGTCACTAAAAGCGCCATTTCGTTCTTATAAAAGCACGGATGACCGGGATTGGCCCATATGTTGTAGTCTTTTGGACGCTGAGTCGACTGGTTTTGGTCCGAAAAGGCTGCGATGCAGCGTTCCTCCTTTATTCCCAATCGAACATGGTTGAACAAGCGGTCACGTGCTCCTGGGTGCCCAAATCACCTGGTCACCACGCCAGCAGGCGACAAATTTCACACCAAGGTTCAACTCGAGTGACAGGAGTGCACCCAAAAAAGGTCAAACAGGCTAGTAAGTTGTACCCTGCAGGCACGGTGACCAGGTGACTGGTGTACGCAGGAGCACGTGACCGCTTGTTCAACCATGTTCGATTGGGAATAAAGGAGGAACGCTACATCGCAGCCTTTTCGGACCAAAACCAGTCGACTCAGCGTCCAAAAGACTACAACATATGGGCCAATCGCGGTCATCCGTGCTTTTATAAGAACGAAATGGCGCTTTTAGTGACATTTTGCATACAAATCCCCATCTCGTAGGGCGCAGTCACCCAGTTTCGGTGGAAGTGCGCGAGTTCGATTGGGATTCAAGTAGGAAGGGAGCGTCTCAGCTTCCTCGGACTAAGACCATTCGACTCAGCACCCCGAAGACTACAACTGGCGAAATTTTGATTTTTGCCTTAACTTCCCTTTTAGGCATACGCCTGTTTTGATTTCCACTATGAATAAAGTATACAACAACAACAACATTCGCATACCCTCTGTAGATTCGGATGTTGAGCCAATAGTAATTTCCGTATTATCTCTAATATAAGCACAGTCTCCAATAATGGCACGTCTCCAATAATAGAACACCTTGGGACGGCATTCAAAAAATAAAGTGCTCAGTCTCCATTATAAGCACACTGTGTAAATTCATTATCTGTACCGGCGAAAAAAACCCTGAAATGTGTGCGTCATACATGAATTTGGCATGGCAACATGCCACTGAAATGAGGTTGAAATAATAATGGAACAGTCTCCAATAAAGGAACGTCTCCATTAATAGCACGGGGCGGAGGTACATTGAAAAAATAAAGGACCGTGCTTATATTAGAGATAATACGGTATGTAAAGAGAAAGTGACCTAGAAGCTACTACATGTTCTCGATTTTGACAGCATGTTACAAGGCGAGGACGCGTAGTGCTCCTGACTACAACCAATCCATAACCCGGTTGTATGCGTCCTCGCCTTGTAACATGCTGTCAAAATCGAAAAACATGTTAAACTACCAAGCAAGGCTTCTGTGTATATAAATTACTACATTGTAGTTATGACTAACAGTCGACCAAGGTAACAAGATAATAATTGTACAGTCAGATAGTGCGACAACAAGGCACAAAACTGACAAGGATATTGAGACATTTTTTTGGTAGTGCCAACAAATTTGTTGTCACTACCAAATATTAACTTGTACAAATAATTCGTACCATTTGTACTATTTAACTTGCATGCAACTAGCCAGACAAACATGATTATCCATTCTTGGCATAATACAACAAAATTATCAATTTTTGGCATAATACAACGTTTTGCATGGCATGTACACAGTTGTAGATTTCTGAGAAATTCCAATTACACATACACATTTTCTACTACAAGTCATAGTATAGGACCCCCCGCACTTGGGGCCCCTAGCTTTTTGGTGGCCCGCCTGTACTATAGTTACATTTGCGGGTAACCGCCTTTCCAGTATAAATTGTGTTACTTTGATTACTTTTTCATTACACTCTGATGATGTGTGATAAACAGTGAAACCGGTCAGTGAACCAACAATCAAAGAACTATGTGTTATGCTTGTGTCGGGGTTTTTCTAAACTCCCCCATTGGAGACGTGTACGTTTGATGGGGGAAATACGGTATTCATAATGAGTTTGAGCATTGTGTTTGTTATGTCGGTAAGTATTATTATATTCACCGATTCAATAAGAGACACGACATTGATATTGGGAAACAGAAAGAAAAAGAACGACCATTGTCGACACGACAGGAAGAGAACAACTCTGAACAGGAGAGTGTGCGTGCAGATGCGGGAAAGCAGGCATGTGCCTATACGGTAGAGTATGCATGTGTGACCAGAAGTGTGCACGTGCGTACATGCCATAAGTGGCATGTTGACTGTTGCTGTGGCCAGTGGTGGTGATTGTGCTGCTGCTGCTGCTGCTACTGTTGCTGCTGCTGGTGGTGGTGGTGGTGCTGCTGCTGCTGGTGGTGGTGGTGGTGGTGGTGGTGGTGATAGTGCTGCTGCTGCTGCTGCTGGTGGTGGTGGTGGTGGTGGTGGTGATAGTGCTGCTGCTACTGGTGGTGGTGGTGGTGGCGGTGCTGCTGCTGCTAACATTACCGCTGCTGTTGTGGTTGTCCTTGCCCTTCTAATGAGAGTGATTTCCCAATGCATTCCTATATCATAGTGGATGCCTGCGAGGAGTTTGTCCGCAACGGCGTCATGGAGAAGATTATGGCGCTGGCTTTTGAAACACGCCACGCTCCATCGAGTACCAGTGGCGATGGTTGCAAAACCGACCCGGAGGATATGGTGGCCTGTCAGCTTGCAGCATTGCGCACTCTGGCATGTGCTGCCAGCATCTCAGGTGAGAACAGGATTGATGCCAGGTACTACAAGTAGGTGTGTTTCTTTTATAACAAGCGAACTCTCAAACTCCACTGCAGCGTTTTCCCTGCACTCGAAAACACCTCCATTCCATGAACAGGTTGTCAGTTGTACCGGATACATAATAAAGAAGGGTTGCCAATATTTCTCCCATTGGGGATCATCCGGGCAGTTGACCTTGTCGTAGAACTAAGATGAGCTCTTTTGCCACACACAAACACACCAAAGCAACACGTCTCGGAGCCTCGAGCCAGAGAGAGGATTATTGAAACGTCTTAGAGAAGACTTCGAGCAAAAGAGGACCCAAGGCCAGGCGCAGGGAAACATTTATTATCTACGAGACAGGCAGCGGCACTAAAGACAGTGCACAGACTTGTACAGCTGGGGCCAAAAAGGCACTGTATAAATGGAATCAAAACACGACGCATAGGCCTGCACTATGGAGGCCAACAAAGCCGCATGTACAACATTGTAAGTAAGATAGCTATGAAGGTCACTGGGCCCTGACTCCACCTTGTGATGTTACATGCCTTTGGCAAATCTCGGTCCTGAATCTAATTCATTTTGTTGGTATTTTATCCACATGTTGGCAATCTGCTACCTCTTACCTCCAAGGAAGTGGTTCTTACCTCTGTCTGGCTCTTTACCACCACTTTTCATTTCATATAATTATATGAGAATCAGAAATCAGTACAAGATCTATGAGCCAGGATATCCTCTATATAGAGCACTGGCTTTTCATAGCACTCCATGTAGCACTGTGTGTCCCCTGCCCACCTCTCCATACGCCAACACCCACATGCCGCATGTCCCAGGACATCACTGACTTCAACTGTTCTCGCCTGTTGAACTTATTGGTCGATTACAATGCCAGATCTGAGCTGTACACTGCTGGCCAGGGAAAGTACGGTGCGGCACATCTCACGCTTGCTGCCACGAGGCGCAACCGACAGGAAGCTATCCACTATGGTGTGTCTGCTGCTGGCTTCGCTGCTCGGCAGTTCAGGTGAGTGTATACCTTGTTTGTGATATGGTAGCAACTAGCAACGTTGTAGTAAAACTGTGTGTGGTCTACACTGTATGCATGGCGCGCAGATCAAGTACTGTGTGACGGGAAATGCTTTCAAGTCTGGTTTGGCCAATAGCAGTGGGAAATTTATCTGCCGTATCTGCTTAGCTTGGTATGTACTTGCATCCTCAGTTCTTGGCACTTTGCACCTGAGGAGATGGTCCCTTCTGGTCCGCTCCTTGGGCCGTGGCATGGTCTTGCCTCCCTTCCCCGGTTTGAGCTGGGTTGGTGTCCAATGGGGTATGGCACAATTACCGGGTAGTGTTGTCTAATGGGGCTTTGGGTGAAGCTTTAATCATGTGTGTGCATGTGCCTGTGCATGCATGTGTACGCGTGTGTGTGTGGGGGGGGGGGGGGTGCACATGTGTGTGTGTGTGTGTGTGTGTGTGTGTGTGTGTGTGTTTTTTTTCATTCTCCTGGGTGGTTACCAACAGCCAGTGTATGCCGGAGTATGTGGTGTGGTGTGTGTGTGTAGAAAAAAATGGAAAAATGAAAATAGGGATTCACTGGCCAGAAAAAGTCACTTCAATCAGCTGTGTGGTGGATACCAGGCTAAAAATAGTGGCGGTCAATTCATCAGCCTTGCAAGCTGTTGAATGGTGTAATCCCAGCACAAGTTGCTATGCCTAACATAGCTGTTCGCTATCATCGCTTCCGCGATGGGCAGGTCTGAGGTCTGAGGTCTGAGGTGTGTGTGTGTGTGTGTGTGTGTGTGTGTGTGTGCGCGCGCCATGTATGTCTGTGTGCGCCATACACTATGCAGGGAATGTTTTGGAGATGTGCTGGCGTGAAGGGATCTTGCAACACCTGTGTGACTTGTTCACGTGAGTTCAAGGGGAGTTGTCACTCACGATAATTACTATGAAATCCAGAAGGACATATTTTGTAAAGCCATGAGCCCTCTATCGTGCACGTTTTATTTCGTAAATCCGGAAGCTTTTGCAAGTGTTTTCAGTGTAAGGTCTCTTTTGCAGGACATTCATTTCCGTAGATTTCAAAACACAGCAAATCTGCGAAATTTTCTTGTTTTACAGCCTATAGATGAGAAACATGTGTGCACTCCAAAGAATGAGGAAGACTGTGCATGACTGTATTGTTGCTGTGGATCATATAGACTACATGACTGTACTTCGGAGTCGGATTGTCCATTGAAGAGGCTCTGCTTTCCCTGTTATTGCTTTTTAAATGTATACACATAAACCTGCGCGCGCACGCACGAGCCGTTGTACAGTTTCGGTGTGATGGAGTTCCTGGACAAGCTGTCGTCTGAATCACATCACGACTCCAGTGCTGACGAGAAGCTATCATCATCCGTAGTGTCGACACTTTGCCTGGCCATGTCCTCGTCAAACTCAGGTGAGATGGATGATGAAATTATGGGTCAGACCACGCTATAGCGACCCTTGCTATAACATAAACCTCACTACAACGTACGAAATGCAAATGTCCATGCCGAAACCACATCGCTTCTGTACAAAATTTCCTCGCTATATCATAATCCGCCATAGCGTAATGTTCGCCATACCGTAGTAACGCACATATAGGCACATGTGCCTGTATTCGGATATAAGCGCACTCTCACTTATAAGCGCATGCTGCGAAGCACTACCAAAATTATCACTTTGACACAACCACAGATAAAAGCCTGCAAACAGCATACAGGAACCATGAAACTGACACTACAAGACCTAGTCAAACACATAGACTCTGGCAAACGAACTCTGACCGCGCATGCGTGTTTAGGTGAAAAAAAATTGAAAATTGGATTCGTAGCAAAAATTCACTTATAAGTGCATGTGCTTATATGTGCGTTATTACGGTAACCCACTGTTCCGCAGTGTTCGCTCGGTCCAACGCGCACAGAGGCCTCAGTATAACACCAAAAGTCGTACAGTCGAGCGTCTTTCTGGCCCAAAAATCACTTTCTTTTCTTGAAATTTCTGTTCACAGCTGCATACCATTGCTTGCATTCAACGCACAAACTGGCATTCATGCGTTCTTCCAACGCTACACTAGCTGTGTAGACTTGGTAGCTAAGGTGTACTTCGAAGTAGTGAAGTAGTGCATGTATATTGCACTGCGGTGTAATTTTTTGACTCACGAATCCACAGAATTCTAGTAGCTGCCGTGCAATCTGAACTAGCTCATGCATATACGTTGATGTGGGTGTAGAAACAGCTAATGTTTGATTTCTGAACAGATATTCTATGGAATGCTGGCATTGTTTCTTGGTCCGTAGGTCTGGTGGACAGCGTGCAGTCGGTCGTCAGTCAGCTCTTCCCAGTGTGCAAGGTGGCACTGGAGAAACTTGCCCCGCACAGTGAGCAGCAGGAAAGTCTACTGAGCCGTGTGTGTGCACTTCTGTCATCGGCAACCAACAACAACTGTAAGTGCGTTTTCCCTCTAGAAAACTCCATTCCTATTCCCACTGCTTTAGTTAGGAGCTGCATCTGCGCCTTGAGCGTTTGATCTGTCGCAACAAGGATATTAGTTTTACATTTCTCTACTTCAGAGTTTCACATGTTTTTATAAGCAATCCTCAGAGACTGTTTTGGTGCCGTGCATTCCCAAGACTGAAAACAACACAATGTTGTTTGTAAAGACAGTGAAGACGCAATTTGTTACATCAATCTGGTCCAGAAATACACGGCCTGATTGATGATCATGTTTACCAGTATACTTCCAAAAAAGTATCAATATTTCATTGCAAGACATCGAGATTCCTGGCTCTATGAACCCACCTCGCTACGAAATACATTACCCAATTCTGTAGACAGCAAACTGTTTCGGCCATATAGGCCTCATCAGTACAGCTATGAGCTTTTTAAGCAAGCCGAGCTACCAGCCATGGTGCAAAGGAGGCACCACAGACATTTTTTTAAGATAGCTTGTCGCTCTAGCGCCAGAGTGCTCTAACTACGAGTACATTACAAACGTTCCTGTGGATGAGAAGAACATTGATCTCCTTCTTGGCACTGCTCTGATAGCTTGCTTTATGGTCCGGGCTCGATGTGCTTGACATAGGTGCCAATCAAGATCGTTCTCGAATCAGTGGAGTGCTCAGGGCTTCAGTTGGCTGCTTGCGTCGTGCAGTGGAGCAGGGCACGGTGCCGGGTGCGATGTCCGCAGAATTGCTTGGTCAGGTCCTGGAGACTGTCACGGTGGCTTGCACCAATAACGGTAAGAGTTCGTGTGCAGGTTTGGGCACATTGCCAGATAGTAGTAGCAGACAGTACACATGCCGATCTAGGCAGGCATGTGACTCAGATCTTTGGCCTTCACACAGGGCCTTGGGCAGAACATACCATACATCAAATAGCATACTGGCGACCGTTGTGAGGAAAAATCGGAGGTTGGAGGGTGGCGCTCGTTGTTTGGCGAGTAGTGTGTGTGTGTGTGTGTGTGTGTGTTTGGGGGGGGGGGGACGTGTGGGTTGGGAGTGTGTGTGTGTGGGGGGGGGGGGGGTGCGTTGGGAGTGTGTGTGTGTGTGTGTGTGTGTGTGTTCCGTGTGGTGTAGACCAGGTGTGCATTGGTGGTCGATTCACATGGCTTCGCCAGTTGTGTGGATTAGACAGTTACCTGGTGCAAGACTTGATCTGTCTCATTCAGATCTTGTTCGCTATCGTTGCTATAAGAGAAAATCTGCGAGTGCACATCCAGTGCATTTGCAGATTTGCGTGCTTCTCTTGCGACGGGCGTATACATGGTACATGGTGTGTGTGTGTGTGTGTGTGTGTGTGTGTGTGTGTGTGTGTGTGTGTGTGTGTGTGTGTGTGTGTGTGTGTGTGTGTGTGTGTGTGTGTGTGTGTGTGTGTGTGTGTGAGAGTTGTGTGTGAGAGTTGTGTGTGTACGCATGCGCGTGTGTGTGTGTGTGTGTGTGTGTGTGTGTGTGTGTATGTGTGCTCACGTAATCACTTGTGCGCGTGTGTGTGTGTGTGTGTATCTGTACTTATGTTGCAGATGTGAACAAGGCCACCGTGTGCAACATGGGCATCATGCCACTCTACTGCAGCTTGCTGTCGCATCACGAGAGCATAGCTGGTGGTACTCTGGCAACGCGCCTGCTTCTTGCAATCCTGTGCATACTGGACTATGGTGGTAAGTAGGATAGATTGCTAGCAGGTGATCCAGAATTTTGATGAAGATGGAGCATAGACCAAACTCGATCTAGGCAGGGGAATGGTTCATTCTTACTGAATTTTCATGGATTTCTTGTGGTTGCCTGCAAAGAAGATACAGGATAGAATGCAACTGAAGTTGGCTGTGGCGGATAATGAACCACATGCCTCCTTGTGTATGCACATGTCATATACTGAGCACTTACGCTAGCCCGTGCCCCCCCCCCCCCTCCCCATCTGAGCCTGCCACCACTGGTTGCAGTTCTCACAGGGGGCAATACAATTCCATTGGCATGTGATGCTAAAATACGCATTCGATTGTTCTTTTCTGACCATTCTGCTAGACAATTCAACCAGGTCGTTCGTGGAGTCTGGTGCTGTTCCACTCTTGATTAGGACCGTTGTGAATTGCAAGGTGAGCATGCTCTACTTTCGATGGTTTCTTGGGGTTTTCAAAGTGATAGTGTGTCTCATCAGTTTGATGTTGTGGTTGTAGGCATTGCTTGAGCCACAGTAGCAGTAACAGTATTTTGTTAAAATGGCGGCAACTCGATCAATATCTCATAGGGTAGCAGCCGGCACCTCTCATACCATTGATGTGGTCGCACAATCATTTATCTATGTGCAAAACAAAAGTTTGTTGTTTGTTTTTTAATGTGTGTGTGTGCACGCGCGCGTGTGTGTGTGTGTCCTTGGGATGGACGATAACGTTCACTTTCCACTCTCAGGACTCAGATGTTCACAAAGCCGCCATTCTTGTTTTGGACACAGTCAACAAGTATGAAGGAAACAATCCCCAACTTGTGACAGGCAGTGTAAGTGGTTTTAAATGAAACAGGATTTCCTGGCTGCCCTGCATCTAAAGGGAAAGACGTTGAACTTGTCTCCAACTTGATCCTTTCCATCCAGGTCATTCACAACATTGCATGGGTGGACAGATGCGGGGCAGGTGCAAGCAGCATTGTACGCGCCCATGCTTACTTTCTCCAGTTTGCAGCAATAACTAGCTAGGTTTCCTAGGCCTCCGCTCACTCACAGTCTGGGGCTACACCAGAACAAACTCAGTGTAGCCAAGTTTCACCACCAGAGATTCGTCAGGGATGAGAAGATGATAACATGATAATTGCTCAACACTTTGTTTAAGTGAAAGCAATAAATGGAGCGGCAGGCGCACCAATGTTGTAGTTGTAATTCTAACACTACTTCTCCATCACTGCATCAGCTCAACCGCCACCACTGGACTGCCTTTTTACACTCTTTTATTGACAAATAACCAAGAACACGGAAAACGACTACATCTTGACAAGACGACAGACCAAAGACTAGCTCACACAGTTTTGCGCATGCGCACAACACCACCAACCAATGACGCGTGTCCACAGCGACCAAGACGAAACAAACACGTGACACCAAATCTACCACAATATCCCGACCAAAAAAACACATACCGTCCTCGGTATGACCAAATAAAACACAATACGCAGAGAGACGCAACCGCAAACAGCAAAAGTATCCACAGGACCAACGCATGTAGCTCCCCAGAATAAAACAGGGCAACCAAAGCCAGAAGAAAGAAAGAGAGGTGAATGTTAAAGAGAAGAGAAGAAACACTGCATTGCTGTCTAGCCACGCACACACAAAAAAACACAGGCTAAACCTAAGCCTAAAAACCGATGGGCCCTGCCCATCCACACAACGCCAGCCAAACCCATGACTGTCACCGAAAAAACAAAAATAAATAAAATATATACATGGCAACGACAAACAAGCAGCGAGTCTAGCTCCCAGCAATGAACCGGGGCTCACCCTGATCGGACGTTCGTTGCCTTCGATGTGGACTGCCACAAGGAGAACCAACCGTGGTTCACCATGATCAGACGCCAGTTCCCAAGACAAGTAGCAATTCAAACAAACTCCCGTATGCACACACACATGCACACACATAAACACTCACCGGAAAACAAAGAAAAGAAGAGAGATATGGAGAGAAGAAAGGCGGCGCATTCCCAGCCAGCACACGACTTCGGAGCAGCAGGAAGCCAACTGCGAAGCTGATACTCCACTCGTATCAGGACAACGAAACGGCGGACGCACAGCGACACTTGAACACAGCTCAGCGGAGGGCGTCAGCTTGATTGAATTGAGTAGACGACGACGACGGGACGACGACGACGGGACACCGGACGACGATACAGCACGACGACACAGCACGACGACACAGCACGACGACACAGCTCCACGACGAACGTTCGAACACGGACAGGGGTGACGAATAAACCAGGACAGTCCAGCAGTGACGGGAGCAACACACATCGCAGGGTCGTGAGCTGCGGAGGCAGAACTCCGCGTCGAGAGATAGTTGGGCGCCAAATGTTGTAGTTGTAATTCTAACACCACTTCTCCATCACTGCATCAGCTCAACCGCCACCACTGGACTGCCTTTTTACACTCTTTTATTGACAAATAACCAAGAACACGGAAAACGACTACATCTTGACAAGACGACAGACCAAAGACTAGCTCACACAGTTTTGCGCATGCGCACAACACCACCAACCAATGACGCGTGTCCACAGCGACCAAGACGAAACAAACACGTGACACCAAATCTACCACACCAACACGAACCATGACAGTATTTTGCCAACGTGTTTATTCCTAAAACCTTTGTTCTAATTCCACTTTTGTCTGTGGTCTTCAGGCAGCAAGCGGTTCAAGTTCTGCGCATACGGGTTCAGTGAGGTACACTAGTCCGCAGCGTACTGCCGGACAAACTCTTTCTCACAGCACCAGTGCTAGTGAAACAGTTGGTGGAGCAGGTACACTAGATACAAGGTCTGCTCTGCAGGCAGCAGTCACCACCAGCCCTCACCGAACACCTATCCGTCACCACACTCTGGGTGAAATCACCCAATACCATTCAGTGGCAGCATGCTCAACTGGCAGAGCAGCTCCGAAATGCCAGGTCAGCGCTGCGGGGACACCTCGACCAAACACGGACCGCCGGCAGACAACACCGGCGGTTTCGCCGCCGTCACTGTACAGGACTGCTGCTCCCGGTTTTCCCAGCACGGCTTCTTTCTCCCGGTCACCCGCAGCTGCGCTGCACAGTTCAGACAAAACCGCTCGCTTGACGCCCGTAGCAATTCCAGACCCAGTGGATCAAATGTCGACCGGTTCGAGGCAATCCCTGTCACGCGGTATACAAGTGCGGTCAAAGAACAGTGTTGACACGGAGATAGAGCCCACTAATGCCAGATGTGCACCAGTCTCTAGTAGCAACACTAGGTCTCACAAGGCCTTTGCTTCTGATGCAGGTTCCATTGTGCGAGGTTCCAGCGGGCCAGGGTCACGTGATTTGCGCGTAAGCAGTATTCGTCAAGACGAGGTGAGCTCGCCGGCCTCTGAAGCACCTGCGTGTATGGTCTGCAAAATGAGTGCGCTCGGACGCGTTACCAGTCGCTCGTTTTCTAGAGTATCGCTCGGGCGAGCCAAGGCATCTCTCTGTGCCGAACACCGGTCGTCCAGGTGGAATCTGGACGAGTTTGCGGCCGCTTCAAGCTGTGTTGAGTCTGATGCATCATTCGTCTCTTCCAATTGCCATAGTATGGCCAAACCCCACATTGACACATATGCCTATTGCTCAGATTCATCAGTTGTCTTTGAAACCACGGCAGCACCAAGGAAGAAGAAGCGGAAGCTTCTCTCGGCCAGAAATATGACTGCTTGCATTACCCCGCTCCGTCACACAGCCACTAGTCAGCCCTCTGTTCAGCCACCTCTCTCACGATTGTCAGAATGCGAGCGCCAACAGGAAAGAGAGCATTGTGGTCGGGTAGAGCCTGACCTTAACCCACCATCCACTGTGCATAGAGAGCTACTGCAACCTTCTCGCCCATCTTCGGTCGTTGGGTTGGGATGCGAACCTCGTGCGGAAAGCCATCACTCGGTAGTGTCTCGACACAATTCACCCATACGGGATCCTCCCTTACATAAACCTGCAAGCCACACTGTGGGTAGCAGTCACACCAATAATGCTGCTGCCCACCTGGCGAAAAGCAAAGCATCCACTGATATGTACGTTTCATTCACCGACACCGAGCTTACCGCCAAGGCCACAGCTGTACAGGAAGACCGCCCCACTGACATCAATTCTACAGGGCAGCACAGATCCAGAGATGATGGTTGCACAAGCAAACTCTCCGCATTCACTAGCCAAGGGCTAGATCTTTCGGCCTGCAATCTAGACACGGTGACAAAGAACTTGTTTCCGGTTGATCTTCTCGACATGAGTATGGAATGGAAGCTAGGAGATGGCAGCGAGCCAGAGATATACAACTGTGAACAAGATGCCATCACACAGCAGTATACTGAACGGCGTGCATCTGATAACGCTGAAGAGTGCCGGGACTGTCCCGGCAGGATCCAGTCACATGTGAGTGATGATAAGCCAGGTGTTTGTTCCTCTGAATGGAAGAGTTCCGCACCTGAGCTGCACGCTCAACCAGTTAGTGCTGCGTGTGGTCCGTCCACTGCACGCTTGAAGCAACAAGGTATCAGTTCTAGTTCAACCACAGGAAAGACGCAACACAGAGCAGCAGTTGTTGAAACCGATCAATCCGTTAGTGCTGTGTGTGGTCCGTCCACTGCACGTTTGAAGCAACACGGTATCAGTTCTAGTTCAACCACAGGAAAGACGCAGCACAGAGTGGCAGTTGTTGTTGAAACGCGTCAGCAACACAGTCAAAGAGAGCAGCAGCATCACGATTGGCAGCACCAGCTCGGCCATCAGCAGAAGCAGGAGGTTCTCCGGCGTCATCACAGACCTCTCATGGCCTACCACGATGACGGTGACATGTTTGGACTAAACTCAGACTACGAAAGTCACCGGAGCAGGAAGGCGCCATTCCGTCGGAAGGAAGTCTTCACCGATGAACAAACCAGCTCTGGCGATGAGAAGACAGGGCCGTCTCATCGGGCGGCCAATGCAAATGCCAATGTCAGCAGGAAGCATGGACGACCTGCGCGTCGTGGCAAGAAAAGATACGAATGCCCTACGCCCAGAGACGACGGCAAAATCTACCCGCGCTTTGCAAAACGGCACAAAAAGGTATGTTTGTTGTGTTGTTTTTAAAACGTATATTGGAAAGTCAAAGGCAAATTGTCATGTTGGAAAGTCAAAGGCAAATTGTCAAAGAGAAGATTCCGAGCTGGACTTGCCCCGCACTTGCAATGCTCTGTGCCAGTGGTTGCTAGGTGATCGACTGGTAGAAGTAGTTGCTAAGCTTTTTTACTAGAGGATTCCTAACTAGTGATGCCTTATTACAGGGAACCCTAGATGAAGTCTGAGAATACTGTAAAAGCAGAAATTTTCGGTGGTGTTTTATTTTCGGTAACTTTGGTGCCGACAATTTTTACCAAAAATAAAACGCACCGAAAATTTTGTTACTACCGGTACTGTATACATGTACAGTCCATTTCAAAACTATAGACGCGTAGGGTTTTTGAAATATTTCAAATTTGGCTGGAGCTTTTTGAGAATAGTTTTTTGGAATATTGCTCAGGTCCGCTCCACAATTACTCTCATATAGTTTCTAAACGATTGGATAACAGACGCCCAATTTGGAAAAAATTATGCACAAAGTGATCACAGATTTTATGTGGTATAGATGCTGGCATAACGGTTTTTGCCTAGGTACGCGTCTATAGTTTTGAAATGGACTGTAGTACAAGTACAATTACCTGGAAAACGGGTTTTACCGAAAATTTCCCTCCACTGAACCGCCGATTTTGGAGAATTCCAAAAATATTACACCACCGAAAATTTCTGCTTTTACAGTAGTCCTGTGAGTTGTCGAGTGAGTAGACTACAGAGTAACTGAGTGAACACATACTAGTAAGCGAGGGACTGGCTCAGCAAGGCGCAGCAAGTAGGGATGGGAGCAGTGCATGATGGGCTGTCGCAAGTTGGTAGCTCCATGGCCAGTCACCTGTGCTGTTTGCTAGGTATCGAAAAGATTTTCGTGCCCAAGCCGACAGCATACAAAATAAAATCCCAAAATGCATGAATACACTGGCAGGGTGGGACCTTTGGGAACACTGCGGCATCGGTGGAATGACAGGAATGTCCCTTGCTTGCATGACAGGTTACATGCATCAAATAATGATGTGTCTACCATCACAGGCATGAAGCCACCAGTACCGCCACCTCTCATTCTTACAGTGAAACCTGTCTAAGACGACCGCTCAGGGGACCTTCAAAAATTTGGTCTCTGTTACCAGGCGGTCTCCTTATCCAGGATCAATTGACTGGAAGTAGCATCCCCTGGCCGTGGTTCCTGTAGTGTAATGAGTAGCATCATCGATAATGTTCCCCCTTCTGCAATAAAGATTCAGGCGAAACTCCCCGATAATGTTCCCCCTTCTGCAATAAAGATTCAGGCGAAACTACTCAAAGTAGCTACCGCTACATGGCGCAGTGAACAGGATCAGTGAAAGAAAAATACTAGTAACATTGATCCGCAACGAACCTGTTCCGCAACGGCAGGATGGCTCGATTCCAGCCACCGGGAACGTTTGACTTCGCCGATCCGACGCAATGGGACGACTGGTTGGAGCGATTCCGCCAGTTCCGAAAAGTCACGAAACTGCACAAAGAGGACGAAGACGTACAGGTCGCAACTCTGCTGTACACGATGGGTCCACAGGCGACCACTGTATTCAAGCAGCTGACGTTCGCCGACGCGGGTGATCGAGAGAAATATAAGGAAGTGGAGACTAAACTCTCGGCCTACTTCAAGCCCGTTTCCAACGTCGTCCACGAACGAACGATGTTCGAACGCGCCACCCAGTCGCCATCCGAGACCGTGGACGAGTTTCTGCGTCGTCTCCACCGCATCGCGGACAAATGCGAGTTCAAGGACGCTCGCGATGACCGCATCCGCGATCGCTTTATGGCCAACCTGGTGGACAGGAAGCTCACCCTCGAGCTCCAGCTGCTCGACAAGCCAGACCTGGCCAAGGCTGCTACGCACGCCAGGAACTACGAGCAGGTGCACCGACAAGTGGCGGCGCAGCGCCACCAATTGGAGATCTCTGCACCCCCGCAAGAAGCAGCAGTACGATCGAGCACACCCAGCCAGCGCCGTCCCGACCACTCACCAGCGCTCCGCGCAGGCCAGGAGCCCTGCAGATGGTGTGGGAAACCGGCTACACACTCCCGACGTGAGTGTCCTGCTCGGTCTGAGAAGTGCAGCTCCTGTGGTAAAATGGGCCACTACAGCAGGGTGTGCCTGTCCAAGGCCAGCAAGGCACCGCAACAGCAGTCAGCACACTCTGTGCAGCCGGCCAGCTGGTCGCCGCCAGACCAGAGCCAGTCACTGTTCATGGGTGGTGTCACCGATGCTAACCTGCTGGAGGGCGGACCCTGGATGCGCTCAGTGACGATCGGCCAAACACCGGTGGTGTTCAAGGTCGACACAGGTGCGGATACATCCGTGATGAACGCCAGCACCTTTGCCAGCCTACAGCCCGCCCCAGCACTTAAGCGGCCATCCACCAACCTGATGGGACCCGATGGCGCCCGGCTCAATCTGGCCGGTCAGTTTTCCGTGGCCAGCCAGGCACTCACTGGCGAAGTTTTCAACCACGAGGTTTACGTGCTCGCTGGAGATGGTGCCAATCTGCTGAGCCGACAAGCCTCCATCCGCATGGGCTTCGTCCGACAAGGCATAGGCCACATCAAGGCAGACCCGACGCGTGCTGAGCCGTTGGGGTGTATGCAAGGCCCGCCCGCCACCATCCGGCTCAAACCCGACGCCCAGCCATATCACTGCCCAGTCGCTCGACGGGTGCCTTTCCCACTGCTCCAGAAGGTAAAGGCCGAGTTAGCACGAATGGTGGACACTGGCATCGTCGAGCCCGTAACCGAGCCCACTGAGTGGTGCGCCCCAATGGTGGCCGTCCGCAAGAAATCAGGTGACGTCCGGATCTGCGTCGACCTCAAGCGTCTGAATGCGTCCGTGCAGCGTGAGTCCTTTGTCTTGCCGACTGTGGACGAGACACTTGCCAAGCTCGCCGGAGCCACGGTCTTCTCCACGCTCGACACACACAAGGGTTTCTGGCAAGTACCCCTCGCCGCTTCTTCCCAACATCTCGCCACATTCATCACACCCTTCGGCCGCTACATGTTCCGACGTCTTCCATTCGGGATCACATCGGCGCCCGAGATTTTCCAGCGTCGGCTGATGGCCATACTGGAGGGAATACAGGGTGTGTGTGTCTTCATGGACGACATTCTAGTGTACGGTGCTACCATTGAAGCCCATGACCTGGCTCTACAACAAGTTCGGGAGGCGCTAGCGGCTGCATCCGTGACTCTGAACCCGGACAAGAGCCATTTGCGCCAGCCGACAGTCAAATTCCTGGGCCACCGGATCAGTGCAAGCGGGGTCCAGCCCGATCCTGACCGTGTCGCGGCAATCCTGCAACTGGCTGCTCCTACTGATGTCCCCGGTTTACGCCGGCTGCTAGGCCTCTTCAATTATGTGGGGAAGTTCATTCCCGATTTGGCCAGCATCTCCGCACCTCTCCGTGCACTGCTCCGCACTGACGTCGCTTGGTTGTGGGACGCCCAGCAACAGGCGGCACTCGACCAGTTGAAGTCCCTCGTCGCTAAAGCCTGCACTCTCGCCTTCTTCGACCCAGCCAAGCCTGCCACGGTCAGTGCTGATGCCAGCAGCTATGGTCTCGGAGCTACCCTACTACAGATGCACGACGGCGAGCTGCGCCCAGTCGCCTACGCTTCCAAGTCTCTCAGCGATACCGAAAAGCGCTACGCACAGATTGAGAAGGAGCTGCTCGCTGTGACATGGGCCTGTGACCACTTCGCACAGTACCTCCAGGGTGGCTGTCCGTTTCAGGTGCAAACCGATCACAAGCCTCTGGTGCCATTGATCAACGCCAGGGACCTCGACAACACGCCACTCCGGTGCCAGCGAATGCTCATGCGGCTGCTCCGATACGACGTGACAGCTGTCTACGTGCCGGGTCCACGCCTCGTAGTTGCAGATGCTCTGTCCCGGGCTCCCGGCGACGACAGCACCGAAACCTCCACCATGGCCGACGTCATCAACGACATCGAAGCCCATGTGTCCGCCGTCTCGGCTGAGTATGCATCGCCCGACTTCTGCAGCCGTGTTCGCCTCGCCATAGCCGATGAGGCCATCCTCGCTCAGGTGCGCCAGTTCGTTGCCGCCGGCTGGCCCGACAAAGAGCACAGCATCCCGGACAACCTCCACCCATACTTCCACTCCAGGCAGGCCCTCTCCATCGCCGATGGCTGCCTGTACTTCGGCGATCGGCTAGTCATACCTGCGTCCCTGCAGTCCGAGGTCTTACGTGCAATCCACGAGGGTCATCAGGGCGTCACCAAGTGCCGTGCCCGTGCCCGGGCAGCAGTGTGGTGGCCAGGGCTTAGCAGTCAGATCGCCGACACAGTCCGCAACTGCGAAGTCTGCAGCCGGACACGCCTGGTCCCCGCAGCTCCACTGCACCCTCTGCCACTCCCAGACCGCCCATGGCAGCGCGTTGCGGCCGACCTCTTCACACTGGATGGTATCGACTACCTGATTACGGTTGACTACTTCTCCCGATTTGTAGAAGTGGATCAGCTCCGCACCACCACCTCCGCCGCCATCATTGCGGCCCTCAACATGCACTTTGCGCGGCACGGTTTCCCAGACAGCTTCGTTTCGGACAACGGGCCGCAGTTTGCTAGCTCGGAGTTCGCACTCTTCCTGACCCGTCACGATATCGAGCACCGTACCAGCTCACCTCGCTACCCGCAGAGCAATGGCATGGTAGAACGCTCAGTGCGCACCATCAAGGAGCTACTCCGCAAGTCCACCGACCTCCCGACAGCTCTACTCGCGTATCGCTCTACCCCGTTGCAATGTGGTTTCACCCCTGCTCAGTTGTTAATGGGGCGGCAACTCCGCTCCACAGTGCCAACACCCGCGGCCCAGCTGACACCAGCCTGGCCAGACCTGGATCTGGTTCGCCGTCGAGAAGCTCAGCAGCAGGACCGGCAAGCCTCGGACTTCGACCGCAGACACCGTGTCCGGTCGCCCAGTCGGCTCGCAGCGGGGGACCGGGTGTGGGTTACAGACCTGCGCCAGGAAGGAGTGGTACAGCTACAGCTCAGCGAGCGATCTTACAATGTCAAGACAGCCACCTCCACCGTACGTCGAAACGCGAGGAGCCTCCGGCCACTCCCGCCAAGCCCAGCAGAAGTGGAGACACCAGCAGCCCCCATCGCCCTGCAGCCCGAGGCCACCGGGACACGCGGCAGAGAATCTCCCGTGGCGAGCTGCGACGGCACACCAGCTGCTGCCGAGGCCGGCACAAGTGCCACCTCCACTACGCGTTCAGGTCGCAAAGCCATTGCACCTGAGCGGCTTATCTCGACCATATGAACATGGACCTTCCACTCTTTCCGTTAGGGGAGATGTAGTGTAATGAGTAGCATCATGACAGAACTCTATCCCTAGGCATAGCATTGTCTGTCTCCTGGTTTCTCCTTCCTACTCCCTACACTCACTCGCATTGATCTAACGTGCGTACGTGTGTAAGAACCGCACCCTGCCTGCTGTACCATAGACTCATGCATTCATGTACCGCTGTACTTGCTGGCTGCGCATCACTAACCCTTCCCCTTCTATGGCACAGTCCCCGCACTGAATGCAGTACTCGGGTGCGCGTGCGTATTCATGTCTGAGTCCACTGCCCTCGGGCTCCATCTATACATGGCATCCCGTACTGGGCACGCTGCTTCCGGTCGCTGTTGTGTGCACGCAGCGCCGTAGTCTATTCCGCTCTCTGTCTTCTCTACACAGTGATTCCTGTGTAGGGCTCTCTTCGTTTCTGCTCTCCTTGTAGTAAGTTGTGCTTTTCCGTGTCCGATAATGTTCCCCCTTCTGCAATAAAGATTCAGGCGAAACTACTCAAAGTAGCTACCGCTACAGTTCCAGTGGTCTTCTAGGACAGGTGGTCGCCTTATATGAGTGATCGCCTTGACAGGTTTACTGTGTGTGATGGTGACATCTTGTTGTTGTGCAGGGCATGGCCACTTCAGCAACCGCAGATGATAGTGGTGGTAGTGATAGCGGCGGTGGCGGCGTTTTCTACAACAAGGAGAATGATGCATTATGGTCCACACTACTTGGTGAGGAGGAGTCACCAACATTACAGCGGCATTCCGTCAAGGCCAAATCCGTCTATGGTCATTCCTCCTCCAGCAAAACAGGAACTGTACGTTTGTGCGGTGTGCGTCTTTGAGAGTGCGTTTTTAAAATCACTACAATCTAACTGCCTTGCTTACTGTGCCCAACCTGAAATCAGAACGCTCTCCATCTGCAGTGACGCCCCCTCCCCCCTCCCTTTGGCTAGAAATGGGCACACTCATAGCTGCCTCGGTCTGAAGTGATTGCAACCTTTTGGCCAGAATACTGGTACAGGTGGAATCCTGACAATTCGAATATGGCTTAATTCGAACATACCGCTTGATTAGAAGTTTTTCCAGGACCGATTTCGAAATTCTATCAATACGATTCCCACATAAATTTTTCTGATAATTCGAACCTAATTTAGCTAAACTGGATGTGTCCGGTTAATTAGAAGTCCCACGGATTCCACTTACATAGAAAATGTGTGGGATTTGTGCTGATAATTCGAAGTTAGTAAAGTGTAATTCGAAGTTCACTGTACACTGTACTGGTCAGTTCAGTTTGCATGAGCAGGCTGTGCCGGTCAGTTCAGTATCCGTGAAATCTGTGTGTAAGGACCATAGCGCAACTCTGCGTGACCATGAGAGCATTTTGACATACATATTGCGTTGTGGATTCATGTTTGGATAATTAGAATGTCCGGATATTGCGGATAATTAGAAGTTTTTCCTGGCATTTTGAGGTTCGAATTATCAGGATTCCACCTGTACCTTCACACGTGTCTTCACCTATGGCACCTGCTTATTGCATTCCTGAATAATGTGGGGTTGTTGCACTGAAGCCATGTAATTGTTAATGAGAGGGATCGCATGGGAACGGTGTATGCTTTTACTGGGTGAAAATATGACATCAGCGTGTTTCCTATGGTTACAGACTCGCTCTCGCATCAACTCTACTTCAGCCATTGATTCAGTACCCCTCCCAATCACTGACTGGGATACATCAAAGTTAGCTGTACCGCAGGCTATGGCTGATCGTCACGAACTCCCACGTGATACCAAACTGCACACAACGCTGATAAATAGCGGGCAACCCAGTAATGCCGAGTCCAAGCAGCACCCTCGCCTGGGAGATATGCGGCTCAAGGACTTCTCCGTGGTAGTGCAAGATCACAAGAAGTCTGCCAAGTACCGCCAACCGGCTTCGGGCAAGGAGAATGATACGACCGCAGCACACCACCATCCAGGACTATCACCGCACAAACTATCCACCACTGTACAGGCCAGCGTGAGCAGCTACAACCTCCGAGACACGACGGACCAGTCAGCGCTTGACGAGGACACAGACGCCTCCTGCTTCAGCTCTGGTGTGAGTTCATAACTAACAATTGCCATAATACATTGTATGGTGATTGTGAGTTCATGTGTGATAATTTTGAGTTCTAGTGTGGTAGTTGTATGGCAATCAACCTTACACCACCACCACCACCACCACCACCACCACCACCACCACCACCACCACCACCACCACCACCACCACCACCACCACCACCACCACCACCACCACCACCACCACAGTGCGAAAAAAAAAAGAATGGCAGGAAGTTGTCGGAAAGTTGATTGATTAACGGCATTATAAGTACTGTGTTATCGCTGTGCACTGAAAATTCATTCATTTGTGCAAGTGAGCAAACTTCAGCAGTCTAGGCTTGTGTTAGTTGACTGCTTAGGCTGTCATCACACCATGGTACAAAGCGCTGCGTCTACGCCCACGTAAGGAGTTTTTGGTCGGTTGTCATGATGATCCGCATACGGGGTGAAAGCGGGAGCAGAGGAAACGGGAGACGTAGACGTGGTATGGAGAGGGGGGGGGGGGGGGTATACGACTTTTTGTATGAACGTGCGTATCTCCCCCAGCCTTTTTCCCAGCGACCCTGTACTTCGATGTACGTGCGTTCAAATTTCTCCAAAAACCTGACTGCGTGTACAGTTGAACATCGATTATCCGACCACCTCTGGGCAGACAACTGTCAGGCGGTGTTCAGATAAGGCAAATGTTCCGGATAAGAAACATGTACATGTACATGTACGACCTTTTTTTTCTTCAAAATTTTCGTATTTTTTGAATGGCTCACTACATGCACAGTGCGTACTCTACGGCACGTGCGCCCAAAAAAACCGTTACGGATAATCGAATGGTCGGATAGTCGATGTGCGGATAATCGATGTTCAACTGTACGCGTCAGGAACTGTGCCTGTCTGATGACGCTACCACCCGTTTTGGTTTTTCACCATAGACGTAGACGTAAACGGGAGTCGGAGAACGTAGTGTGATGACAGCCTTATCAAGTTGTTCAATGCTTGTAATATTACAAGTTCATTCAACGTACAGTAGTGGAAAAAGTACCGTAAAGTACTGTTGATCCGCCCCCTCTCTAATTCCCGCCCCCTGTCGATTTTTTACTTGTGAAGCGACTTCAACGTATACAACGAAAATACGATGTTGAACCGACGCATGCACTGCTGTACACAATACTTGCCAATCCAGGATAAAAATGTGCACAATCCAGCACATCGAATCTGAACTTCTACGTTGTTGTACATCGTACTGCACTTGACAGCCTTGATCTAATTCCCGCCCCCTGCCGAAAACCCAGCTGGGAAGCGTCATGGCGTGGGGGGCGGATCAACGGTACTTTACGGTGTTTGACAGGGGTCTTTTATTGCAGTATAAAATGTCCTTCTCAAACGCTTGTGATGCCTATCACCCCATGTATGTCGTTGAACGGTTCAACTAATCATCACAGCTTGCTAGGAAGTACCTGTGCGTTGTTTGGCTGCATGTGGTTTGCCCTTCACTCTTCCTATGGCAATACTACCAATGTGATGTTCCTGCAGGGCACAAGAATACGACGGCGTCAGCGCGTGCCCATGGAGCAGTGGGAAGTGGACAACCTCGTCCGAGGCGTGGAAAAGCTGGGATTCCGCTGGTCGCACATCCGCGACGCGTTTCCATTCCTGGAGAGGCGCACCGCCATGGACTTGCGGGACAAGTACAGGCAGCTACAGGTGAGGATTCGTTTTGAGATGCTGGGGAAGTTACAGCTCTAATGGTGTTATTGCATTGCTGGAGGTCCGGAATGATTCTCTACTCATTCCCAGGAGAGAGAGAGGGAGGGAGTGAGGGAGGGAGTGAGAGAGAGAGAGAGAGAGAGAGAGAGAGAGAGAGAGAGAGAGAGAGAGAGAGAGAGAGAGAGAGAGAGAGAGAGAGAGAGAGAGAGAGAGAGAGAGAGAGAGAGAGAGAGAGAGAGAGAGAGAGAGAAAGAGAGAGAGAGAGAAAGAGAGAGAGAGGGGGGGGGGGGGGGGAGGGAGGTACTGATAGGTTTTTTAAACAACATGCATGCACAAAAGTGGCTATCATACAGCTGTAGTGCTGGCCGATGTACAGCACCACCCAGCCGTGAGTGCTTGTTCCTTGACTCCACCCACTATTGTGGGTTTGACGGGCTTTGAGGGTAGCCCAAGCCGTGTGTGAGTGAGCGAGTTCATGCGTTATCAGCAGGATGGAAGTGCTGCACGGTGTAGGGATTCATGTGTAGAGTGCTCAGTCTTTTAACCCTTTAAGAGCCACAGGAAAATTTCAAAATTCTGCATTTTTTCGTGTTCCTTGGATCATAGCTTCAGTTCTACTCACTCAATCCTCACAATCTAGGGCTTCCTGGAACGGTCTCCGCGAGAGGAAGAGAATGAGGTTGATCATGAGAGCCAGCACACTGTCTATCCAGCGCTAGATCGCAGCGACAGTACGAAAAATGCCCCAAATGCGTCCAATTGCGTCCCGCTCCAGATATTTCATTTTACTCGATCGTGGAGTTCCAATTTTTTTGCTGTGTACTCTTGACAATATCAACAGTGAAACCCGTGCAAATTCAAGTAAACCAGCGTGACGAAAAGTCTCAAAATTCTCAATACTAAAGTCGCACTGCGCGCTTTTGAAATTGCCGCGATCGCGGCTCAACTTACGAGTGATTTATCTCAGGAACCGTTGCTCGCAGCGCTTCGCGGATTGTTTCTCCCGACAGGTGAGAGTTTTCTCTTCGCCCTGGATATTTCGATCGATGGATTAGAGCGAGATTGGACTGAGTTACGATCTTTTGAAGTTTTGCATTTGCTTGCGTCGTTTACTTACGACGCATTCAAGTATGGGGCGGCTCTTAAAGGGTTAAAAGGGCTGTCCGATAGAGGCTATGAGATTTCACCATCATTTGTATGGAGTGCATCTGGCTAGCACCAATTTGCCACTTCATACAAAGCATGCACGGTGATATCATTTGCATAACCTCTATTCATGTACATGTAACGGCTTTGCACGGTGTTCCGACTTCTCGACGTCCTTAGTCCACATGCCAGTATACAAGTATGTAAAATTCTACATACTGTGGAAGACGATTCGATTTGGCCCTCTAACGACCTCAAATGCTGAGGTTATGTTTTCATACCCACCTATCCAAGACAGCCACCCTATTGCCTTTAGAATGTGAGGTATGCATCGAAGATGGCCGTCACCTTTTTGCGGGGCAAGTTGACTAATTTTCGGCAGGTACAATCCATTCTAGTACATGTATGAGTGTAGCTTACCCAGTTCATGACCTCTCATGCAGAGTTGGTATCACAGTGTGTACGATTGTAGTGGACTTGCCCCGCAAAACCTATTGTGAGAGCCGTGGGCCAATAGCCCCGGTGAGAAGGCCGCAGTCTTCAAGCCTGTTCATAATTATGGTGAATTAAAATAAGAAAACAACAACCCAGCGGCGGGAAATAGATGCATACGTCCCATCGGGTAAAACCGTACTTGGGTTATCTCTATGGGTGTTGAATGGGATTCTGGTCTAGAAGGACCCCAAACACGCCTTGTTATGACATCCACTTTCCGCAGCTTCACACCACATGTACGAGTATGCAAGAAGATTTTTGCTTTTCTCTTTCTCTGTGTGTGTGTGTGTGTGCTCATGTGTGTGTGTGTGTACTTACACATGCACTCACACACCTCAGAAATCCCAGAAAGTCAAGCCCGCGCTGGGCGTTCCAGCCGTCGCTCAAACAAAGATTGGGGCGCGCAAATGGGCCCAACGAGGAAAACTGCCAAGAATTTAGGTAGATCGACTGTATGCATGTGTACCAGAAGCCTACCGGCACTTCCGTGGAACAAGCCACAATACAGAGTATGCTATTTATTAATTTTCTTGATTTCTCTATTTTGAAAACTGTCACCCTAGCTCTCTCAAACTCTACAATATATAGGCTACACATGTAATGCGGAGCTCGTACGTTTACACCATTCTATGGTGTTTGTATTGAGTGACGTCACGCATGCACGCACATATGAACCCCCATACACACACTCACATACACAGACACACAGACACACACACACACACACACACACACACACACACACACACACACACACAAAATAATAATATTGAATTGCCATTCCATAATGCTGAAGTACATAGCATGCAGTGATGGTATTGGCTTACCACTGTCCCTATGCGTGCAGACCCAACAACGGGTAGAGAAAATCATTATTTTCATTGCAATTGAGTACAAATAAGTTAGTAGCATGACTTGGCCCAGATCTGGTCAAACCTATTTTTCTTTTAATAGGAGTGCAGCATCCACTGCAGACACTTCAGTGAATATGCACACCTCTCCAATATTTCCATGCTCAAGCCGCTGCCCTGCAAGGAGACTGAAATGACAATTGAAACGGTGAAATCTTCGGCTTATTGGAACAAAAATGCAAAGTTCTTTCTTTAAAAATGCAATGGATATGGAATTTTGGAAATCTCAAACTACTGTCAGTCTAATCGTGAGAGGGGGGAGGGGGGGGGTGACAGAGACAGAGATGGGGGGGGGGACTAACCAGGTTCGTTTTGGAAACAAAGGGGTATCGCCGTTACTTGACAGCCCTTTAGTTTAGTTACATGTAGTAAGTAACTAGTTAGAGAATGTGCATACAAATGGCACATACGTGTGCACACACACACACACACACACACACACACACACACACACACACATGCACACACAAACACACACACACACACACTTGGACTCCTCCTCCCCCCCCCCCCCCCCCTGAGAGGGGAGAGTGATTCAAAAGGAATCCTGGACTGAAGATGACTCAATTGGCTATTGAACCGCCCAATGGCCGACACCCCCTGAAATCCCCAAACTCCGGGTCGACTTGGGGATGACCCCACTTAGTTATGGGCTCACCGCACCTCACTAAGTGGGTGAGGAAAGGTGGAGAAAAAAGGATTGACGGCATCAAGCATTCAAGGTATCCGTCCCAGGATCCAACTGCATCAGGCATTATTTGGAGGGCCCCTACCCCCAGTGAAGGTACCGGTAATATTAGTGAAGGTAATACTTGCTAGATAAACCTTGTTTTAGTTCACACATGTTGTTGGTTTGACAGCATGAAACAAGGTGGAGGACACCGTGTTCGGAAACAGTGACCTTACTACAACCGTCCACGGTTGCCTAGCATAATGACGGCCAGAACCGGGTTTTTAACACCCATACGGTTCAGATGGCCCCAACGGACCGGGGTTCTACCAACTGTGGATGGTTGTAGTAAGGTCACTGTTTCCGAACACGGTGTCCTCCACCTTGTTTCATGCTATCAAACTACCGTGAAGTCTTGTATAAAAGCCGCACTTGAATAGAAGCCGCAATGTTAGGCCCATCAAATCACACATAAGCCCGGTTTTAGTGTTGACATACAATAGAAATACCTGTCTTGTATAGAAGCCTGTCTCATATACCGGTAGAAGCCTGCAAAATTTCACCAAGAAAGTCATAGAAGCCACGGCTTTTATACAAGACTTTACGGTACTCGATGTACTTAGTGTCACTGTGGCTGGCTAAATCAGAGTGGATCTGATACTTGAAGTACATGTTTAACAGCTTACTGTTGATTACAATCTAGCCAGAAGAAGTACAATGTACATGTACATGTCCATGTACAGTCAACTTTGCATATTTATTTATTTATTTATTGCAGCATCTCATAGCACAGTGAGAACACCGGCCAATACAAAGAGAGAGGGTGTTAGCCAACCACGGCAAGGAAGGGAGAAGGGGAGGAGAAGAAAAAAGGAACTGGCATGGATAAGTAGTGATTGCAACAAAATGACACTATAACGACTATAACACTATATAACGACACTCGGCGGGGCATCAGAAAAGTGTCCTTATTAGCGAAGTGTCGTTATACCCGAAGTCTCATTATATGTATAACAGTTGGAAGGGACTTTGCTCTGGACATGGAAATACTGTCGTTATTCGCGAATTGTCGTTATATCCGCAGTCGTTATTCGCGAATTGTCGTTATATCCGCAGTCGTTATTAGCGAAGTTGACTGTATGTACATGTATCACTTCAAGTAGAAAGTCCCCCCCCCCCCCCCCCGGCCATCCCCCCAGGCCATCCCCTGGATTATCAAAATAGGTGCCTTATCATTTTTCTGTTGTTTTTGCACTTCTTCGGGCTTTGTAATGAAAGAAAGTACAATGAACCCTGAAACCAACAAAGGTGGCAGCCTGGCAGGTACAACTGAACATTACACCTTCAAGGCTTCATTGGCTTCAAGCAGCCAAGCCCGTTGGCAACAGAGTGAACAGACCCAACGCTATGTACGATGATGTAGACTGGCATAAGTGTACCCACCGATGAGCCACCAACCCCGAACTACAGTTGTACAATCATCTACTACATTTTATGATGTAGCTGGCACACTCACACACACACACACACACACACACACACACACACACACGCACGCACACACAAACATGCGCTCACACACACGCACACGCGTACACATATTGATCTTGACCTTGCGTAGCAGTGATAGCGTACACATACACACATACACACACAGTGACGCACACTTCACAAACACACACGCACAAACACGCACACACACACACTCACACACATGACTGATACTAGTCTTAGTACAGTGTCACTGTACACTCAAACGCCTCTTATCCGGACGCCTCAGATACGGGCACGTCTCTCTACCGGGCACCTTCAGCTTGAGTTCCTATAGCACAAATGCTTCGAACTTGGGGGTTTTGAACTTTTCCATATGAGGAAGTGCTTATCTTTCACTGCCAACCTATGTAATCCACACATTTTTATCAATGGGTTCCTTTTGTATCTTGAACATGTGCAATACATTCCAAATAAACTTTTTCAAAAATGATATGATACATGGAAGATACGGGCAAATCTGAGATACGGGCAGTGCCCGGTCCCAAGGTGCCCGAGACGTCCGAGTGTACATGCCATGCATGATACAGTAGCTAGCTGGTACTGAGCATACGCGCGCGTAGCTCATGATTAATAGTAGTACTACGTATACTAGTACATAATAATTATGTACATATGTACATGATTGTACAATGTATGCACGCGCACGCGCGCACAGTGTTAGTGAAAACACGAGATGCACACGTGCTCGGTACAGTATGGGCTGATCAGCTGAGTCATGAGTTTTGTGCGCCTAGTACTAGTACCTGCACTCGCTGCATGCAGCTAGCTGTACGTACAAGTCATGTACATGCGCTGTTTGCATATTTGCGATTTGGCCCATTTTGAACTACTGAGTGCGACGAGTTCCGACCTGGCGCTGGCGCTATATATACTATACTAGAGTAGAGCCTAGACTCAGGCTAGAGCAGTGGCACTGGTACATCGTATTCGTAGAGAGAGAGATCTATGACTAGCTAGCTAGAGAGTGAGTCTGCCTGTGTGCCTAGGCTTTGCCGATCACGCGATCGTCCCTTCAAAAAATTTCAAAGGTCAGCGTAGCATGCAGCAGTTCTACTCTGAGACTGAGTCTGGCTTCTCTAGTCTTGCTTATCCGCTACCACTACCAGTTTCACCCTGCATGACTGTACTTGTCGTTGGCCTGTCATGACTCATGCCATGCATGGTGTCAGCGAAGCAGCAGAAAAAATATTCCATCCCAACTCCCAAGCGTCGTGATCGAGTAGCGAACGCTAGCGATCAGTCAGGCGAAAACACCATCCAAGCAACACTTCTAATCGATCACCACATCACAGTGTAGTGTCCCTCGCCAGCTAGCTCTGCCTATGTCACAGTATAATTATTATGTGTGGAAAAAATCTGGCACAGGCGCTAGCGCTAGGCAGTCAGTAGTTGATGACATCCGCACCGCTCAGCTTCACTCCTCCAGTCACATGCCCATGATGCGGACTCGGTGTGACACAAGTCGAATGACCCTTGGACGGGAGCTGGGAGGAGGAGTAGTCAGCAAAGGTTAGTTGAATTCGTCGTGTCGAATCCACGCGTAGCTAGTGTGATTTGGACTTTGGAGCGTTCTGCTTGTAGATGCTCACCACGAAACTGAAGGCGGAATATTTCTCGCAGACACTTTGAAACTCTCGTCTTCTTACTCCGAGCGAGAATAGTCTTTAGATTACAGCTGGCTTGTTTGTAGTGAGTCGATTCAGGACATTTCGGGCCCCGCCGCCTTCCAGAACTGAAGCAGCGCTAGCGAGTGATTTTCTGCTGTCAACGCCTTTTCGCGCGGACTTCTCTCATTCACCCGCTCCTTGAGTGGGATTATTTGGCACGTCTGGGATCGGAACTGCGCGCTCAGCACTAGTAGAATTAGCATGGCTACCGCCGAGGAAGCCCCATTGCCCGGCATTACGGAGACGCTGGACGGTGAGCATATCTTCATTACCGGTGGCACGGGCTTCGTCGGCAAGGCAGTTATCGAGAAGCTGCTCAGAAGCGTTCCCAACCTTGGTCGTCTCTATGTCTTGGCTCGCGGGAAAGGAGAAACGACTGCGCAGGAACGTGTGGAGCAGATGCTTCAAACAACCACGGTAAGTGGGTGCTCGTGCGTGGGCTTATTTTTAGTTGGTGCCATTTTCATGTTCAACTTGAAAATTCTTCCACGCTGGCAGCTCGGCTATGGCTAGGCTATGCATGCCTGCATGCTAGCTAGCTCCATCAAGTGGTGCCACGAGTTGTGCATCTTGCACGCGACCCTGATAACATCAGCTCCCCATGCTATTATTATGTCGTCCGTGCTCGAGTACGAGTGCTTGAACTGCTAACAGAATTAACAGTCCGAAGTGGTCAACTGTCGCGCCACTGGACGTGTTTTGTTCGCTTGTCCGTGTATTGTGGGGAGAGAATGTGCTGGTACGATTATGTACTAGGTCATGGTGGGCCATACTAGTAGGTGGCAGAACAGCCATTCTCTTCAGTGGGATAAAGAAGTGCATTTTGGCTGTCGACCCCGGACCCGTCCTCCCCCCTCCTCCCCCCCCCCCCCCCCTCACACCCCTCAGGCCTCACCCTTCTGCAGATTCTAACACGAAGCATTGAAAGGAGCCGTCAGATGCGAAAACCGACCTTATGGGAAAAAAATTCATATTTGTGTTAGTGGTATACCGGTACTATCTGAAAGCCAGCCTCGGGAGCATCGGGAGTCGTATGCAAAAAACTAGAGTTGATTTGGACCAGGGGAAGTATTTTTTAATTAATTTAATTTATTTGTATAGCCGGTTGTAACGCGGATGTGCAAACTTACTTTACTTTTCTTTTATTGAAAGCAATACAACTAACTTACAACTAACTTAAAACTTGCAAGGTTTAGTTACAAGTATTGCTAGTATTACTAGGGAGGCGTTTCGAATTTCCCAATAGTTGAAGGCATTTTGTTTATAACTTTTCACCTTCAAAGCAGCGGACACCTTTTAGTTGGCCACTTCAACCATGTACTGATATAGTATTGACGTATACTTATACCCACATTGTGGTGTACTCACATTACTGTACTGGTGGGCAGTCGAAAAGAAGTTGTTTGGATTGCAGAACAGATTGCATGCTCACATTTGGAAGCTCCAAGTGCGACTTCCGGCAGTTAGTGGGCATTTTCAAATGCAGAACCTCTCTATTGTCTTCCCCTGATCCGTTCCGCCCTCCTCCTCCCCCCCCCCCCCCCCTACAGTGTATGCATGTGTAGAGCTTTTGGGTTATTTGTCAAGGGTGAAACCCTTTTTCAGCATGTAAACAGAATTCATTGTCGCATGACGCTTGAAATCTAAAGCAGTGCTGCAGTGCTGCATGGTCACTGAGCTGAGCCAGGCGACGGGGCGATATCACGGTACCGTATTTCCCCGTAAGTTAGTACGTACTAACTTACGAACTTAGCAGCCACATGAGTACTAACTTTCGGGGGTGGTACTTCTTTCGGGGAGTACTTTTTTATCGGGGGTAAATGACACGCAGTGGGAAGCCTGCGCAACTCTAGTGTCCGTGCATATGATGTATGTACTGTACGGTGTCTGTACATGTAGGACGGGTACGAACTTACTATCTTTCGGGGGGAACTGTCTTTCGGGGTGATAACCTCGGCAGTGGAAAGTGTATTTTTTATAGGGGGGTACAAAGTCATTGGGGAGAACTTACTTACGGGGAAATACGGTAATGGATTGCTTGAGCATACAGTCACGATTGCTCTGTCTTCTTCGTCTTCTTCTTCTTTTTCTTCTTCGCCAGCTCTTCTCCCGTTGTCGCGAGGAACAGCCGGAATCATTTCGCAAGGTGACCGTAGTCTCCGGGGATATACAGGCCGCGGGTCTAGGCTTGAGCGAAGCGGACACGGAACTACTGGTATCCAACGTCACCGTCATCATCCACAGCGCGGCGCAAGTGCGCTTTGACCGGCCCGTCAAGTAAGGGAACGCTGCCCGCCGGTACTGTCGCGGAAATTGGAATCCGTTGAGAAGTCGAGTGGCCGTGCAGCCGTGAGCACTGCTGATCCATTTTTTTTGCAGTGTACGCTTTAGTGAGTGTACGCACTGAGGGCAAGTAAGGCGCCGGCCCTGGGCATTTCACCGGAGTTCAATGTCCATGACAGTGTGTATAACATGTACTGCTCAACCTCGCTTATCTGGTCCTCTTTATCTGTTTCATTCGCCAACCGGCGGAAACGTGCATGATACAAAAGATCGCCGGCCTTCATGGCCTGTCAAGGCAATCGCAGTGATTTTACTACTAGTAGTGGTCATAGATAAATAAAGGAAGGACCAAATATTTTATTTATCCATGATTACATTGGCTCAACATCCGAGTTCAGACTACAACACCGCCAGTAGTACATTTTTTCTTTGAATAGGGATATCCTTGCAGACTGTGTTGTCTTATAACAGGGTTCCCTTTGGAATTCTGGCATAGCTGCACGAAATCAGCACGAGACGTAGCAGTACAGCAGGCAGGGGCTAAGGAGTTCCACCTGCCAGCAGCAAGAAAAGAGAGAGAGAGAGAGCGCGGTTGCCAGAGCGAGTAAATGCAGTGTGTACAAGTAGTAGCTGACTAATGCCATTCGTACAATACCGCTCGTACCATTTGTTGCGACTTCTTGGATGCGAAATCAGTGTACCTTTGTCTGGCGTTTCTTTTCCTTATTCTGCTGCTTGCCGCAGGCATGCCCTTCATGCAAACCTGCTTGGTACCCAGCATGCTGTGGAACTTGGAAGAAAACTTCACAACCTCAAGGTATGCAATCAACGGGATAGAGTTGTACTTGATGGCATACTTGATGATGCAGTTTGCATGACAGGGACAGGGGAGACATGTTGACGGTGACAAACACTTCCTCACTTCGTTTTTCACAACTGTGACGGGACAAGGCATGTGTTATGTGAAATTGGTGCTGTTTCCTTCATTTTTCTCTGTCTCTTATCTCGGTCTCTTTTTTGGCATTCTCTCCCCATCTTCTCGGCTCTCTCTCTCTTTCTCTTCCCTCTCTGTGTGTTATTCACTAGGCATTCGTCCATGTTTCGACAGCGTATATCAACTGCCACAACCTGGAGACGGATGAGATTGTCTACAAGCCTGATGTTCCAGCGCAGAAGCTCCTGGATGCAGTGGAGTATGTTTGACAAAACAACCATAATATTTCTGTGACTGCTACTTGTGTAATTGTATAAAGCCCCAGTGAGCACGCGTTGAGTGGTCAGCGAGAGTGTCCTTCTGAAGTGTTGGCTTCAAACACGTCAACCTCTTGAAGTTGGCTGTGTAGTGTTGCAAGTACTAGTACTTCCCACCAGCTCTACCAACGTGCAGCAGAATATGAGCAGATAGTCTCACCCGGTCTGGTTTTGCTGCCAAACCAATCCGAATCGTGAAGGGTGATCGTGACCAAACTAGAGCCAACCATGGCAGCAAGAAGCCATCCAGCAGGTCTGCATTGAACTTTCTCCCGGTCAGATCGAGAGAATGAGGGATGATATTGATGTCAGCTGGCTGCGGGTAGAGAGCACCGTCCAGGATCTCGGACGATTCGACGACATTCAGCTCGTGGCTGGGGCTTTGCCGTCGAGCAACCTCTGTGATTTTCGCTGTGTTAACAATTTAAAAAAAGTCTAGTTTTCACTCGCGCATGGCTGCAAAGCTGTATGATAGTATTTAAAAAATACCCCCCCCCCCCCCAAACATACCACCACCACACACGCACACTTGCTCATTCCCGGCAGCTGGTCTTTATTCTTGTTTGCGGTCATCTATCTCCCTGTGTTGGTTTAGGTGGATGGACGAGGAGTGGACCGATAAACTGACACCGCAGCTGCTGGGTGGCAGACCTAACCCGTACATCTTGACCAAGGCCTTGACTGAGACGTGGATTGTGGAGACATGCAGCGACCTACCACTGGCTATTTTCCGACCGTCAATCGTTTCCTCGACTGCCTTTGAGCCTATTGAGGTATGCAGTGTGTTCCTTGAAAATATAGAATTATCAGGGATGAATTTATCCTGTATCGCATCGCAGTTTGCGATGCAAAATCTATCTACTGCTACTCAAAAGTCACCGTGACTTGCAGAAAAATGCGATACATACAGGCTATCCATGCCTAGCCTGTGCTGTCAAGTAACATGCATACTGTGCAGTGTATGTGGTGTGTGTACTCTCAATCTGCATGCATATGTACGCTTCAGTTGTTTTTCTGCAAATGGGCTTTCAGGCATCACTCTCAAGAAGGACAATGTGGTAAACACCCAACCTTCAAGGAAAAATGCTAATCAAAATCAAAGACTACACAATTGTGATTTTGTACAGCAGAAACTGCTATGCAAAAATATGACAGTTAATTCATCCCTGTAAAATAATTGCGGTAAAAAAGGAGAAGGACAAAATGTTACGAGTTAGACTAACTGTCCACCAACGTAACCAGATCTTATAATAATCGCCTCCTGCAAGTACGCAAATATGTAACTGCCGGGCTCCAAGTAAGTCCCCCAACAATACTGCCGGGCGCCGAAGAACGGGAGGGTCAGGGTTCTAGCCTAGCCCGTCACGTCTTATTTCTCGCAAACACAGCAGTTTCGTTCTTATTCGATGGTGCGGTCTACATATGCATGTCCTTGTAAATGCAGTCTATAACAGTATGTAGGAAAGTGTACAATGTGTACCGTACATGCATGATGACTGTTGCATGCTCATGCATATGCACACCTGCCATGCATGATGACTGTTGCATGGCGATGCATATGCACACCTGCCACTTCACATTTTTCTTACATCCAAACCCGTAGTATTATTGTGCAGTGTAAATTATAGTCTCCGTTATTATCTGCAAAAATATCCAACCTAGACTACTAATAATAATTGGTGAAATTCTAGACTGGTGCTCAACTGATGAGGTCGGCCATTGGACAGTCCAATAGCCAATTGAGCCATCTTTCCAAGATTCCTTTTGAATCTCGCCCATCCCCTCCTGGGGAGACCCACGGGACAAGTCCTGGACGTTGAAACAAGTGCAAGGACAATTGTGTGTGCGTCTCAGTACAATCTAGTTTGGTATTGTTTTGTGTTCGTGTTTCCGCAGGGCTGGACAGACACGCTGAATGGACCGAGTGGCCTTATCGTGTCGGTGAGTCGGTGGTATACTGTAAACCGTGAAATTATTGCCATGGTCTGCGAAATTTAGACAGCGCGAAAAGGAGATCCATAAAAGGTTTAGCATGAATGCCACAGTAGCAAATTCTGCAATCGCAAAATTAAAACCTCGCAAACCTGTCCGGATTCTGAAAACGCGAACTAAAAACGCCGCGAAAATTTCACACTTTACACAAAGTTTACAGTACCTAGTCCTGTATCGTGGAGATTGAGTAATGCTATCCAGTAATGCTATCCAGTAATCCTATCCAGTAATCCTATACAGTAATCCTATACTGTAATCCTATACTGTAATCCTATACTGTAATCCTATACTGTAAAACCTGTCAAGGTGACCACCTGTCCTAGAAGACCACTGCAACCAGGACCAAGGGATGCCTTTTCCAGTCACAAATGACCCTGGATACGGAGACCACCTGGTTACACAGGCTATGTTTTGAGAGTCCCTTGAGCGGTCGTCTTAGACAGGTTTCATTGTATTATCATAATAATAATAATTAGTAGGGATAAAAGGCGGTAAATTGCTGCAACAAAGTCCACACCACTCCAGCACTCGATGCACCACTATGCTATGCTACTTGTGTCGTCTAGGTAAGAACGAACTATTGCCACTTCGCGACCACGCCAAACAATAGGCCAACCATTTCAGTCAGAAAGAGTAAATTTTGGATTAAAAGACAGGACAACCTTTTAAGAGTTATAACTAGATCATAATTATACAGTCAGCGAGTGCGACAAAAAGGCCCAAACTGACAAGGAGTACTGAGACATTCGACGACCTGACACCTAGCTCCAACATTTCTACAAGGCGCCAACCAACAACCTTCCACCTTGGAAGGCTCGGGTTAGGAAAGGTCCAAGAGGGGAAGGAAAGCGTAACGAAGAAGAGCACGAGCTAAGTCCCACGGCAACAAAGAATGCCGAAAGTTACTGGATGATTGGTTGGCGCCTCGTAGAAGTGTTGGAGCTAGGTGTCAGGTTGTCGAATGTCTCAGTACTCCTTGTCAGTTTGTGTCTTTCCGTCCCACTCGCTGACTGCATGATTATGATCTGGTAACATTGGTGGACAGTTAGTCATAACTCGTAACATGTTAGGAAATTAGAGGCCACATGCCACGTACTGCTCTTTTCTCTCCGAAACTCAACACTTGCAAGCCAGATATGAAAGAAAGAAAAAATCATCAGTCACACCACCGGGACTCGAACCAGGGACCTTGCTATTCGCGAGCAATGCTCAACCAACTGAGCTACAGTATGACTCTTATCCAAAGTGCATGTGGCCTCTAATTTCCTAACACTTTGTGAAATTCTCCGTGAAGTCCAAATTTGAAATTGCAATTCGTAAAATGTTGTCCTTTCTTTTAATCCATGATTACTTTGGCTCAACATCCGAGAGTAAATTTTGATCTTACTTCTTACTATCCCCCGCCAAAATGGCATCCTCTCCCAAGGGTGGAACCAAAAAATGAAGCAAGAACTGCAAGAAGACAGACTGGAGAAGCCAGAAAGAAGAAAGAAATGAAATGTGAAGAACATGAAAGGGCGGAAATAAACAACATGCAGGGCCAAAACTGTTGGACACATGACGAGTCGGCCAGGAGGGTTAATACCAGTCGAGAGCCCCGCGAAACCTGTGCGGCCATCGAAGGAACCTGCAAGCAACAGTTTTCCAGAGGACCCCGGCTGGCGAGCCGTTCCACCTGTGTATGTCTCCTTGGATGTGTAATATGAGAACAGCACCAACCTAGCCTAGTACCCAGTACTCCACCCATCCACCAGCCATGACAAACACAAGTACAAATGCATGAGGAATTACGCGAGATCATCAACCAACGGAATTTGCGTGTGCATGCGTGTGTGCATGCACTTGTACCTTACACTTCTGCGTGTCTAGTTGGGCAAAGGACTGCTTCGGACTACTATGATGGACGAAAACGTAGCCATCGACGTCCTCCCAGTCGACATGTGCGCCAACATGCTGATCGGTATCATGTGGAAGATCCTTGTACAGAAGTAGGTGTTCTCCTATCCAGCAGAGCAAGGGTGCAAGACATGTGTCAGGGTTTCGGGGACTTAAACGTGTTGAGAGTAACTCTCCATCACTGTAACCAGATACTATATACAGTCAGAAAGTGCAACAACTAGGCACACAACTGACAGAGTACTGAGACATTCGACGTCCTGACACCTAGCTTCAACACATCTCCGTAGCGCTAACCGACAGCCTTCCAACTTGGAAGGTTTAAGGTTATGGAAAGACCAAAATTGGAAGGCTGTCGGTTAGCGCTACGGAGATGTGTTGAAGCTAGGTGTCAGAACGTCGAATGTCTCAGTACTCTGTCAGTTGTGTGCCTAGTTGTTGCACTTTCTGACTGTAAATAGTATCTGTCTATATTTCCTTTTCCTTTCTACATTTATCATTGGCTCAACATCCGAGTTTCAAATTCGATGTGCATGTACATGTGTATTGTTGTTGCGCAGGCTTGGGTTTCACAATGCGTGTTGAGCTGCTATCTTCTTGCGCTGTTTACAGTACAGTGTACTCGCATACTAGTAGCATCTGTTCATCTGACCTAAGTGCGTGCGTGCAATGCAACCAAGTCTGCGGACAGTATCCATTGTGCTTAGTTTTGTGTGCGTGCGTGCGTGTGGGTGCGTGTGTGTGGGTGCGTGTGTGTGGGTGCGTGTGTGTGTGTGTGTATGAGGTTCGTGGAATCGTGCATGATGCCGCTGCTGCCTCCTACTCCTCGAGGGCTTCATCTGAAGCGTCGGCTCGCATTCTCATGCTGCCTCTGGCTGCGTTCTGTGTGTCATTTGTCGTCCATTGCAGACCAAGTGAAATTCTCATCTACAACGGCTGCACAAGCCCCATCAATCCCACTGGCTTCAAATCATGCAGTAAGCTGTGCTGGTACATGTAATTTCAGACGGACACAGCCGTTTGTTTTTACATCTATTACAACCAACATATCAATCCACTCCAGACGTTTTTTTTTGCCATACCGGACCATGTTGGGTGCTTTCAAGGTTACTTCTTGATCTGTGCTCTGCTACCGGCGTGAAGTTTTTTTTTAGAGTGCTTGCTTGTTATATTTATTTGAGAAGTACACGAGCTGTACCACAAAGACTCGACATGTATTTTAACTGCCTTCTCTCTTACCTTTTCCTCTGCTCTCTCTCTCCCTCTCTTCTCTCTCTCTCTCTCTCCCTCAGTACCCTGGATTTATGAATGTATCCGTGAGCATCCGTATGACACAATTTTCGCACGCCCATGGGCCCACTTGAACGTTAGCTTGTAAGTTTCTGTTTTGCAGCCTGTGTGCATGTCCTGGCATGCATGTTATTTTGTTGCTGGGCCTTTGAGTATTTGGCAAGGCCCTGTTTGTGTTTGACTCGGAATGGCCGTTACACACAGCCAACTTTTGAACCCGACTAAGTATACTTCTCCCGTTGGGTACTTGGCGAACTATGATGTGCCCTGATTCCAGGCCTAGCCCCCAGCAAACCGACCGGTTACGTATGAGCCGTATTCTGTGCTGTTGCACTCCTCCCCTTCCTCCTCCCCGTCCTTCCCCCGTAATTCCCCTCCCCCAATTCTTCTCCTCCTCCCCGTCGTCCTCCCTCTCCCCTTCCTCCTCATCCTCCTTGTGCCCCTCACAAACCGGCTTGCTGTCTAAAAGCCATCCATGCTGTGTGTTTGCTGTGCACAGCCCGGTTTACTACGTGGAGCACTTCATGTTCCACTTGATTCCTGCCTACGCGTACGATGGCATCATGTGGCTGCTGGGCTCTGAGCCGCGACTGGTCCGGCTCTATCGCACAATCCACATGTCCACCAAGCACCGCGCCTACTTCCAGTGTCGCGGCTTCAAAGTAAGCAGTATAATTTAGCAGTACAGTTTAGCAGTACAATGTAAAAGGAAGACAAGACTGCAGAAGGATGTTTAGTCTCGTTTTGCTCTATTTACACCGATCGGCATCGAAAAGAGAGAACCTTTTTTGAATTTTTCAGATCGGACACCTTGCCCATAATGATGATTTTAGCGTCGAAGTACACTTTTGCTCCTCCAAACCTTGGTGCAGTCAGAAAGAAGACATGGGTTTCAAACTTTTCAAACAGGGTAATGCAGAATTCAGCTTATGAACCTGATATTTCAGCCAGAATTGAGGTTTGGTCCTTTTGGATCTGAATGTCTATGACATGTATTTATTATCAACTTGGCCAAATTTGGCAAACCTCTGGCCGAAATACTAACTTTGTAACGACTTGAAATTACAGAAATTTTCTTACCGATTTGCCTGGTTGAGTCTAGATAGGCACAACCAGGCAAATCTGGCGAGGATTGAGAAGTCATGATAACGCATGTGTTTTCTTTGCTTATGTGTTTTCTTTGCTTTTGTGTTTTTTTTTCAGTGGACAATGAACAACTACGAGAACCTGCTGGCATCGATGAACAGCGAAGACAAGAAGGTAATGGCCCATGGGTGAAATCTAACATTTCCAGACGCCTTGCTGGACTGCATAGATGGATACCTGTTTGAATTTTTGAAAACTATTTTCAAAAAAACAGGATATTGCAATCATTTCTCTAGATACTAGAGAGGGTCTTGCAAAACGAAAATGCATACAAACATTTGCTCTACGTCATGAAGTGAGAAACTTCGCACAAACTTTCGCAACTTTGGACGCAACCCTTGCAGGGAACGCGAAATGAACTTTCGCGAGACCAGGTCAAAAGGTTCACCGCGTATGTGCTTGTGCGTGCGCAAACTACGAAAATGTGCAGAACACAAAGTTCGTGCGAAAATTTGCACACAGTTTCGCAAGGCCCGTCTCGAAACTCAACCTCTCTATTGATCTGTCGGAGGCCGTGATCTCGGAAGAATAAGAAGAGGATGATGCTCTCCCAGTGCGTGTGTGTGTGCGTGTGTGTGTGTGAGAAACATGTGACCTACATGGCAGTGTATACCAGGACCAGGTGTGTGTGTACGTGCATGCGCGTGTGTATGTGTGTGTGTGTGTACGTGCATCTGTGCATATCATATGCATGCACGCACGCGCGCGCAGGTGTAATCAGGGCCGTAGCCGCCGGTCTAGAATTCACTGTCGATGAACCGTTGTTTTTAAGTGAAGTTGACATGACAATGCCAACAAGAATGAAAAAAGTGTTACTTCGAGAAATACTAAAACTTTTTGTTTTGTAAAAACAATCGGTAACCTCGGACCCTATTATAATAAAGCGATCATCAGAAATCAGTTTCTTGTTTGCCATAACTGTGTGAACTTGTTTAGACGTTCAACTTCGACATGCGCACCATCGTGTGGGAGCGCTACTGGCGCAACCTGGTCGTGGGCACGAAGAAATATCTGCTCAACGAGGACATCTCCAGCGAGAATCTGGAGCGTTGCAGGAAGCAGTACCATAAGTGAGTGTGTGCTACAACGATGCGGCTCAGTGGATTAATATCAATTGAATGCATTCCCTGCTGTATCGAGTACTGTAAGACCAGAATATTATGAAACATAATAATTATGTTGTGTGTGTGTGTGTGTGTGTGTGTGTGTGTGCGTGCGCGCACGTGTGCATGCGTGTGTGCATGCTTGTGTGTGTGTATGTGTTTGTGTGTGCAGAATGCGCTGGAGACGCTACACGTGGAACTTCTGCCTGGCGTTGGCGGCAAGCCGGTTCCTGGCGCGCTTCAAGTGGATAAGGCAGTGGTGGGCCAGCATGATGACAATACTGCAGATCAGCGTACAGACCTTCCCGATCCTGGCCAAAATCCTGCTGGCGTAACAAGTGATGCGAACAGCGAACGCAGGGCATGCCGGCAATGTTCCTTTTCTTTTGATAGTCCTGTTTTACAATTCTCGAATATCGCCTTCCAATCCTGCTGGCGCAGCCAAATAATGCGAACAGCGCATGCAGGGTGCAGTAATTTTTTTCTTCTTTTGATAGTCCTGTTTTTCAATTCTCCAATATCCGTGCAAGCTCGTCAACAAAAGCGCTGCTTTTTCCTGACCAGCTTTCTCTTATTGCTATTTGTAGACTATGCTGGTGTTGTGCAAATTAGACCTGATAAAATAATATATTTTTGCTTGCTGTTTACCAGTGCCAAAAAAGTTGCTTGCAGAAAACGGCGATGGCACAACGCATTGAACTCCGCGTAATTTAAGCTAAAATGAACTTAGCAACTTGATGTTTTGCTTTCGCTTTTAAATTTGCAATTCTTGAAGAATATTTACATATTATTTACATCTTCCTCGTGCTGCTACACACACCAGAAGCTGCAGCGGATAGATGATGTCCTAGTAATCGATGATGCAATCAGAGCTGACGCCCACTGCTCGAATTTGTTCAAATAAAGAATATTGACAAGTAACTTAAAACTGAGCCGGTTAAAAAAGAGTAATGAACAAATGTGATAAGTTAGTTTAAAAAATCCTGTTCTGCCAAAATCAAGGCAAACGACCACATAAAAAAACAATTAAAAAAATCAAAAATCAAGAAAAAAAAATCAGTTGTCATGGATAGTTTGTTGTCGTGAATGGTTAAACATATTTTTTAGAAATGATGGCCAGGACTACTACGATGCTTGGAAATGATGACCGGGACGATGATGCTTGGAAATGATGGCCAGGATGATCATGCTTGGAGATGGGCTTACTCAAGTGGGGTACCACAGGATGTCCCCAGAGACTATTGACACAAATCCAGTATTAAGAATTCAGCTCGCCGTTTGGAGTTTAGAATCGAACCACCACAGCTGCGCAAACACACACAGGGATGACAATGAAGAGTCGGAGTCCCTCGGAATCCTCATGTGCCGGCCTGGAGGCTTGGCTGCACTCTAAGTGCCCTTGCCCTGGCTGCAAATCCTCAGCTTAAGCCCGTTGGTGATTTGTAGGCGCCTGGACATTCTGCACAATCAGAACGTGTGTATATGACGCTGCTGCTAGTGCTGCTGCTGGGGCCACATGAACGGTATGACGCTACTGCTGCTGGCCACATGAACGGTATGACGCTACTGCTGCTGGCCACATGAACGCTACTGCTGCTGGAGCTGGCCACATGAACGGTAGGCAGCATGTGCCAACTGACGACACGTTCTCGTCCAAACTCTAAATGCTCTTCTTCATCAATCCCTTCAGCTTGGCCTTGGCTTGCTTGTGCAGCTTGAATGCACTGCGGCCACTACAGTACAGAGGCAACATAGCACACACCGCGCATGCATGCACGCATACACACAGTGTCAGTGTGTGATCAGGGGGAATGATGGTTGGCTAGTTCCCACGACCAAGAAGGTGCTGACCAAGCAGCCAGGCTGTCAAGTCATTCACATAAACTGGCCTCCATCACATTTGGCTTCCTTACAGTCCACTCATAAAAAGATGGGCCCTGGCTCTGGCCAGATCCTTTATTTGGTGATTTTTCATGATTTTATCGTACACAGTGCTGTGAAATTTGAAATTTGGAAAAGGGTCCAAAAAGGGTACCAGTGACCTGAACTGGGGTTCGAACCGCACAATGCACTGTTGCAGGTAGGGTCAAACGGCCTGGATTTTGATGGTTGTTCCCAAATTTAGTGCTTTTGGCGCAAAACCTGGCCGAAATCCTATTCTTGTTATGGCTTGCTTTTCGGACAAATAAACTTCAGAAACATAGTCCATATTTTTCTGAATGGACTGTAGTGTGTGTGGCAGCCACAAGTACACGCGCTCAATGTCCAACATAACTGTATTGAACCACAGCCGTGCAAAACACACAGGGACATTGCAGAGTCCAGGTCCTTCGGAATCCTCACGATGTGACCTTAGGACTGGCTTGGCTGCACTCTATGTTTTGAACAAGTGCCCCTGCTGCTGGGAATGCAGCAAGTGGTGAGAGGATAACAATGAGCCCAAACCAGCCACTACTCATTGTCCATCACCACGCGTTCCAGACACGAGCCCAAGTCCAGATCTGAAGACAAAATCGGTCTCCTTCAGCCATTTCACTGTCCCTAGCTCAGAACTGATGAAATCTTTTGAACCTTGCCACCCTATACTCTCTACTCCATTCATCCAAAATAGTAGGGGTGTCATCGGGTAGCAGGGTACCCGTGCTACCCGTAATTAGAGTAGGTATTCGGGTAGCAGTTTGCTCCTGAGAACCCGATCGGGTAGCTGAGCACGGTGTTTTGGCATAGGTGTAGAAAACAGCACGACTACGGGCCTACTGCACACTTTCTACGTAGCGCAAGTGCACACTCACTGTGCAAACTATGTAAACAAAAAATAGAGACTGGACTTGTTTGAGACGATAGCCAAGTTTTCTCTGCCACGTAGACATTTCGATTGTTGAATTAAGATATGATAGAGCTACGAACGTTTGATTGCACCTACATGCATGCAAATACACATCGTTCGATTTCGAACAATGGACAGGAAAAAGCGCTCCACAAGTACATGTATAGTACACAGCTTTGTTTTAGTACCTTAAGTAATCCTCCGATTGACCGTATTTGTCCACAATGGTTTGTTCAAACATGCCTGTACACATGACAAATACACACACACACACACGAGTGCACGCACGCGCACGCGCACACACAAAGTACAGATTAGCTCGGCACTCCAGGGAACTGAAAAGGGGGAAAAAAAGTCGGAAGAAAAACTGACTGCAATCAATATAATTGATTCGAACTCTTCGAAAGAGTTTTTTTTTTAATGAACTGCAGTTTGTCCGGTTGAACATTTCATCTACAGTCGATGACATGGCTGCACAAATCGCTGTCAGAGGGACACTATATACGACGAAATATCAAATTCCCGGCGAATATCCCCGCAGCATATGCAGCACACGCAGTCAGACTAGACTAATCACGAGAAGTTGAGAATTTACTCTAAAGAGAAACTGAGATTCGAGCTCAAACGAAGGCTGCACTTCAAAGAACACACAAACGAGAGAGAGAGAGAGAGAGAGAGAGAGAGAGAGAGAGAGAGAGAGAGAGAGAGAGAGAGAGAGAGAGAAAGAGAGAGAGAACAAATTGAAGGAATTACCCTTACCGAGAGACGAAGAGGACACATTCAACGGATCGCAGCGCTCTTGTATGAACATGTCGAACATCTGTGTCTGGGTGAAGGCGTTCAAGAACTGGAGCAGAGCAGCACATGAACAAAACAAGAACACACACATGCATGCACGCACGCACACATTCACACAATATCTTGTAAGACAGACTGCAGTGACAGTGAGTAAAACTAGTATGTAGTAGTACTTACACGTGCAGTGAAACTCATTCATCTCAGAATCATCTGCGCAGCATTTCGTATGTACGTTGTAACCAACTGGCCACCATGCGACTTGTACATGAACCACTTTGAAGTACACATTTTCAGTGCCGTATTTCGCCGAATATAAGTCACACCTTTTTACACTAAACTTGAGGGCCAACAAAGGGGGTGCGACATACAATCGAGCATGATTACTAGTACTATTGAAGTGAGTATATCAGAACGATGTGATAATTATGAAAGTGGAAATGAGGGTGCGACTGGCGATCGAGTTCGACTTACAATCGGGGAAGTACGGTATATGAAATTTTAACAGTGCATGTACAGTACTGACCAAAGAAATCCAACCTCATGAATAAAATAGCATTGCCGGGCGCTACGCAGCCCTAGCACTACACATACTGGTCTGTGCACTCTATAGTGTCTAGCGCAGCGCTACTTTATTCATGAGGTTGGATTTCTTTGGCCAGCACAGTAGGTTGACAGGGAGATAACCGTTCTCACCTCCGCACAGCTCTTGTGGCCGGACTTGACGAAAAGCGGGAACTGGACAGAAGGAGAGAGTGCATACAACACACAGTGCACACACATCCACATTTGTTGTTGAATTTGCCTCGGTTTTCGTCTTTGGATCTGATATTCAAGCTCCGGCCGTTGAGGATCAGCAGCGGATGGTCTCACAAGTTGAAGCATACTCTGCAAGCTACCACTGCCACCACCGACATCTCTCTTCCCTGTTTGCTTCCATTCTACTCTACCCCTAGGCAAATTCCAATTGATTCGGCCGCTGTTTCAGAGGTCATCTTCATTTTCCCATGCCAGTTCTACCTTTGCCAGGGTATGCATGCCAAGGGCCCGCATGGCATTGCTTCATGCACTTGTATTATCCCCTCGCCTACATGCTAGTCGTACAGTGCATGGGTTGTGCAGGCCTGGGTGGCCACAATAGGCCTTATGCACGTTGTACAGATGCACGAAATCCCGTAGAATCCCGTAGACCCGGTTGGGTGTTGAATGTGCAGGACCCTATTGTGTTTATTGCTATTTCCACAGCGAAATGGGCCCTGAAGGCATTTCATACGAACGCTTTTTCGACAGTGATCTAGCGAGTCGTTAGTTCAATCCCAAAGTGAAGAAGCTGGAAAAGTGATTGTTCGCCGCGAATTATGAGGCTAAATGGGTCAAACACGCATGTATAGCACACAATGAACACCCAACCGGGTATGTACACACCTACGGCCCTAGTACAGAACTTCCTACATCTGTACAATGTGCATAAGGACTATACTGATCATAAAAGTGTGCGCATCTCAATATTAGTCATGCTGTTCAAACCTTCAGCAGAGTGCATGTGTCAGCTTCACTACCTGATCATTCCTCTACTCAGCACTGTGGTGCACATGACAACCTGGTACCGTAAAAGTCCATAAATAAGTACGTATTTACTTTCGAATTTAGTGACCACACCTGTACTAACTTTCGGGCGTGTACTGACTTTCGGGCACGAACTAACTTTCGGACCTGACTTGTGTGTAGTGGAGAAGTCATTTTCATGTAGATGTACATGCTACGTGCTGCGTGTGTGCACCGTACCGGTACTTATTTCGGGCAGAATGTTTATCAGGCTTGACTTGACTTCAACAGACAGAGCCAAAAGAATGAAGGGGGTATTTCTTTCGGGCAGGTACTTATTTACGGACTTTTACGGTATTTGAACAAAGAACTGGCACTGAATATTCAAACCACCTAACGGGTCTTTCCAAGTGCAGCAAGACTGCAAAAGCATGTAGCCATTTCTTAGAAGGCCTTGATAGCCAAAATTGACTTACGTCAAACTCAAGGTCATCCGACGACTTGAAACATTTCCTGTAGTGCCCTGTACACAACACGCAACCAACACACAGCACAACATTAGAACGGGAAACTGTGACCTTGCTGTGCAGAACGTATGACCCACCACAGAGACACACACACACACAATGAGTGAAGACAATGAGTGAAGACAGAGAGAGACACACACAGACCGAGAGAGAGAGAGAGAGAGAGAGAGAGAGAGAGAGAGAGAGAGAGAGAGAGAGAGAGAAGAGAGAGAGAGAGAGAGAGAGAGAGAGAGAGAGAGAGAGAGAGAGAGAGAGAGAGAGAGAGAGAGAAGAGAGAGAGAGAGAGAGAGAGAGAGAGAGAGAGAGAGAGAGAGAGAGAGAGAGAGAGAGAGAGAGAGAGAGAGAGAGAGAGAGAGAGAGAGAGAGAGAGAGAGAGAGAGAGAGAGAAGATGAGCACCAGCACAGCAGATAACAACAACTCACCCATTGATTGAACAAAGAAGTTCAAACAAGCTGACACCATGGCATTACCAGGTGATGATTTCGCATCTGCAAGAGCACAGGGAGAACATAAACAATGGGTTTCAGCATTATTTTGTGGCAAACACATCAACATACTAACACATACACAGGCATGTCTAAAGTAATAATGGTGTTGATAAAATACTACATTGCCCCTTCAGATCTTCACTGCGTTTAGTGTTACATTGGCCTGACTTTGTTTGACTGTACAGTGCACAGTAGATCAAATACATCAATTAAGTTACTACAATTAAACTAACCAGTTGCATCCTTGGACGACTTATACGCCACTTTCTGGAAAGGGGACAAGAACAGGTGAGAACAAGAGAAAAGCAATCACTGGTGATCGAGCGACACCTCTTCACAAATAGCCTTTGTATAAGCTGATTGCTAGCTTACGACACGAATTACCACCATGAACTGGTGCCATTGGGTTCTTGCGATTTGCCGGCATTTCGTTTCCTGCAGGTGAAATGTCAGTTTAATAGGTATTGCTGGTCTATATCACATCAAGGTCGGGGTGGGGGGTGTGGACCATTCTCACCTCTGCACTGTACAGCTCTTATAGCCCCATTCATTAGAAAACATCGGTGACATGAGCCTGAACAAGGGCCGCTGTGGCACTGTCCCGCCACAGCATGGTGGCAACGAACATTCGGCACATATTCATTTTCGGTTCTTTTCGGCCTGGGCATTTTTGGGCGAACATGTGTTGCGGCCGAAATTTTGTTTTGCAAGGGTCAGTGTGACATTGTATATAGGCAGCAGCAGTACAGGCCAAAATGTGTTTTAGCCCTGGGAGGCCGAAAATGGAACACGCCGAAAATGTGTAGACTTACAGACTTACAGTAAGCCAGGCTGGCTGCAAAGTGGAAGGAAGGCCAGACAACTGAGCAATCCTACAGCTTCAGTGCTACTCAATGAAATCGGATCACGCGAGTCAAGTACGCGCGGGGCGTGTGGGGAAAGTCCCAGACTTGTGAACACTGGACAGTGAGCGGATGCAGGGCGAAAAATTGACTCGCAAGATCGGACTTCATTCAGAACGCACCGCAGTCTTTAGGGCGATGCACAATAGCACTTCTGCAATGCGATAGGCATTAAGCGTTTTTTTTCTCGCATCATGCGAATGGTCTCTCGCACAATGTGGAGCACAATGCACAGCAGGTCACAGAGAATCCCTGCATTGAACATAGTCCAAAACTGCACAAGAGACACAGCTCGCAAAGTTATGGGCACGTGTCGTGCAGAAAGTGATGCACATCATTCGCCACTCAACTTCCCGGGATGCGCTCTACAAGGGAGCTGCGACAACCAACAAGCAAAAAAAGTTTGAAAAACTGTAGAAAATGTGTCATCACATCGCTTGTCTCTAGTCGTGTCGCAGAAATGATACGGTGCATCGTGCTTTAGACAGTGCCAACAGCCTCCAGCAAATTTTAGGGCGGTGAGATGCATGAGTGTGTCAGACTCACCAGCGCTGATTCTAGTTCCGATCTCATCTTGTTGGGCATGAGGCCTACGTCGTTGATGACGTTCGTCAAGAACTTCCCCTCGTCCAGGTCAACGATTATCACCTAATGGAAACCAGCACAGTGCAACACAACACCCCCGTATCCATTTACTTTCGGAGAATCCTTCAAATAAATTCTAAATGAAATGGAATAAACACAACACACCCACACGTACACACACAATTCACACAAACAAGACAAGACATGCAGGGTGAACACAGCTCCCAAATACTATTATTGGTCGTGCAAGATCTGAAAATAGATTAAACAGAAGGTCGATCCAAGCAGTGAGCACCCAAAAGGGTCAAAGAATTTACTTGTACAGCCACGGCCACGGCCACAGCAGCAGCCACAGCAGCAGCAGCCACAGCAGTAGCAGCCACAGCAGTAGCACCGCCAACAACAACAGTTAACGTACGTTCTCCTCGATAGGTAGGTCCTCATCCGTCACCTTCCACAGCGACGACTTCATGACACCAATGATGTATGGCAGTGGTGAACAGCAGATGTCGGTCAAGCTTGCTGGCAAGACCGGGATGAACACATGCTACGGGCCGTATGGGACAACACGAGAAGAAGAACGACAGCACAATAGAAGACGCTATTATGAAAGTGATGGACTAAAGTGGCAGAAGATTCTGTCGTGAGCGTTGTAACTGCATACCAATTGGAATTCGAAACAACTATTTCAATTGGACATAAATTAAATTCTCATACCAGGTCTTTACTTCGTAGGTGCTTGAATCCAGTCATGTTTGCCACAGCTCAGATTGTTAGCCTTTTTCTCTAGCTGTCACAATCAATCACGCCATTCTAAGGAATACGGACGGTCTGGCTTCGAACTGTTTCCCAGCCAACCAAACACCCAAATGTCTAAACTTCGTTCCAACCAATTTACCCGGTAATTGTACATTGCACGTGGTACATGTACTCACATACCACAAGCGAGTACCAACAGCCAGCAGAACACATCATTGCAGCAGTAACCATGGTAACACTGAGCACTGCATGACCCCGGTTCTGTGAAGCCACTCACCTGCCACTCAAACGGGTAGAGTAGAGCCACGCACGCTAATATGCAGCTGGACAACGTACTGCCAACAGAAACACACGCACGCACGCACACACACACACACCATTGGACCATTGGACACCCATCGCCGGAGGCGATGATAGCGATGCTACAGCAGAAGCCATAGCAACTTGTGCTGGGATTGCACCATTCAACAGCTTGCAAGGCTGAAGAATTGGCCGCCACTATTCAGCCTGGTCTACACCACACAGCTATGAAGTGGCTTTTTCTGGCCAGTGAATCCCTACTTTTTGGTCTTTTTTATTTTTTTCCCTCACACACATCACACCACATACTCCGGCATGCACTGGCTGTTGGTAACCACCCAGGAGAATGAAAGAAAAGTCAGGAAGAGGCTGAGAAAGAGAAGAAAGACGTGTGTGACCATAATCGTCGGGAATCGAACCCGCAACCTATCGATTGGAAATCGCTATACATACCACTGCACCATATGGGACACACACACAAGAAATGCACGTGCACAAAAACGGTGGTGAGCTGAACGCATCAAGATGCACTTCACGTGAAGAAAAGACTCGCTGCAAAGCTGATCAAAAACCCAAACTGACCATGAAGAGCTACACAACAGTAAAGAACTTTTTCACAGAACAATTCTTAAACACACCGTAAACTGAACAAGGTACAACTGCAAGGATTTCCTGACAGAAGCTGAGAGTGATCAAAGCTACTCGAAACGGATACTGGGATAGCAAAGTGCCGAAGTACGACAATACGTTGCGAGTCTCATTGAAGTAGCTGCCTGCACGGCTAGTGTAAGCACTAGACACTAGACTGTGCCGCACAGTAAAATGTGCCCTCACAACTAGCCAGCGCTCAGCACTGCATGGCTTTAGCAGTAGGCACACAGGGCTGCTGCACACCCACCACGCTACAAGTGCGGTAAAGCCGGTGTTTGCCGGACCCTGCACCAAGCAGAATCCGGTATCGACCGGGCAAATTTTCATGCACCAAAGTGCTGTGGATCGAACGTGCATCCCGGGAGCGAGCGGAATCCTGTCGTATCAGGCCAGTTTCTGCTGCACCAAGGGCGTCCGGGTTAGGGCAGGTTTTACAGTACTCAGGCCAGCATTGTGTTACTTACTACATGTACAGTGCTGCTCAAGGAAATTAGACCGCATGCGCCAGGCAGTACCAGGCACTGTGCAGCCCCAGGCCTGCAAAGACCCGACTGTCCTCTGGTGGCGGAAGCTAACTTATCCATGAGATTGGATTTCATTAATTAACCAGCACCGTAATGTGTGGGCAAGCGTGTATTTCCCGCCATATTGCCAGGTGTGTATTTACCACCATAATGCCAGGTGTGAATTTACCACCATATGAACCAACCATAAGCACACCTATAGTGCGTTTCAAAAGTATAGACCTCTAGACTTTTTCAAATAATTCAAATTTGGTTTGAGCTTTTTGAGAAATTTCTTCGGAATATTGCTCAGGCAGCTCCTGCAATTTTTCTTATGTAAATTTCTAAGCGATTGGATAACAGACGCCCAATTTCGAAAATGTTATGCACAAAGTGATCACAGATTATATGTGGTATAGATGCTGGCCTAACGGTTTTTCGAAACCAGAGGTCTAGACTTTTGAAACGCACTATAGTGGTGTGGCATGATGGTACTAACAGTACAGTTGACATGTACAATCGAGGAGCAGCTCTCACCTCAAACGCTCCGCTGTAAAGATCAGGTGCCGCTCCATGATGATCGCTGCAAATATTTTCAGCAGAACGCCGCACGGAACCTTACTCGCCAGCGTGTCGAAGTCGACATGTTCCAGCCACAGCGAGTCCTTGGGACGCTTCAGAACAATGGTCTCCATACCAGACACGGACTGTGAGAAACAGAGCATCAAATCAGAGACAGTGAAACCGCGTTAGAAAATACTCACACCCACGCACACCCACCCACACACACACACGTGCAATAAAGACTTGCCCAGGAGGAACTCTAAGTATTTGTATGTGAAGGTAGCAGCTACCAGGGTAGTGCTCAATACGGACAGTGCAGACAGTGCAGAGCTGTGACACGTCCACAGAAATGGTCCGCTGGACGTTCACTGCTAGTCTGGGTGTTTTCAGTAAGTTTGGCCCATAATTGCTTTGCAAGAAACTCTCAGTAGCAACCGGCAGTTCCAGCAGACAATTCCCTAGCATATGCCAATAGGCCAAGTACATATACATATATATTATAAATTATAATGGTTTCCTTCATTGGTTATATCAATGTTCCTCTGTTGCTGCATTCAAGTACAGTAAAAGCTGTAACTAAAGACCACCGTGACTAGCTAACAGCCTGGTACTACAGACCACTGTGACTAGCTAACAGCCTGGTACTAAAGACCACTTCGCCAGGCACGGACGGTCTCACATTCATATATGGTTGTGCGGTGCACACCTCTAACTAAGGACCACCTGCCACTAAAGACCGCTTTCTCTGGCCGCAAGGGGTGGTCCTTAGTCACAGGTTTCACTGTATGATCAGCTGGTGGTCAGTGGCATAAAGCTGCTGCTGAAAGAGTAAACATGATGGGAGGGCTAACTGCCTTACACTACATGTACTGTCGGGCGCCGAAGAACGGCCAGGCTAAAATTTCACAAAGCACAGCATACCAATGTATACACGGTGACTCAACTGTGCATAGACTGTAACACATGAAATAAGAGCGGTCTAGGCCAGGAGGCTGACCGCCACAGTTCTTCAGCGACCGACAGTACTGTATGCCAACGTAACATGCATTGATGTCTCAGTTCTAATTGAGCAAGTCTCTCATGGGATATTAGTCAAGCTGCTCACCCGAAAGAACTGCATCTTTCTGTAGCCGAGACATGACGACTGTCACTCTCAAAGCAAAAACCAACATGCGCTGGAGTGCTAGAATGACAGTGCTTTATGCTGGCAACAAAGAGGGCCAGAAAACCGATAGTACGGCCATCGCCAAAAAATCCGACCAGCACTCTACTGTAGTGTATGGCACACGGTATGCATGCACTACCGCTGCACATGCATTCAGTCAGTGCAGTGCTGGTACAGTCAGACCTCGCTTATACGGTCCTCTTTTGTCCGGATCCCTCGCCATCCGGAAGAAAATCGTCGGTTACCGATTTACAGCATATGGCATGCATCCATACAGTACGTGTGTTCGATTATCCGGTTCCCTCGCCTATCCGGATATTTTTGTGGGAAACAGATGTGTGCGGTTAAGCGAGGTCTGACTGTACATGCTACCATGCTAGCATGTAGCACCGACGTAACCCCGTACCACACCACCGTATCGGCACTGGCCGGATTGTTTGGCGACGACGACTCTACACGAGGAACACAACAATGGAGGGAACCGCGCGCACATGAAGTCGCCGAGTTCACACTTACGCCGAAGGCTGTCACAACCACCTTGCGACCAGGTCCCGGGAACGGCTTGGCTTGCACCTGGACACGGGAAACAAAGCACAATCGTTTAGCCCAGTACAGTGCTGCACTTCACATACACACAAACACGGCAACGCGTTTCAAACTGCTTCAAAACACATTTATCAAATCGCTTTTATGAAATTCAACTACGACCAGCTGATGGTCAGCAGCATAAAGCTGCTGTTGAAACAGTGAAAACGATGGGAAGGTTGACTGCCTTTTACGGACATAACATGCATGGATGTCACAGTTCTAATTGAGCAAGTCTCTCATGGGATTCTAGTCAAGCTGCTCACCCGAAAGAACTGCATTTTCGTGTAGCCATGACATGACGACTGTCACTCTCAAAGCAACGTCAACATCTGTTGAAGAGCTAGAATGACAGTGCTTTATGCTGGCAACAAACACACATCACTATCACTCGGACTTACCGCTTTGAGAAAGGCGAACACGGCTGAAGAAGACCGGGCAAGCCTCTGCTCCACTTGGTCGAGAATCTGACACACAGCAGGGAGAAGAAGAGAAGACAGCCCAGTATTGATGACCATCCTTTCCCAGGCAACCATTCGAGGCAAAGGCACAACATTGAGGGGGTTGCAAACGAGAAAGTATAAAGAGAAAACTAACACAAATTGCTGTGATATGACGAGAATATTACTTTGCTTCTTGGTCAAGACTGCCACTTATGTTACCTTGGAGTAGAGCGAGAAGCATCCTAGTGGACTGATTAGACAGTACACCTCAGGTAGACATGGCGTACTCCGAGATGGCTGTGGACAGGTTAGAATGAAAACGACGACGACGACAACAACGACGACGAAAACGACGACAACAACAACAACAACAACAGCAGCAGCATTGTGAGAAGAACAATTTCCATCAACCGCAATAACAGCAAGAGCGACGAATAAGTTCCTGTCACGATGCGGTAATTTTCACCTGTGACTGGTGGGATGTATGTGTCTCGCGGCTGAGATTCAGGTACATGACAACAGACAAACCCAACGAGGCCACTCGACTCCTCCGCCACAATCTGCTATTCCCGCGCTAACTATCAAACACTAGAGTGAAGTAGCAAAGAGAGGAAAACTAAAGGGGATGCAGCTAATAATACTTCAAGTGCACAGAACCTTTCTTCATTCCACCCAGCAGCACGTCAACCAGGCTGTGCTGGATCATGTATACGTCATATACTACATTGATGCCCACTACGGGAAAAAACAACAACCAACTTAAAAGTTCCCTAGACTTACCAACAGCCTTCGGCAGTAACCGAATCGCTTGCTTCCACCAATATCGGTCAGAATAAACGAAAAGGTTTCACTGCAATCCAAACAATAAAACAACAAAAAACACGAAACATGCTGCTATAGTGAGAAAGACAATTATCACCACATGATATTGGACAGGGCAGTATGTAAGCACTAGGGGTAGTATGTAAGCACTAGGCCCCCACTCCCCGTGTCTTGTCCCCAGCATGCACCCTGCACTCCAGTGATCCCGTCAACTGCATGTACCGTTGACCCCATACCCATACCGTAAAAGTCCGTAAATAATTACCTGCCCGAAATATTACCTCCTTCATCCTTTCGACTCTATCTGTTGAAGTCAAGTTCAGCCCGATAAACATACTGCCCGAAATAAGTACTGGTACGGCTCGCACATGCAGCACGTGTACATCTACACTCAGACCTCGCTTATCCGGTCCTCTTTTATCCGGATCCCTCGCCATCCGGAAGAAAATCGTTGGTTACCGATTTACAGCATATGTCATGCATACATACAGTATGTGTGTTCGATTATCCGGTTCCCTCGCCTATCCGGATATTTTTGTGGGAAACGGATGTGTGCGGTTATGCGAGGTCTGACTGTACATGAAAATGACTGCTCCACTACACACAAGTCAGGTCCGAAAGTTAGTGCGGGTGCGACCACTAAATTGGAAAGTAAGCACGTACTTATTTACGGACTTTTACGGTAGCTCCTGCACCCCGATCCTGGAATGATGTATAGCCTAGTGACCTCGCACCAATAGGCCAGATGTTGCCGCATTCCCGTATCACACCGAATTCTCCGTTGGCCTGGGTAGCCGCTGCACATACGCGTATCATCCCTAATTGACCTCAAACCCAGGCAACCTTCCCTTACCTCAGGCCTGGAGAGTTTGATGGCAATAGGGGATATATCACCGTTGCCATTCGCAAATTACTCTTATTATAACTGGTCTAATTTGGGTAGAAACAATACTTTTGCTATTGAATTTGCAACGGCTAACTTTTTAGCCAGTATATTACTATAACCGCCAATCTTACAGCCGTTCCCTACCTTTACGCAATGTAGTGTAAACGTACAAAGATCCATTAGTTGAGGGTGTTAGAAAGGGAAACATGTAGAAAGCCTATGCAAAACGTGCAGTGCAAGCGCACCTTTTGTAATAGGTGACCGGCTTGGTCCACAGCTCCAGATCCGGGAAGCAGAACGCGGGTATGGACTGGAGGCCCTCATCCTTGCTGTCGTCCACATCCGTCAGCTTGGGCGGGAAGCGATACGACACTTGCGGTGAATACTTTCCAGACTCATCTTGATTGGGACACAACGATACGTAATGTACACCAATATGTCAGCTCTAAATTAAGGATACGCACATACAGTTCATTTAGCATCATTGGTCTATCAGAAATCACCAGTCAACATAGGCAGTCTCTCCACTTTTCGGGTAATGCGAGCAGATGGAGTAGACCTACAGTATACGCACTAGAAAAGAAAGAAAAAAAGCTCAGAAGCAAGGTAGACCAACGCATATGGCCGATTGGTTTCCAGGCCTGCCTGCGAATCATGAGGTCCCGAGTTCGAGACCCGCGCTGGTAGCAGGGAGCATGTAAAGACTTTTTATGCGTGGTGAACTGCGCCGACACCCACGGTCAACTGGGTACTCACAGCTCGGAGTGAGGGTAACAAGGATGCTGTTTACAGGGTTATGGGCCATTACACGCCCGATTGGTTGAGAGACTCACCTACTCTCCCCTGACTCACTTGTGAGGTCTGCATTTGCCACTAAGGTGTACAAGGCATAGGCATAGTGGTGGCCTGCGGAAGCGAAGGCTAGTTTGTGTGTTTCTGAACATTCAAGCGATGCCAACGCGAATCCCGCGAATTATTATTATTATTATTAAGCAAGGTAAACAAGTTTCTACACAGTAACACAGATAGGTATGCACATGTGTGTGATGGCACCGTGCACTAAAAATAGTCCCCCCCCCCCCCCCAGACAGGTATGCACATGTGTGTGATGGTACCATGCACTAAAAATAGTCCCCCCCCCCCCCCAGACAGGTATGCACATGTGTGTGATGGTACCATGCACTAAAAAATAGTCCCCCCCCCCCCCCCAGACAGGTATGCACATGTATGTGATGGTACCATGCACTAAAAAATAGCCCCCCCCCCCCCCCGGAGAGAGAGAGAGAGAGAGAGAGAGAGAGAGAGACACACACACACACACACACCATTGGACGCCCATCGCCGAAGGCGATGATAGCGATGCCACAGCAGAAGCCATAGCAGCTTGTGCTGGGATTGCACCATTCAACAGCTTGCAAGGCTGAAGAATTGACCGCCACTATTCAGCCTGGTCTACACCACACAGCTATGAAGTGGCTTTTTCTGGCCAGCGAATCCCTACTTTTTGGTCTCTTTTTTTTCCCCGCACACACATCACACCACATACGCACACACATACACAAACACAGGACCACACATCAGAGACTGAAAGTGTACACTAGGCTTACCCTTGACGAGCGAGATGACCAGGATATACTGGAAAAGAGTGGTTCCTCCCTCCATATCGTCATTGTCAGAGTCCTCTTCTTCCGTGCTTATAGCCTGTACACGCCAATACAAACACACCAAACGCCATCGGCAGGTGAGCCCAGTCGGAGACGTCACAAAGAAAAACAGCAATAGTGCATTTCATGCAAAATAACGCGAAAAGGTTTACGGGCAAAGGTAAGAAAAAAGGGGGAACCTCCAGTACGAGTGTCATTTCCAACCATTCTCATCTCTTTACTATAATCTCTACTCACCATAAACCAATGAAATTGACAACCACATACACATACACATGCGCGCGCGCGCACACACACACACACACACACACACACACACACACACACACAGTATTATTGTACATACATGTACACACACACGCGCGCACACACACACACACACACACACACACACACACACACACACACACACGTGCACACACACACACACACACACGTGCACACGCGTGCACACACACATACCTTTGCCGGAATAGGCCGTAGCTTCGCTCTGAAAGCATCATGACCCACATCTAAGCAAGAAACGGGACAAAAAGAAGACAGGCAGAGACAGATAAATAGACAGACAAACAGAGAGAGGAAGTGTGTGTGTGTGTGAGTGACAGAGAGAGAAAGAGAGAGAGAGAGGACCAGGCATGAAAAACACAGACAACAAACAGACACAAAGGCCAGACTACAATCGTGTAGGTTCAGACGAAAACAGTCAAATTCTTATCCCGCTCCAGCACACGGGGGAGGGGATGGAGTGAGGACACTCAACAGCTACTACTATTGAGGAAACTGTCAAACTGACCTCACATAACGCACATTGAGGACTGAAACAGAGACTCTCAAGCTCAAATTCAAATCAAATGCACACTGCACGCAAACTCTGCAGCACTACTCGCAGCACTACTTGCAAAGCGAGAAACTTTCACTAGAGATAAATTTCGCTATTTTCACGACCATCTCACATTCACAAAGACAAATCGCTGCGAACTGCTCCGTACATTGATTGTGGACAACACATGGTTGAGCTGAAGAGATAATTACAATCGCGAAAGTTTCTTATAGTGAGCCAGTGCAATTTTTGAAAACAGAAGATTTGCACGCCGCGAAAGTGTATCGCTTTACAGTATTCCTCAGAGTTGCCTGATAATAGCACGATGTCATGTGCATGAACCTCGGGGGTAGCACGACTATAAACTTGGTTCACCGTTTTCGTGTGCATTCCATGGTGGCAGACTTAGTGGAAGGCAGAGCACATGGAAGTGCTTAATTCTAGCACTGGGCATGAAGGGTAGAAGGTGTGGGTGTCACAGTGACCGTGAGGGCAATGGCAAGAACTTACACACAGCATGCACATAATCCCACACACGAACATATCCACACATACACACACACACACACACGAACAAACACACGAACAAACACACACACATACACACACAAACACACACATACACACACACCTCAGACCTCAGACCTGCCCATCGCGGAAGCGATGATAGCGAACAGCTATGTTAGACATAGCAACTTGTGCTGGGATTACACCATTCAACAGCTTGCAAGGCTGATGAATTGACCGCCACTATTTTTAGCCTGGTATCCACCACACAGCTGATTGAAGTGACTTTTTCTGGCCAGTGAATCCCTATTTTTCATTTTTCCATTTTTTTCTTTTTTCTTGTTTTCTTCTTTTTTTTCTACACACACACACCACACCACATACTCCGGCATACACTGGCTGTTGGTAACCACCCAGGAGAATGAAAGAAAAGTCAGGAAGAGACCGAGAAAGAGAAGAAAGACGTGTGCGACCATAATCGTCGGGAATTGAACCCGCAACCTCTCGATTGGAAATAGACTGCACATACCACTGCACCATATGGGACCACACACACACACAAACACACACACAAACACACACACACACAAACACACAAACACACACACACACGCACACACGCACAGTGACAATGAACAGGTGTGAATGAAGGAGGGTGACAAGCGCCCAATACCTGCAGGCACTCGACTAGCCGCTGCAGCAGCTGCAGAAGCAACAGGACCGTTGGCAGCGGTGGTGGCAGGACTTGGCATGTCTTCAGGCAAAAACAAATCACAGCCAGTGTAACAGAATTGGCGCAAGGGCAACCAATGATTTAACATGCGTGTGAAATTCACACACACACACGCACACACACACACACACGCACACACACACACACACACACACACACACACACACACACACACACACACATGCACACACACCTTTTGTGATCATTTTGCACACACATGCACGCGCGTGCGCACACACACACACACGCACATGCACACCACACACGCACATGCACACCACACACACACGGACACACACAGTGAGAAGAAAGTCAGGCACTACTAGTACATTCCCTGACAATCAACTTGGACCGTATCTGTGTACTGTGAAGTACAGTCAGACCTCACTTATCCGGTCCTCTTTTCTCCGGATCCCTCGCCATCCGGAAGAAAATCGTTGGTTACCGATTTACAGCATATGACATGCATACATTCAGTGTGTGTGTTCGATTATCCGATTCCCTCGCCTATCCAGATATCTTTGTGGAAAACGGATGTGTGCGGTTCTGCAAGGTCTGACTGTACTGTGAATGTATGTATCTATTACAATTTACAAGACACGCATGTTGGTGACACGAATGAAGAACACTCTCTCTCTCTCTCTAATCCAGCCTCGCAGTTTGATCACACGCATCCAGGTACTTGCAACGTCCAGGCAGTCTACGAGTTCCTTACCAGAATCTGATCCACGACGACCCCATGCATCAACCGGCGGCAGGGGTACTACCTTCTTCGTCACACTTGGATTAGGAGTGTACCCTGAAAGAAACAACATTCCATAGACATGCACACACACACACACACACATGTGATGAATTACAGCTCTTCAAACGATGACGGCGCGCGCGCTGTGCAGACGGAGCGATCGCATTGTGAAGCGAAGACACCGACTCACGTGACGGTAAGGAATAAAACAACGATAACATAGAGCTCTTTCTCTGGCGCGAGCTAAAACGTTCTTCGCATAGCACTCTTACCCAACAAATTTGTACCTGTGTTTATTTTAGTAAGAGGCTTATTACCCAAAAATTAGTTACAGCGCCCTCCAATGCCTCCCCACATACAACTCACAGATCAAATTTGTTGAATCACGCAACATAGTGCCACATTACTCCTAAGTTGTACGCTCAAAAGTCTAAGTCCATCGTGTATGTGTGATGTCGGTGGTGGGGTCAGTTTACCAAAAAAATACTGTACTGTTCAGACCCACGACCGCGTACAGTACGGAGTCGCGGAGTGTCAAAATCAACGTTTGGAAATTTCGGAAACATCTTCAGCATCCCCTTTCTGTTCTCTCCCGAACTACTTAGTATGAATTATTTCTGAGCAAAACGGTCGAACGATGAGAGGGACGCGATGTTACACACCAAACCGGTGCTGGAACAGCCAGACACTTGAACATCCTTGAAAACTACATTGTACTCGTCACGTCGAATTGATCCATCGCGCGCGAGAACCTGTTCGCCAGACATTACGTTGATTTTTTTCAACTTCACAGTCGGTTGCGAGAGATTCGACATGTTCAGAGTACAATGGAGTATCACCCAAGTAAACTCAGTTGCAGTTCTACACACCTTCGCCTTTGCTTTCGGGCATAACCTTGTAATTGCGTACAGCTCCTTGCCGTTTCAGAGCCATATTGCAAGAATCCTAACCATGGCCGATGCCTCCCACAGAACTTCCAACGCTCCTACGAGCGAAACAAATGGCGTCGCGAACGAACTACCTGGACAGCTCATTGCAATCAAGATCCGGGCGACGAGTGATCATGGTGATGACGAGGACGTCTGTCTAACATGCTTTACTAGTTTTAGGATCTGGGCAGGCTGTGTCGGAAGTGAAGAAGATCAAGGAAGCAACGCAACAAAAGAAAAAGAAAAGACAAGCAAAAGGCACATGCAGCAGCATGAGATTGAGAGCACGAGACCAAACGCACCCAACTAAAGTTACTTCCCAAGTCAAGATCAAGAAGCATGCAGGTACGTACACGTGCACGTGCAGAAAGCAGTGACGAAACTCAAAAAGACGACTTTCCTTTTGTAGTTTTGATCCGACCAAATCCGTGCCCAGAGCACGTGCACGTGCACGATGGGTCCCCCTAGCTAGTGCAAGTATGGCTAGGCCCCACATTGTACCTCCTTTACCATGTTTACCAATCGCACCAATTGGTCAAGGTTATGGACCCTGCCTTTTTCACAGTCGTCTGCCCAAATACAGACGGTGCTGAATGCCAGACCTAATCAAGGCCAAGGGCGGCAGAGGCATTAATTTATGGACAAGTAAGTTGTATAGTATTACACGCGTGCAGCTACAGGTAGTTGGAGTCTGCAATAACTGAATATGACTCTTCTGTTTTCCTACAGGGTTACCAGAAGACCTCCTACTGGTGCACGTCAACATGTCCTAGCAACATCTGGTTGGACTTTGCGATGAAAGGCCTGCTGGTATTCGTTTCTCCAAAAACAAAATGGATTGTGTTTCAAACAACACACTTCTGCACCGTACTTGCACAAATAGAATTGATGACGGCAAGAGTGCATAAGTTGGGGTTATGATAACCCCCAAGAGTGTGCAACTCCGGCTATGGGGTCTCGACGGCAGAACTTCACATCACGTGATGAACCCGTACACATTATTTGCACTCTGTGCATGATAGGTACAGGGTACAGGGTTGTACGCAACCCAGCTTTAGGTTCAACCAAGAGTACGTAACAAGAGTGTGCAGCTCGGATGGGTTGCTGTCACCTGTCCCTCCAGGAATCCGCGGACAGAAGTTGAAATTCTGCGCAGAATTCTGCGGCACAAATCGCTACATTATGCGGCGGATAGCGTGAATTCTGCGGCAATACTGCGGTATTTCTGCGGCGCTGCACCGGCGAAAAGACATGGCTATATGCTATGTACAAGTATCAATAAAAAATTTAGTGGTCGAAAACACACGATAGGCTCAATACAGTAAACGAAGAAAAATTGCAAAACTCCCTCGACTTTGAATGCAACAAAATAGCGACAGGACACTGCACTGTGCATCACTGCATGTGCATGAATATGAAGTGCGTGCTCGCATTGCCCCCAAACCGTGATTTTTCACGAGTCTGCGGTGAAAACTGTGAATTCCGCGGGATATTAAAAAAAACCATGAATTCCGCGGATTTTATCGCGGCCGCGGAAACGCGGATTCCTGGAGGGACAGTGTCACGGCGGAATTCCGTGATTACATCATTTTAATGATGTAGTGCGTACAAGCAGGATTCAAGCAGGTCTCTTTCTGCACAACTGCAGCTCAGTTGTACGCACTACGCCACTTCCCACCTCAAATCTGCGCCAAATATGATGTAATCACGGAATTCCGCCGTGACAGACACCCATAGCAGAAAATGCCCCAAGCTGCACACTCTGGTTTTCATGTACTCTTGGTTCAACTCTCTTGTGGTCACTATGTTTGCCAGCGTAACCTTTTTGAACCATGTCACGTGATGTGAAGTTCTGCCGTCGCACTCGCAGCACTGCATAGAGGTTGTGCAGGCAGTTGCATAGTCTTGCCGAGTCTTGGGGTTATGTACTCTTGATGACGGGAATGGTTACTGTTTGAGCACAGTGAAAATGTAAAAAGTATTTGACTCGTGCACACTAGTAAACAGTTGTGCACACGTAAAAAACCTGTATGTATACCACCATTTAATACCGGGTCTATTTTTTCTGCGCCGATGAGAAAATAATCAAAATATTCAGATTTCACATATCCGAAATAACCACCAGGCCAAAATCAAAACCCACACAAATGCAGGAGACAAGAGGTTGCTTCGCTCAATTTGCTGTAACTTGGAAGTTTCACCCACTGGACGATTAACCGACAGCCTAAAATCAAAACTGGTGCCTTGCACCTTCAGTAATGTTTCTGCCCGAGGCGGTATCACGGATGTTTACAGTCAGTACCAAACTGGCTGTGCAAGTCAAATTATTGGGAATGTTCGTCGCGTTTATCTTGGATCAGTTTGCAAGCTACATTCTCGCATAATATGGTGGGAATAGCAGGCGTTTGGGTTGTAGTCTGGAGTAGTCTTGCTGCTTTAGGGCCATGATTTCTGAGGAGGGATGAGGCACTCAACGTCATTTCGCGGCTTGTGGCAAACGTTCTGGTGTGCATCTTACCAATGTCGGCAGGACACCAAGAACAAACTGGAACTAGGACAGGTGCACAGACGATGACGAAGGGATCTCTCTCTCTCTCTCTCACACGCGCGCACACACACACACACACACACACACACACACACACACACACACACACACACAGCTATCAAAACAAGTCACTGCACATTTAAACTAACTTGGAGTACACACCACTGATCCGCGATCCGTGTGGTTAGCGTACAACGTTTCAAACCGGCACTGGCACCGGATATGACCACCCCCCCCCCCCCCCCCCCCCTCTCTCTCTCTCCCTCAGAGGCCAGTAAAGTAAAACCCTTACAAGTGCCCCTGTATGCCGAGAATCCGTAAGATGCATCCACACCCGGGAACGGATTCATAGCACTGTGTAGTCCACAGGCACAGGGACTACACACCTCAACTATTACGACCGGGCACGTACAACACAAACATGTTACGGGTCAATGTGCCCACCAGAGTGAACAGTTAGTAGTAACTTCCATTGTCATGGGGCACAATGGAAAGCTGGATATGAACATGCCTACAGTGCTGCTCAACGAAATCCGCTCAGAGCGAGTCAACGGCACGCCGGTCGCTGTGCAGCGCTGGACCTGCGAACACTGGGCTGTGAGGGCACGAACGCGACTCGCTGGATCGGATCTCATTGAGCAGCACTGTACATGCAATACACGTACCATTCGACTCAGTTGTTGCCGACGAATTGCCCAAGCCAGTCAGCTTCTTCACCAAGTTAGTAGGGCGGGCGTTTTTCTACGCAACGGAAAAGCGGAGAATCAAGGAAAAAGGAGATGAGTAATAAAGACTGGACACGAAACTAGCAGAAATGACCCCGGGGGCATCACGGTATCGTGAGGGCGGCCTTCAACGCATGTACTTGGATTACAACGTACAACGCCAAGAGTACAAATCCTCAAGAGTGTGTACGTGCAGTCTATAAGGTGTGCGACGGTGTAATTTCACAGCTTGTAACAGATTCGTACCCACTGACCGGAACTTCACCATTGCATCGCTTGGAAGCGTAGAAAAGATCAAGTGACTGACCACCACCATCTCTGCCTGGTACAGACTACACTGCACAACAACCTAGGAGAAAGTTTACCCAACCTACCAACTGGTACCAGTACATGCATACACACACACTCACACTCTCTCTCTCTCCCCCCCCCCCCCCCCCACACACACGCACACACTCTTTCTTTCTTTCTCTCTCTCTCTCTCTCTCTCTCTCTCTCTCTCTCTCTCTCTCTCTCTCTCTCTCTCTCTCTCTCTCTCTCTCTCTCACACTGTGACACACACACACATACACACACGCACACACACAATAAGAGGCGATTTACACGATGGCAGGATTCATCCCGTGTGTGATGCTGCCATGGAGATTCAGTCGCATGTACTCATATTTCGGCGCGAACGTATCCCGCGAGCTATCCCGGTACGGTCCCGGTGCCGTGTAGAAATGCATCCCGTGGCAATCGGTGGACAGTTTTGTACTACATGTAGTAGAGAGGTTTAGTACCAGGTAACTGATACGGGAACGTGGGTGATACACGAACAGTTCATGCAATGGACCCACGTTCCCAATGTTGTCTTTAGTCACACGGAACAAACAAAAGCATCAAGCGAAAGGCCAAAACTTGGTCAAAGACGAGCTTAGAAGCTCATCGAATATTTCGATTTCGTGCTTCGGAAACTTCTTCAGCTGAGCACCCTCACAGCTTGCACAACGCGCTCCATTCTGATTTTCACCCGAGCCTCCATGCACGGCATGTCGTGAATCAGAATATATATGTGGGTCACTGAGTATCATGTGGTACACACACGTAAAGTACACACGGATTACGTGGGACTAAACCTCCCTACTGGACGTGCATCCTGCCGTGTGAACGGATTTTCGCTTTTTCCAGTATCACGGCAAACTCTCGGGATCACGTGCTTCACTTCCCGGCGGGATGCACTGCCGTCGTGTAAATCGCCTCTTACAAGCACACACGCATACACAAGCATTCCCATACACACACACAGAGCAGCCGCAAGACGTGCACACCATTGCGCGTGCCTGAAGACAAATTCCGACAGCATAGGCACGGCAGAGCAGATGCTCCTGGCAGCTACAAGCCAGGCTCCTCACCTTCAGGTTCTTGAGAAGAGGAGAACCTCTACTCTCGGATCTGCCACCGCTATCGCTGTTGTTAGACGATCGCCGTGGCAACGTGGCAGAGGCGTCGGGGTACAGCGAGGTAGAACGAGTGAACTTCTCCTCGTCGTTCGTCAACGTATTCACGTGCTCGTCGGAGATGGATCGTGTCAGGCCAGGGCTGTACTGGCCGGCCAGGGAGGTGTCGCGCACATGCGATCCACCAGACGAGTCATGATCCAGAGAACTGGTGTCCGCTGAAAAAGACGGGCTGCCTGCGGTCGTAGTTGCTCTACCTTTGCCGAGGCGAGCGGAGCGGAACGAACGCTTCGTCGAGCTATCCGATGACAACGGTAGCAAAACAGAATCCGACGAAGTGACAGAGCCTTCCTGCCGCGGCATGGCTTTTGATGGTTTCTTGTTTGGCGGAGAGGGTGCCTTTGGTCCGTCTTTTTCTTTGGAAGTGCGACGACCCGATCGCCGCAGTGACTTGATCCGAGATTCAAATTTGGCTCTTCGAGAGTGCAAACTTTTTGCAATTGCATCGTCCGACTCCTCGGAGCTTCTCTTCTTGAACATGGCGTCTGATGAGGATGGAGTGTTCCTCACCATTAGAAACCCATCACCACTCTCCCTGCCGTCGCAGCTCTCTGTTGCTTCTATGTCGCTGTCGGAATCCACGGTCAGCCGATCACTGCCGGGCCTAGCTCTAGACACCTGGTTGCCGCGCAGGTTGGGCTGAGATGAGTGCTTGACGACCTGGCCGGGCGACTCGATACGACACTGGCGCACCACATTGTGACAGGACATGGCGGTGGGCAATGGCGGTACTACAGGCGGCAAGGCGCTGCTCGACTTGCGACCCTTGTCTATCGCACTGTCCGAGGTGGTGGACGGGCTGTGCAGCAGCTCCGGCGGCAACGATATTGTAAGGCCCAGCGGCGACGGTGGCAATGAAGCGTCCCGAACCGGCGACGTTCCGCACACGCCAATCTTGCGAGGAGGCTTGGCCGGACTGCGCTCTGGCATCGCCATGCTTAGCTGCTGAGGCCGCCCGTCGCTATTCGTTGCCGTGACTTCTGGAGAGCTGGTCGTCAGCGGAATACTCGAAGCAGCTGGCCCGTGGCCGAGCAGGTCAACTTTCAGCTTGTACTTGGCCGGTGGTTTAGCAGGTCGAATGGGCTTGCCACTGGGACAGGCAAAGCTGTCGTCTTTCGCTAGTTCAGCACTGGCACATGTGGTAGAGTTAGCCTTGACCAACAAACTACTCTCCGGGGATACATCGGACTGGTGACGGCTAGTATACCCGGGCGGTAGAAGTGGTTTCTTCGGCGGGCCATTGGAGTGCGTGGATCTATCTGCCTTCGGGAGCGGGGTGCTACAGGTCGAGGACAGGTGCATATGCGTAGCGTCTTGCTCTGCAAGTAGTGGCGAGGCGGACTTCAACGAGCTGTTCGTGGCATCGTCGTCAGCGGCACCGCAGCTCTGTTCGGTTGGGGACGGCGAGATTGAGCGGCGCGGCGGCTTCTTCGGCAAGTGGTGGAGCGGCTGCGTGGCCAGGCTCTCCGGGGAATCGTGGCCATTGGTGGCGGCGTACTCCTCCGGCGGTGTTAATGCGGCAGGAGAGTCGTCCGAGATTGATGCGTACTGCAGAGGAAGAGGAGGCCTTGCAGGTGGCACAACACTCATCCCGGCTACCACCTGCACGCGGGAAATAGCGCACACGCAAGTACACACGGACAGACAGACAGACAGACATACAGACACACACACATGGCTGTTAGCAAGACACACAGTCCTCAGCCTAAAAGGCCTTGCGAACTGCCTTCACTTCTAGCGGTCGGTAGACTAGACAGCATAACTTGCAAGGCTGAGGACCTGGAAGCCTACCAGCAAATAAAGCAATTGCTCAGTGACCTTGCCTACACAATACAATTATTTACAAGTATTAACAAGAGTGCATAAACAAGAGTATGCAACTGTGGTTATGGCCCAGTGCGCGGCGCGCTGTCTTCATTACGTAACTTGCCTTCATCACGCTCTGAAAGCATGCATTCAAACTCACAACTTCTCGTACGAGCCCATCCGTTTTCGCTCGGTTCGTTCCAGTACCTACGCGATCTCTGAATTCTGGCGCGTGAACTCCAGTTCCGTACGAAAGTTCATTTCAAACCAGAGGGAAAGTGCGGTGTTTGATTTTCCGCAGTGCGCGGACTGCAGCTGAATGATGTAATGAAGGCAGCGCGCTGCGCATCTGGCCCATAGAAAAGAGATCACAGTTGCATACTCTTGTTTATGGACTCTTGGTATTAAGGTGGCTGGGGCGGTACAACTTTTTAGGGGTCATTTTGATCACATTTTGACTGCATTTTTGAGTTTATCGGCAAGGTGGAGATGAAATTTGAAAATGTTTTCTGGTGAATCTCTGGAGAAGAGCCTTCTCTAGCCTCCTATAGTTTTATTTTTACTTTTGGACAAAATTTGAAAACGTTTTATGAAAGGTCCGTGAAAAAATAACACGAACCTTTCATAAAACGTTTTCAAATTTTGTCTAAAAGTAAAAATAAAACTATAGGAAGCCAGAGAAGGCTATTCTCCAGAGATTCACCAGAAAACATTTTCAAATTTCATCTCTGCCTTGCCGATAAACTCAAAAATGCCACGTACTATTTATACACGTAGTGCATGTGGGGTATGTGGGGTAGTGCCTTTGCTGTGTGCATTACGCAGAGCTCACTGACTTGTCAGTTTGAGCACTTTGGCAAGGTACGTTCGGGCCTGATTTAAATCTGGCTTTGGAAATTTTATTTTCATTGCCATCAGGTTCGGCCTCATTTCCTCTGTGCTGCGCTGATGAGTTCACAAAGAACGAAACAGCATGCTGCCCGCAGATTGAGTACACGTATTTATTAAAAAAATTCCCGGTGCTATAATTAATTTCATAGTTATCGATCTTTTACACGAAACGAAAAAGTTTTGTTTATGGATGGGTGGGTCGAGGAGAGTTTCGTTTTGAAAATAATGATAGATAAAACACCAATCCACTCTAGCTGTCAAGTCAATATAATTTTCGTTCAGGAGGGTGGGTGGGTGGGTGAGGGAGGGTCATACTAAACTAAACTTTTTTTTCGTTTCGTGAAAATTATCGATAATGCCCGATAGCCCATAATAGAGCCGTAGCACCAAGATTTCAGGTGGTCCAGCCAATGGGGTACTTGAGCGGAAATAAACATAATTTATTGACGAAGAGACCCCATTTTGCATGAATTGAGTGGGTCGACCTTTTCGAAATAAGGACCGGACACGGCGGGATCAGCCGGACCGGGTGCTACGGCCCTGACTTAGAGTGCTCTTTTTACATTTTAGGTCAGCGTGTTGTCTTTCTTAGGTAGACATGTTGTCCTTCTAGACACTTCTCCTCGGCGTCACTATGTACAGTCCCATCTGTAAATTACCCCCAATACGGTAGCTCAGCGGCGCAATCTGTATGCGTGGTGCTCATCACAGAACCCAAACACAAGGAAATGGACAGAAGCAACGAACGAATGGGCAGACACGTAGCACCTCCACATCAACGGTGTAAACGGCATGCCAGCGTGAGTTTGCTCGCGTCATACAGCTCTAATGAAACAACACAGCACTATCATAAGCTTCTAAACGCAACGCCGGCAGCAGGAAATTGGATCGCACTGTCTTCACAAACTGAAACAAATTGCATGCAGGCATATTCCCAGAAAGTTTGACTGAAATATATTATGTAGGAGAAATCTACCCAGCATATCTACTGATCCACCTGCCTTAGAGTGCTATTCAAACACTACACAAGTGCCATACTGAATACAACGAGCACAATGCGGATACGCACCAGCATAGAGCATCCAGCACAACTGCGTCCCAGAAAACTTTCCAGCTCACGGTGGTAGGACAGCCGGGTGCCTGGTTGGGAACCACCACTACCTTCGCGCTCCGCCACCCCAGGTTTTCGCTTTTCTGCTGCGCCCTGCAAAGCGCTCGCCCACCACTATCCACAATCACAATTGCCCTAACATTTCGTATTGGCTGCGAGATCTGTAGACGGGACTGTAGCAGAGCCTGAAGATCAGATTATGGAATAAGCCAGCTACAGTCATGGGGTGCAGATCGCAGTTTGGAGCACTGCAAGTAGACAAAGATAGGAGTCTTCGCCGGTTGCGAAAAACTACAGCGTATATCTATGCGTACATTGTATACAAGTCAACGACGGCCGGTGCAGCTGATCCGCCACAAATGGACGAAGTGAAAATCAATGAAAAGGCATACCTCATATGAACAATAATATTGGCTGTCAGGTTCTCAGCTCTCCTCCAGCTGCCTCTTACTCCATTCTACAAGCTGATCGTGAGTCAGATCAAACTAATTACTGTATACGGAATACATGCATGGCAACAAGGAAAGTGAACTGAAAGCCAAATTTTGAAGCTCGCCAGGACGAAAATGACCGAAACGACGGTCTTCCGATTCACACAACACAAATGCTCCCCGAAAGCGCTAGTCGAGCCGTTTCAGGCTGGGTCATCGACATCATGCCTCATGTTCGTGACTCGCTCGACATGTGCAATGCCATGATTTTCTGGTCGCTAGGCGAGGTCTACGTCATCGTTGACGGCCATGCATGCCACTCGATCCTGCACTGGCTACAGTCTTGTCGTCTGTAGATTTATTCGAGAGTGCTCAGAGTGGTTCTTTGCTGCAAGCATGAAGCATGCATGCTACTGTGTGTTGTAGCACAGACAGTACTCAGTAGCATGCACATTATGGCTGTGCTGTGTGCAGACACGACATGAGTTGGCCAGTGATATGAGTCACGTCCACCGCTCTGCAACTGGCCCTAGCCCAAGTAAAAAGCCAAGGCAAGGGATTTATCGGCCAGTCAGTACTGACAGTAGGGCCGTCACCCGCTATCTGCTGTGTACATGGTGTCGTGGAGTTGCAAGCACGTCGCTTCTTTCCACTTCCAGGATCCACACAGACACGAGTCACGAATGTCCAGCTGGCTGTCAGACTCACTGACACAAGGATAAGAAACAGTTCATGATTGACCGTAGGAACTGATTGACGAAAGACTGTCAGACAGTAGCCCCTTTACTGCAGTTAGTTAGCTTGACTGGGTGGGAGATATAGGCAACATACAGACAGACTCATATTTCATAACAGTGTTGAACCGCTCGTCGACCAGCTAGTACGTAACGTTTCTGCCTAGGCTATGTAGTATGTGTCCACACAGTCCAGTGTAGTAAGACCTAGCACCATATTTGGCCAGGCCCTGCACTTTTGTTGGCTATACAAAAATAATAAGGTCGCTTTCATCTTTGCCCTTGGTTCAAGCAGTGGCTGAGTGAGTGTGTTATCTCTGCATCCTGCATCCTGCACCTAGACCATGGCATGGGGTACTTAGTCTTTGAAACGCGCGCTCCGAAATGACTGTGCATGGGTGACAGCTAGCCTCTACTCTAGTCTAGGACTATGATTCTGAACGCGAATGAGGAACCACTGGTTGCACTGGGGTGTATACGGAAAAGGAACGAATGACTTGCCACTGAAAAATAATCCTGGGACTACAAAGTCCTAGACTAGAGTAGAGCTGTCACCCATGCCTATTACAGTCATTTCGGAGCGCACGTTTCAAAGGCTAAGTACCCCATGGTCTAGGTGCAGGATCGATGCAGGATGCAGAGATAACACACTCACTGCTTGACCAAGGCAAGGGCAAAGATGAAAGCTAGTTAGTTTTATCGTTCCCGAGTACACCGTCACTACCACCGTGTGCACTCTACTCTAGCTCTCTGTATCAAGTCACGCGATATGATTAGTAGCTGCTGACTGCCACTGAAAACATAACCAAGAAGTGAAGCGTACAATCATGTACTGTAGTCTACAAGTACTATGACATTATGTACTTGTTGGGCCCTGCCTCCTTCTTTCCGTCACTCACGCAAAGCAACCGCACAGATTCACAGAAACTGGCCTTCTCCGTCTAATCTGCTGATCTGCACCTGAAACACGTGCCGCAGCCTTGTTTGGGCTACTGACTGTACTGTGCATGTGGTACCTTTCCTTATTCTCCGCATGCACCACGTGTTAGCGCTCCGAACAAGTAGTTGAAGTATGCCTTTTTTGGCACAGAGCCGAGAACACGGACTGACACACATGGACATGGACAGCTAGCTGGCCAGGTCGACATACACAAAAGGAGTGCGCGCTCGTTGCAGAAACGAAACCGGATACAGTGTATGAAAGCTAGCATGTGGCAGGTCAGAGTACAGACAGTGGTGACAAAGGCCACGTGTGTGTAAAAAGTAAAAACTAAAAACTAAAAAGACCTGACATGTCGACATGATCGTGCGAATCAAGCGATCGATCTTTAAAGCTTTGGCCAGTTTGAGCCAAGTAAATAGGGGAAGGAGGAGCTGACATCAGCCAAGAAGAAGGGTTTCCGACTCGCACAGGCTACGGCCGGATGATTCCAGAAATCAACACATCGAGCGACGGTCGACCCAAACTACAATGCTTTGGTTGACGGTGTCGACCCGACACGTCGACACGGTTGTGGCTGATGACGGGTAGATCTGCTGTGCCGGGGCGGAAGATATACGAGTACTGACTAGTACTGACTATAATAATAATGATTATTAGCCGAGCAAGGCCCCATTCGCAACGACCGTTACGTTACATGTTACTGTACGTCTACATTTTGTAGTTACTGTTTGTACGGCATTGCACTCGGGATACCGAAGATACCGGTTTTCGCAGCCCTCGAAAAGCTTGATGTCAACAAACTTACAATGCTCCATAGATTGTTGTCGTTCCGGCTCGTTCACTTACCATTGCTAGTGGTGGCGGTGCTGTACCAATGCCAATGTCAATAAGTATGGCTAGTTTGCCGATGGTGGATGGTTGCAGAAGAAAGCGATTCAGTAAGACGTCGACATCACATTGAAGACTGAAGTCACTGCGGAACACCGACCGAGGACACACTGATCATCACCTACCAGACTATGGCCTGCGTATAAATCTAAAACAATCGTAGATCTACCACTGTAATCATCACCAGCATTATGTAGCAGTACATACACCAGTCATGTAGACCATGGTAGACCTACACGTAGATCTACTGTACATTTGCACAGTCACATAAATAATACCAGTGTATGTCTGGATACAGTAGTCCTTCAGACCAAGTGAAGAGTGTGACTGTACTCTTGGAATCCTACGCAGCCTTCCTGTGTCGGCTTTGCGGCAATGCTTCGGAAGCGGAGGGAAATATATCTTCAGAATTTCAGGTCGTATCTTTGATCCTGCTAGTACAGTGTGGCCAACTTGTAGCCAACAGTCCACAAATCATGCCTGTCAGCTCCGGAAAAAGAGTGGGAGAGAGCTCTGTCAGCTCCGGAGAGTTAGTAACTAGTGTACCAGGTGTACCGGTATGGTAGACTTGGAGAACTGAAAGTACAGAAATATAATTGTTCGTCCACTAACTGTGACTTCCCGATTACCGATCACAAGCAGCGATGATAGTCATACTGCAGTAGTGATAGCTCTGGCTTTGCTGTTCGACAGCAGGCTGACAGCGCAATCGTAACCGGCTAACAACAGATTACGTAAGTGCCCTTCACTCGCACCACGAGACAATGACTGTAATACTAAAAACATTCATACCGCGAGCTGCATTGGCCTCCTTATTACTATATTAGCTGTCGTTTCTGCAAGAAGACCAGCAATCTTCTAAGTTCTACTGTGTTCATTCTTATCTGTGTTGTATTGACAGGGCAACTGTACTCATGACAATACAAGGCATGACTCAGAGGAAGGGATTTCGTATCCTGCAGATGCCATTTCTGCGCCCCTCGCAATAAGTTTGTCAGAATAACCATCACGCGCCCACCGTGACAGAAATTCTGAATGGCCCATCAATGGACAGAAGACATAAGCTACCTGAACTAACTTGATAAATCTTCTCAAGTCAATGGGCGTATAACTGTTATCTTCCAAAGTACTTAGTTTCCTGAAGAATACAAACTGAACTGGAATAGTGATTGGCTCATTGTAAAAGCACACGGAGTCACTACATGTATCTGTGTGTGTATGTCCCGGCACTGTGTGTGTGTGTGTGTGTATGTGTGTGTGTGTGTTTGTGTGTGTGTGTGTGTGTGTGTGTGTGTGTGTGTGTTTGTGTGTGTGTGTGTTTGTGTGTGTGTGTGTATGTGTGTGTGTGTGTTTGTGTGTGTGTGTGTGTGTGTGTGTGTTTGTGTGTGTGTGTGTGTGTGTGTGTATGTGTGTACATGTATGTGCATGCACGGATCACTCGCTGAGCGTTGCCGCAGCTGGCCCATAACGGCATTGTATTGTGGAGCTAAACGGCAGCTGCCATAGTGCAGCCAACAAAATTAACGGTGAGTTGTTGCATGTGACACCAGTACAGCCCTGATTCTACATGATTGTACATGCATGAGCACCACACACACACATACAGTACAGTGTAATAGTTAGCCACATGATGCTCTAATTGGCAAACATTCAGGTCACAGAAACAATAGATGCTTTCTAAGGATCTTAAGACAGTGGTGAGCACTGCCACCGTGTACCAGTGACTATACATGTACATGCGGCATGATTCACTACTACCCCGGGGCCCAGACCATCATGACTCAGTTCCTGTCGTCCCAAGCCTGGAACCCCAGCTAGCTAGGGGCCAGCGTCCAGTAGTGCAGGCAGTACAGTAGTGCAGGCTGGCCACGGCACCACCTGCTGTTGTGTGTGATTGACTGTGTATTCAGTACTAAGTACTACTTCTCTGGAGTGGACACGGATGAGATTTCAGACTCCTTGGCCTAGGCTAGAGACTAGAGTAGAGTTCAAGCAGAGTTGCCTGCCGAAAGTCTGTCTTCAGATTTCAGTGCTACTGCTAGTGGTTCACCGCAGTTCAGAGGTGGCCGAGTCTTTTACGGTGGAGCATTTTACAAGGGCACTTGACCCTTACATAACCAGCTCAAGTGCAGAGCAGTACATAATGTGAGGGCAATAACTAAGTGCATGCAGGTGTCTGAGATGAGATGAAAACAATGAAAACTTGGAAAACTAACTAACTAATAATATTACTTGGAAAAGCTCTTTCAGAATCATAACGGGGCTGCATGCTCTGAGTCCCAACACAACAGCCATGGCCATGCATGCATGAGGGGCTTGCATGATGCCGGCCTGCTTCTGAATGGCATGGGATGTCATTGAACAATGTGTGCTGCAGTATCTAGGGAGTCAGCCCCAACTAGTAAGCAGTTGAACCCAGGACAGTGGACCCACTCAGTGTAGTTGTGACCTAGTCCTAGGCCTAGGCCGGGGATTCGCAATCCCTACATCCAGTCTGTCCTGCCGGGCACCAATATGGGGCAAATAACACTGCCTGATGATGCAGCTGCTCCAAAGTCGAAAGGCCAGACACTCGGACTTTGTTAGTCTGTGCTGCATGACAATTGAATGGAGCAGACGGTTAGTGAGCCCAGGCCTAAACCAGTGCCCCAAGCAAGTACAGTACCCAGCTTCCTGCCTGGCAGCAGGACACTACACATGTACGTAGTCAGTGTATGCAGACAGCTGGACCGTGGTGGCAGGCACTGGTGACTCCTCCTGGGGAGCTTTGAGCTCTCCATAATACAACTGAGCCTGCTGTCAACAAACGTAAAGGAGTAAGAGTGGCACATGTACTTCAAGTTCTTGAACCACTTCACTTCAGTGGACATAACATAAATCAGGACTCTGTCCATACCCCTTGGGAACTCTTGCATGCACTGTCCAGCCTCTCAGTTTCTCCCGAACAGCAAGCCTTGGTACAGTAAAAATCAATTTCGGACCTTGGTTGCAGGCGCCACACAGAGTGAGGGTAGTAGGCCGCAGCCAGATGTGAACCGGAATGCAGAAGAAAACTAGGAGCAACAACAGGGGGACAGACCCCAAGAGGAAAGAATGAGTACATTCAACTAACATAAATAGGCCAGGACAAACACCACTTGGGACGGCAGATTAATTTCTCTGGACCGAGCCAGCCGGGGGGAAAAAAACCCTCGCGCCGACGGACGCATGAATGAGGGAAAAAACCGGATGTATAACCCCAAGTGGCAACATGGCAGCATAAAAACAGGCACAACATATCTACAGCCAAGAAAGAAAGGGAAGACGATGGGCAGACATGAAGGGTGGGAGGGTGGGGACACTGGTGAGACATAAAAAACTGACTAAAGAAGTCAGGCAAAAAGAACAGCAACAAAAAGAGAAAACATCAGATTCCATATTCGCAAGAGAAAAAGATTATGTTGCGCGAGAAATATAACGACTTGTGCCAGATAACTGTCTAATCCACACAACTGGCGAAGCCATGTGAATTGACCACCAATGCACACCTGGTCTACACCACACGGAGTACATCGGCATAAAACGGCCAAGACAGTTATCTATGCACACCCTACACTTGCTGGGGTAACCAGTATAGACAGCACGCTGCTTTGATAGAAGCATACACTAACCAGTAAGATGCACTGGTACCTTGAAGACACACACACACACACACATCTTTGCACCTGCACGTTTCTTAGAAATACCCTCTCCTCTTCCCGCACGTCGGATCACTAAACCCAAGAAAGGAGCCAGCGATACAAATCAGGCATAAATGACTAATGTACATGATGTTGACCTGTTTGATTAGGTAAAGAGCTTCAAAAGAACACACACACACGCACACATCCACACCCAGGTTTTCAAAGCACAACAAAGCTGGGTCAACAGTTACTTTCAACTAGCAGGTTGACAGATTTGCAAGAGAGCAGATGTTCAAAAAGCCTTGGGGAACATCAGAGGCAAACAGAGAAAACAGAACATAAAATGTACGAGTAGAAAATTTATTACACAATGGTTAGAAAAAACGTACACATGTAGTTTAATGAGCCGGGATCAAAAAGGAAGAGAAAGCAAACACACGCACAATCTAGCATGAAGCATAAATCTATGATTACCAAATATGTACAGTTCTGTCTTATAACGTGTGTGCGTGTGTGGGTATGAGTGTGTGTTTGTGTTCATGTGTGCTATACAACCTCAGGTCAAATGTATGCCAAAAACAAACCGGAAACTTGCACGTTCCGGAACGGTCCTGTCGGCAGATGGCGCTTCTGCACAGCAGAGCGCATGCCCTCCGTGCATGCACCACTCTATCATGCGTCCTTGCTCGTCTCCATCTTCTCCTCACCTAAACAGGAAGCAGGTGCAAAGCAGATACGAGCTTTAAAACAGGAAGAACTATAAATATGTAGAGCAGAATTCAGATAGTGAGCCAAGGACATTTAAAAAAAATGTAATGGAAACAAGGAAAACGGTGGCACTCTAACGCATAACTTGTGCCCCGCCGTTTTCCTTGTTTCCATCTAAAAGAAGAATTCATAAACCCCGGTGGTCATCAGTGAATTTACATCGAGTAGTGATGAAGAGAACAACCAACATTATTGTGTTCAAACTGTGCTCCATTGCCCTGATTGAAACAAAAATTACAATTTCAACATTCGATCTACTGTTGTATAATATTGGTTTGTTCTCTAAAATCATTACTCGATGTAAATTCACTGACGACCACCGAGGAAAAACTATAAATAAGTGCACAATGGATGCAGCAGTAGATCTACCAGGAGCCAGTTGATAATCTTGACCTGAGTGTGCAGCTCTCATCCATTCCCACTGTGCATCAGACTCCGCATCTACATTGTACATCATTGCTTTCCTGTGTGTGCAAACAAAGTGACCACCAGTCGTACACGAGGCCCTTTCCCACCAACCACGAGTACTTTTTTTCATGGCTGAAATTACCCTATGCAGAACTGTAGGGCCAGCACAGCCGGATGATGACTCACGACTCTGGACTAGAATCTCCTTGATAATAATTACTGTCAAAGCAGGACAATTCCATCTGACACAATCCTATACTGCAGCAAAGGCAGGGGTCCGAAGTCCTGCAGGAACAACAACCACATCCATGCTGGGCCAACCAGTACCCAAGCAGCAGCAGCAGCAGCAGCAGCAGCAGCAGCAGAAGACAAACTCACCCCCATTACTACTGGGCAGCTCATTGCACATAAACTCATCCTGGTACTCCTTCAGGAACTGTGTGGACCGCATCTCATCCAAGAACAGGTCGTAAGAGCGCTTGATGTCCTCCACGGCTACCTCGGTGCCCTAACAGGTTCACACGTACAAAAATAAACAACTGAATTATAGCGGACTCCGGGTAGGCCAAGAACTACACTTCAGCTTCTGTATGATGCAACCATCCCATGATCAGATGTGACATGCAGCTCCTAACTGAAAGGGATAAATAATCATTTCCACCCACCAGAGGCCAAAAAAGGCAGAAGTCCCATTTGCTGCATACATGTTAATCTTGTGCCAGGGCTCAAGTAGTTTAACAGTTCCCAATAACTGCAGGCTATGGCATAGTAAGTTGGAACACTCGACCCGCTGCCAAGCAGAATTTCACCCCGACACCGTAGAGCACAATGTAAGGAAAAATGACACTAAACAACAGAAGGCACCAAAGCAATTGGACACGCTGGTGTGTGTATATTTGGCAAGAAGGCAAAGGCTTGCAGTCTCACCTCAACTTTGCACTGCAAATCATATAGTCTAGGAGCCAGGGGGTCATCAGAACTGAGCTATGTGACACCCTGTCCAGGAAGGATTTTTTGATGGATTTGGAATGGCATAACAACCAGTAACTGATCCCTGAAAACCAGAATGTGCTAAAGTTGTCCGTTCAAGAGTTATGGCCGATTTACTAAAATTGCCATGGTTACCATAGCAACGTACATGTAAATTGCCTCTTTTTAGCTGAAGAGACATGCAATATGGGTCAAATAGATAATGAATGGCTGTCAAAGTCATAAGTGAAGATAAAAGTTCCCAAAACTGCCTTCAAAATATTATAAATGTCATCAAAAGTGAATTATTTAATACTGGTGTGGTTTGTACATGTACAATGTACAGTGTACATGTATTTGGTATCATTATTACATTGTATGTAGAGGTAGTATCGCCGTTATTTATCAGTGGGAAATTGCTGTATGGTCACCAGGACCAGAGCTTAACACTGGCACATAGAAGTACAAAACAATAATTTACAGAAAAGAAAAAGGACCATCGAACTACAAGCTACGCTATAATCCACTAACACCACTAGTTACTGAACAATCAGCTCATGCGATAACATTGCACGACACTGACCGACGGTACTGACGTTCTACAACTAACTGGCTAACAGCTCTAGCAGTGGCTAGCACATCTTGGATGCGCACTACACCAGCCTTCCAACTTGGAAGGTTCTAAGTTACATGTATATGATAACATATGAGGGGAAGGTGATTGTTTAGTAACTGGTGGTGTTCGTGGATATTCTAGCATAGCTTGCAGTTCAATGGTCCTTTTTCCTTTCTATAAATTTATCCTTGGCTCTCCATCCAAAAAAGAACTGTTCAGTACGCTTCACCAACAAGGAATGAATCTGCCCCAGACCTTGGTGCAGAAGGGTGAGTCGTCAGGCAACGCTGTTGCGGCTCTTCGCTAGTCCTTTTCTCTATCCTCCAGCGACTACATCTGTCAACGAGGCACGATAACAGCTCTTCTTCATGACTCCAGTGGGCTATCCATGAGTCGTCCCCCTTCCAAGACTCCCATAACTACATGTATATCCGTATAGCCAAAGCCACCTTCCAGGCAGCTCTTTCAGGAAACATGTGCTGCTGCTCAGCCTGGTATGATGGTATCCCAGATCCCGCTGCCCATTGATGGTATGCTACAACCTCTCCATCCGATGGCCATCACAGATTTCAGGTCCAGAGCTTTTGCTGCAGCTTGACACATAGTCGCTGGAGGATAGAGAAAAGGACTAGCGAAGAGCTGCAACAGCTTTGCCTGACGACTCACCCTTCTGCACGGTCACTGCACCTACATGTACATGTAGGGCAGATTCATTCCTTGTTTGTGAAGCATACTGAACAGTTCTAATTTCGTACTTCAGTGTGCCAGTGTCAAGCGCTGCTCCTGGTGACCATACAGAAATTTCCCACTGATAAGTAACTGTGATACTACCTCTACATACAATGTAATAATGATACCAAATACATGTACACTGTACATTGTACATGTACATGTACAAACCACACCAGTATTAAATAATTCACTTTTGATGACATTTATAATATTTTGAAGGCAGTTTTGGGAACTTTTATCTTCACTTATGACTTTGACAGCCATTCATTATCTATTTGACCCATATTGCATGTCTCTTCAGCTAAAAAGAGGCAATTTACATGTACGTTGCTATGGTAACCATGGCAATTTTAGTAAATCGGCCATAACTCTTGAATGGACAACTTTGGCACGTTCTGGTTTTCAGGGATCAGTTACTGGTTGTTATGCCATTCCAAATCCGTCAAAAAATCTTTCCTGGACAAGGTGTCACACTAACTCCTTATTCCTTGGACTTTTGCTGACTTGGCTCCTAGACTAATAGCCATATCATTCATATGCCATGTTTTATTTATTTTTATATATTTTTTATTTAAATATTCTTATCCATGTGAAGGACATAATAGTGCATTGTATACGTGTGCATTTTGTACTGTGTGGTGTGGTGTGGTCAATCAGTGCATGTGATATCACTAAATAGGAAATGCTTCCAATAAGGACACAATCTCCACGCCCACTGTAGTAATTCTTAGCAGACGCATATACGGTGAGAGAGTGTGCAACTTGAGATGCTGTATAGCAGGAAATTTTCGGACGGAACTATTTTCGGACAAAGCCGAATTTCGACCTTTCGTCCGGATTTTATTTTCGTACAGTGCTGCATGCTAAACTCACGTGTTCGCATGCAGTACGCATGTATAGTGTACATAATTTCACATGAACAAATTTTAGTCCGGAATTAATTTTAGTACAAACGAGGCCGTGTACGAAATCGTACGAAAATAAACTCCGTCCGAAAATTTCCTGCTATACAGTACTCAGTAGGTAGTTGGCACGACACACTTTCAGAATTATGTCATTTTCACGATGAAAACAGTTCAATGCATGCATGGTTGACTGTGTGCAATGCAGTTCGTGCACAGTCAGATGCATTACATCATGAAAAATGATGCGATTCTGAAAATGCATTGTGGTACGAGTCGTGTACGTGAAGTTACACGCTCTTGGGAGATATGTAACCTTTGGATGTACTCGTTGGATTCAGCAAATTCTAGAAAATGTCCACATGGTATGAAAGAAGCAGAGATCAGTAGAGCAGCGTACCTTTCTTTTCCGACAGGCCAGGTTGGCTACAGTGATCAGCTGGATAGCATAGCGCATGGACGTGTCGCGGCCAATCTTGGTCAGTACGGACAGGGCGTCTTCCGACATCTCCACGTCCTCCTCCTCACAGCTATGCACACACACACAGGAGCACGTGGACGCGTGTTAACATGCGTGCGTGCACACACACGGACAGGAACCAAACAGGCACATGGACGCGGAGTCTTCCCCGCATCGGAAGTGCCGTGTTAAAAATTACTGTGATGCCCTTTTTCACTTTGCACCTTACCTTTTTGCTATTTACCCCAATTACAAATGAAACCCTATCCATTAGGCACAGAGCTGGGATACGCCACAAACAGTAGTTAGGATGGTGAGTGTCCAGGTCAACCGATAGGGGACATGGACAGCAGCTTGAGCTTGAACTTACCGAATCTGCAGGATCTTGCGCAGTTCCTTCTCATCGTACGGCTGTGTGTGGATGATGAGCAGACGGTCTAACAGGTCCAGTGGAATGCCGTGCGGACTTGTGTACTGCGTACCACGGATACTGTACAAACGGAAGCAGCACACAGCCAATCACTAGTACAGTAAAACCTGTAACTAAAGACCACCGTGACTAACAACCAGCCTGGTACTACAGACCACTTCAACAGGCACGGACGGTCTCACATTCATATATGGTTGTGCGGTGCAAACCTCTAACTAAGGATCACCCACGACTTAAGACCACTTTCTCTGGTCCCAAGGGGTGGTCGTTCGTCACAGGTTTTACTGTAGTTAGAGTCAGCAAAGCTCCGCTCGCAAACCAGGGCTTACTCCAACTGCAGTGTACATGTGCATGCATGATCACACAACGGCAAGAACGGACGGGTGCATGCAGGATCACACAACGGCAAGAACGGACGGGTGCATTCACTGTTGCTGGGCTCTGTGGCATGTGCTGAAGAAAAGCATGGACAGCTCCTGGCAAGACCATAATATCTGAATCAAGGATGTGGACACGTGCAGTGCTGGCCAGTTAAACATTTCTTCCATGAAAAAAACCTGCGCTGAGTACTGTACAGCCCTACACCTATGAAAATCTGGCTATGAACTCAAACACTCCACTACTTTATCATTGGGAGTGAATTTAATTTCACTAGCCAGCACCGTAGCATGGCACAGCACTGTGATTGTTTTAGAGGTAAGCGTGTGCGTGTGTGTGTGATCCCATTGGACACACAGCAGGTAGGTGTCTACCCCGCAGCAAGCACTTACCGAGTGATGCCACGGTTGGTGGCCAGGACGAGAATGGGCGCCATGTCGCTTTCCAGCGCACGGTTGAGGAACGAAAAGCATTCCATGTCCAGCATGTGAACCTCGTCAATAAACAATACCTGGACAGAACAGCATGAAATGCAGGTACATATACATGTAAGGTGCACGGAAGTGAGTCAGCTCCCGGAATGATCTTGCAATCCCACTGCTACACATGCACGCACTCTGATCAGACATAAATAATCTTGCGCAGTACAGTCTTGCTTAGTATATCATCCGACGTGACAAAATCCTGCTTAGGAAGGCCATTGTCCTGAGCACGGGTGTATTGGTCCACACTTGGTCCACATTGAAGTATGTCGGATAGTAAGTACACTTTCCCGCTGCCCATGGAGGTATGTCTTAGCAGAGTTTTACACTGCACATACTACATGTACCGCAAAGTACCGTTGATCCGCCCGCCATGCAGTGTCGCTTCCCAGCTGGTTTTTCGGCGGTGGTGGTGGGGGGGGATAAGATCAAGTCGTTCAAGTGCAGTACGATGTACAACAAAGCAGAAGATCAGACCTGCCATGCTGGATTGTGCACATTTTCATCCTGCACTCGCACGTTTTGTGTACGGCGGTACATGCGTTGGTTCAACATCGTATTTCATTGCATACGCCGACATTGCTTCACAGGCAGAAATTCTACAGGGGGGGTCAACGGTACTTCACTGTACTTACACCGGCAACGATCTCTCCCTTTCCTTCTTCCCGCCATTCGGCCACCTTGGCGTTGATCTGCTCGCGAACTTCGCTCTTGATTTCACCAGTGTCACCTGTAAATCATGGCACCAAGGAAAAGCAGCAGAGTAGCACATCAGCATATAAGCATTGTTTCACACGTTACTCCAGGAGCACAACGGAGACAATGGTACATGACCATAAGCAATGATGCATCGGTACAACACGGGAAACGGCCATCTTGAGGTTCTGCAAGGTATGCAAGTCACAACGTACCCATTCTGTATCTGATTGGCTTCTTACGAGAAGTTCAAGCTTCACAAACAGTATCATGTAATTATTGCAACACTCCTTCACTCGTTCACACTCTTCCGTTCGTTTGTCCATCCGTCAATCCATCCATCCATCCATTCACTCAATTGCTCACCCTCGTGCACATTCACAGACACACAATGGCACACCCTACACCCTTACACTACACCCACACACACAGAAAAACACTCCGAATGCTACTCACCGGAGAACAAGGCGAGGAAACCTTGCGTGCGACTGTTGATTACATCGATCTCATGCAGACTGACGGTATGCACGACTTCACGGCGCTTTTGCAGTTCACCTTCGGGACACTGGACAAACTTTGTCTGCAAAACAAACAGAACATCACCACCACCACATAGAAAGTCTGAGTCTACCAGTAGCATCTAGCAGAAAGTAATGGTTCTCTAACTTGTCCCCATGCCAACAAGCTGAAGCAGAAAAGATATTTGATAACCATCCAGGCATCCATAAGCTGACAACATCACAACAATGAAACAAACTCTGCACACACCCACAGCAACACAGTGACCTACACACAATATTAAAAACATCAACCAACAAAGCTAACTGATACCAACAGACTATGACAAGAAGAACATGAGGGGTCTGTGTTGCGACCCAAATAATTCAGCTACAAGAAAAGTGTGCAGGAGCAATCCAGCTTCTTGAAAGGAAGCACTGCAAGACAACATGTACTGGTGTGGGCATTGAAATTCGTTGGGAAGTCAAGCGGCCACGGGGCCCTGGCCGTGCAGGCGCGAACACTGCTGGTCCATTGTTTGGCAGTGCGTGCGTGAACTCCATATACACAGTGCACTTGAGTTAAGGGTGCCGGCTTTAGTCATTCCACCGGATTTCAATGTCCACAACAGCACCAACAAAAAACTCGTAGCATACCTGAGGTCCCATGGCATCATAGTCGCGGGCACGGGTGAACGATCTGCCGAGTTTGCTGCACTTGCCGGTGGCTTTGTCGATGGTGATGATGTCTCCGGCGTGCACCTTCTCCTTGGTGAGCGACTCGATCATCTTGGTGCCCAGGTCGTAGACCGTCTCCATCTCTGTTGTCTTCAGTGTCAGCTTGCCGGTCTTGGCACCCTGTGGTAGTGAAATGGACCATAACAGAAGATATTAAACAAGGGACTTTTAAAACACTACAGGTCTACCCTCGTTGGTAGATAACCCCGGGGCTTCAAATCGTGTCGTATAACGAGTATCATCTATTATCCGGACATGAATGTACGCGTGTCAGGTGCCAGGAGATTTTTGAGCGTTGTCTACTAATGAGGGTTTTGTCTTGTAACCAATGTCGTACTAACGAGGGTAGACCTGTACTCAGGCAGTTTTCCTTGCCTTCGGTAGCTATGGTCCAGCAGATAGTTGACATTATTAACCACTGTTCAAAAGTGGGTCCCCGGCTATGCACGTATGCATGTGCGCATGTGTCCTACAGAACACCAAAGCTTCTGTTCACCTATCTAGGCTGGTATCATGTGACGAGACTGTCAAGCCATGCAAAACATGATAAAGGAGAAAACTAGGAGTAACAGATTTCTTGGAGACAAACTGCAATGAAGCTTGGGAAAAGAGCACAAATCCAGGCTCCTCACAAGCAACGCATCCGGAAAGATTTCAACAGTACGTTCGATGCATTGTCATCAGATGGAATACAGGGGAAAAAACTGAACAAGCACAATGAATTTTATACATTTACAGCAGAGGTGTGATAGAAACAGCACAAAGAAGAGTAGCCAGGAACACTAACGGCCGAGTTTGTCGCTACTTCTGAGTTAGAAACACTAACGGTAAAATAGAATGAATGACCTTGCACTCATAGAAGAAATCACAAAAAAGGGTGCAAGTGTGAAGTGCGAAGACACCAAACAAGCGAGAGGTGTATTTCGCGGCAACAATAGACAACACAGTGACATAACTAACAAGTTGTAAACGACCTACCTAACAACCTAAGCGTGAACGTAACCTGCTTCCGTTTGAATGGGTTAGGCTTCCTTGTGTGAATATAAAATCTCGCACTGCTTTGCCATTCCTTCTACATGTACGGGGTCACGGATTTTACCGCTGTAGTTTCTAGCTGCTCGTCTTTGCGACGCTGTACCGCCTCTCTGCTGTATAAAACCTATCGTTCTCGTTCAATTTCTTTTCCCCTGTATCCCATCTGATGAGAAGGCATTGAGAGTACTTGTGGGAATATTCCCAAAAGTGGCCTGAAGTTTTCTCTTTCCCTAAGTGTGATGCCGTATGTCATAATCATAATCATGAATTTCAACACTGGGTTAGGTTGCCAGGTGACTTACCGTTCCTGATGCAGGCCGGTCGATAACAATCTCTACAACTTCTCCCTCGATGATCTCACTCTCCTCCCTGCCAATGTCAAACACAGAGAGTGCAGAACACAGAGGTAAGCTAGCTGCTTGGTGGACGACAGGGTAAGCACAGAGTTGTGTGTGTGTGTGTCTCACTTGAACTTTCCGACATTCGCTATCATTGCGTACGCAATGGGCAAGATCAAGGTCAAGGTCAAGGTGTGACCTGGCGGACCTCGGCGTGACCACCTGGCTTGAGAGTTGCCAAGATCGTCCCGGCTGGAGACGAGTCGCGAGTAGCACTCCACCGCCACGGCCCGCTCCTGATCATCTTCTCTGTGTCTGTGGACGCCCATTTCGTCGACCAGGAGACTTGAAACGACATGCCAAGGTCTGCGCTCGTGTTCTCACTTGAACTTTCCGACATTCGCTATCATTGCGTATGCAATGGGCAAGATCAAGGTCAAGGTGTGTGTGTGTGTGTACGTGTGTGTGTGTGTGAGAGAGTGTGTGTGTACGTGTCTGTGAGTACACGTGCACGTGGATTGCGTGCAAGCATGTGTACATGCTCGCATGTGTACATGCTCGCATGTGTACATGCTCGCATGTGTACATGCTCGCATGTGTACATGCTCGCATGTGCCGCTGCTGTTCGTATCGCTCATGTCCAACTGCATCCCTGCACCATCGCTACAGACACCAGCAGTGCACAGCCTGAACCTAGGGCACTCTAATCCCAGCAACCCCACCTGACACTACATAGCTACGACTTACTTTATTCTAACACCAATAGCCTTGCGGAATGCCTGCGTCAGAGCCTCCGTCTTGCTCATCTCCAGCGAGAAGATCTCACTGCCCGAGATGCTGATGAAGGGAACGTCCGCGCCAAGTGACTGTGCCATGCCTGGATCAGCAGACATGCACACACATCATGCAACATCAACAGGGCATGGACACATAGCATAACGAGTACACCATGCTCAATGACAACCCAGGCTGGCGATGCCGTGTTTCCACATGCACACGCATCATGCAAAATAAATAAGGCATGGACACATTACTTGTACAGTACGCCTGACTACCCGGGTTGGTGATGCCGCATCTCCACTGAAATGCCGACAGAGCACGGATAGTGAAGCGTGTGTGCTGGTTGTTGTGCAGTGGCCAGGGATAAAGCTGCGCCTTGCACAGAAGTCAGGCTTGAGTAGCAATACTAGGGTCTGAACATCAGTTTGCAACGCATGGCGATAAGCAATGCTTTCGTACGCAACATGGCGATAAACATGCCTCTTGTAAGCGGGGGTCACAGAGTAGAATACCATACAGTCAAACTTGTGAACACCGACCTCGGGTATAACGGCAACTCGCGAATAACAACACAATGTTCAGACCTAGTGACCGCTTGACTGCATGTTTTCAACCTCACGAATAATGACAGCTCGCGAATAACGACACTATTCTCACGCATCATCCAGGGTCGTGTTTTGCAAGGTGGACTGTGCAGTAGAGTCAGAAGCTCTAGTGAAATTGTCACATGCCTGGAGTAAACTCTCGACACTGATCCTTTCTGCAGCGCAGGAGTGCGTGATACAGCCCCCCCCCCCCCACACACACATGGTGCAGGGGCAGACACAAACGTTTCGTGCATGCGTAGAGCCGCTCATATCTCACTCACCCATTGCAATGGCCGTCTTGCCGGTTCCTGGCTGACCAGCGACTAGACACGCCCGGCCAGAGATCTTGCCCTCCTGTGTTCAGGAATAGCAGAAGCGTAGCCGCCACCACCACCACCACGCACGGACACACCCCATAAACCGCAGCAGCAATAGCAGCAACAGCAGGATACACGCCACAGCACGCAATCTATCAAAGAGGGCATCAACAAAATGTGTCACTGGAATACATGCTCTTGACTCGAGATGATGATGCAACCTTTGACTGCAAACACCAGAACTGAGCAGCAAACAAGCACGCTCGGAGTACAGGGAATAGAGCAAAAACAATGACATTGGCGGTGGTGATGCATACCTTGACCATTTCGACAATGACACCAGCTGCGCGGCGAGCCTTCAGCTGGCCCACCATGCCCTGGGAGGTCTGCACATGTGCACACGCACAGGCAAGCACGTATGCACACAACACCAACAGCAAACACATTCAAACCAAAGCGAACACAAAACATGACTACAGCAAATTCTCACAAACGGCAAAGACAACCGGCCCGTTCGCTCTGGAGAATCCCTGTCGACTGCAGCTATTGCTAACGCGCAACATCCATAACAGGACCATGGCAAGGAATCGAGGTCAGTCGGATGGTCGCAAAGGACTGTATCATGCGCTATGCACTTCATCACACATGCGCTATGCACTTCATCACACGCACACACATTCACACGCACACACACACACACACACACACACACACACACACGCACACGCACACACGCAAACGCACACGCACACACACACACAGAGCTGCTGAATTCTCCTGACATTTAGTTTTTTCTTCTTCTTTTTTCTTCCACAAAATCCACATATCTCCAGGCACTGGGGTGAATAATAGCGTGTGGTGGTGGGGCCCACTAAGCTCTGCCGACCAGAGGTCTCGGCTTCATAGTCTAGGAAGCACTAGCTCAACCATTGCAAGCAACCAACTTTATTACCGTATTTTCCAGAGTGTAAGCCGCACTTTAAACACACGCAATTCACCTCCTTCTCCCCCCCCCCCCCCCCCTAAAAAAGCCGGTTCGGCTTATACTACGATGTCAAATTAACGGTGATAAACAGGGTAGGTGTCGGTATTTCGTGACAAAAATCTGGGTGCAGCTTACACTCCGGAAAATACGGTGCCTCGTCCAAACGTGAGCATATTATGTTGTTGGTCACAGTATAAGAACAGCTACGGAAGTGAGTCTTACAACCACTGGCACTGCTCATGGTCTGTTAAGAGTGCAACTCACACAAATCCCCCCCCCCCCCCTGCCATTGAATCACAATGCTCTGCCACAGTACAGAATCGAATTCAAGCTGACATTGTGAAAAATTCTGCCAGGATATAGTTATGAAGTTAAACTGACCTGACGTGGCTCCAAGGCATCGTCCAGACCCAGTCCACGAATATGTGAGTGAGCACCTGATCGTGGATGCAACACCCACCCACACAAACACACACACACACAGACATACACGCACCCACGTACACACACACAACCACCCACACGCACATATAGTTATGCGCATGCACAGACATACACCCACGCACACCCACCCACGCACACATACCCACACATAGCCATACACATAACAAACAACATGCAGATGCGAGCGCACGCAACACAAAAGACAGCAACAGATACATGTTTACGACCATGCAGCTTAACAGCTTTCCCAGCTATCTTTTCTGAGCGTTCAAGGAGAACAGAACTACATGTCCATGTATTGATCCAATGTGTATTATCATTGTAGCTATAGATTCTCATTATACAGTAGTACAAATCTCTTTTCCATACATTTTTTGTGTCCTGCAATATGTGGCATTTAGGATAGACACATGTTGTATGCTTCCCCTGTAAACCCGTGCTTGATGCGCAAAACCCTGCTACATCACGTTCACGAACAACGTATTCTCCCCAAGTACACAGCTGGGAAGTTCAAGGAATGTTGAGAGATTCAAAGAAGATTTCAAATTGCAAAAACCTCACCAATACGTTCGACGCGAGTCAGGTCGCGAACCTCCGCGACACCGGCTGCTGTGGGCTGCATCAACCAGAAAGGTCAAGACAAAGAGTTACGTCTTCCACACGCGGCTGATACAGAAACAAAGCTGCAACTTACAGCCGCCATCCTGAGTGCTTGTGAAATTTCCAACACTTTTATTTCACAAGATTGTTCTCATCAACCCAGCATGGATCGATAGCGTGAAGCTTCGAAAAGCGTCCCTCTGTTGGTCTTGGTGATGAGCTCGAACCCGGCATGATTCCATGACAACTGGGGACAAAAATGATGAGACGAACAAAACCATTTTTAAAGGGGAAGTATACCCTAAAATCAAATTTTCACCAGTTGTAGTCTTCTGGGTGCTGAGTCGAATGGTCTTGGTCCGAGGAAGCTGCGACGCTCCCTTCCTACTTGAATGCCAATCGAACTCGCGCACTTCCACCGAAACTGGGTGACTGCGCCCTACTAGATGGGGATTTGTATGCAAAATGTCACTAAAAGCGCCATTTCGTTCTTATAAAAGCACGGATGACCGCGATTGGCCCATATGTTGTAGTCTTTTGGACGCTGAGTCGACTGGTTTTGGTTCGAAAAGGCTGCGATGCAGCGTTCCTCCTTTATTCCCAATCGAACATGGTTGAACAAGCGGTCACGTGCTCCTGCGTACACCAGTCAGCTGGTCACCGTGCCTGCAGGGTACAACTTACTAGCCTGTTTGACCTTTTTTGGGTGCAGTCCTGTCACTCGAGTTGAACTCGAGTTGAACCTTGGTGTGAAAGTTGTCGCCTGCTGGCGCGGTGACCAGGTGATTTGGGCACCCAGGAGCACGTGACCGCTTGTTCAACCATGTTCGATTGGGAATAAAGGAGGAACGCTGCATCGCAGCCTTTTCGGACCAAAACCAGTCGACTCAGCGTCCAAAAGACTACAACATATGGGCCAATCGCGGTCATCCGTGCTTTTATAAGAACGAAATGGCGCTTTTAGTGACATTTTGCATACAAATCCCCATCTAGTAGGGCGCAGTCACCCAGTTTCGGTGGAAGTGCGCGAGTTCGATTGGCATTCAAGTAGGAAGGGAGCGTCGCAGCTTCCTCGGACCAAGACCATTCGACTCAGCACCCAGAAGACTACAACTGGTGAAAATTTGATTTTAGGGTATACTTCCCCTTTAAAAAAACCAAAACCAGAGAGTTGTAACATTACGACTCCCGACAAAACACAACACGATCGTAGTAGAGATTCGTACTGCAACGATGAAGATCGAGCTAGGACGCGCTGACCAGTGCAGTGATCATGGTGATCTGGTGATCCCAATGGCATCAGGGAGTAGTACCGTCCGTAGATCTACGAAGAGTATGAACTATGATCCGGGAGTAGTAAAATACAATTTTACTACTCCCTGGTATGATCATAATAATTATAATAACCTCTTGATAGTACTACTCCGGCCCTAGGCCCTGATCCCCATCATCAAGAGTTCATAATAAATGACATGCATAAAAATGAACTCTTGCCATCATGCTTGCGCTGTGTCTGTGTATGTTCGTATTACCCCCACCCCTCCTCAATTATGTTGAGAAACAACCAGATTAGCAAGAATACCAACCCATACGTGATGCTAGCAAGAGTACATAACCCCTAGAGCCGGGGTTATGTACTCTTGATACTACTTGTAGTGATAAGTTCCGGTATTAACTTATATTGGACATGTACTTTGAAAAATGAATTACTTTCTCTGATACAGGATGGAATCATTCAAATGAAGCGGCATATGCGCATGCTTTCAAAAGTGACATCAAAGAAGACTTTAAGAAAAGAAAGAGAAAAGAGAACAGGAGGGAGAACAGCTGTAACAAGCAACACCAAAGGATAGGAAAGCAATAATAATAATTATTATTATCAACTGGAAGCAGCTAGCGTGGGCAAAGAAGCCCGTTTTAAAGCGTGATTTGTATAGATGTTCTACAGTGTCTGCGCTGCAGTCGCTGCTAAAACATTTATCTGACAGTGCCAGTGTATGTAGGGAATGGCAGCTCCTTACAGAGCCCTTTGGCGTCAGTATAATTATGTAGCCGTGGTAACAGCTATGTCCTTATTCGGACACGTCAAGGATATAATTATAGTGACATGACATACTTGAAGTTGAAGTAATAGTTTTATGATCGTCTTCAAAGTGCCAATGCCATGGTGCCCAGCCAGTGCAGCAGAAAAGCAGGCGTCCCCAGCTTGGCAACATTCTATGTTCATTATCCGTACGCAGTTGAGTGAGAAAGGAGAGAGAATATCCAAAGAAAGAGCTACAATATTATGATAAGGAAGTTTGATTTGATGAGTGGAGTAAAAAAAACCAATAACTATGAAGCACGCACCAATCCAAAGTAGAGTAATGTGACGGGAAGTTGTCATGGGTATCAAATAACAGGATTTATTCAAGGACAGTTCATTTGTTCTTAGCAGGTGTTGGTGTGGTGCAGTTAAAACTGCATACGTACGTTGTTTGTGCATTCGAAATTCAGCCGAGC